TGTCTATCCCTCGAGCGAACCTCTCTCCCTCTCGTGACATGCCACCTACCCCTTCGGGCCAGCGAGTGCGTCATCTACTCACCACGATCCGTGCCTCGGGATTTATACTAAGTCCATGATGTTTGTGCCATCCTCGCACTTCTTGAGACTCATCCTGAATCGCCTTGTTGAACTTGGACTTATCCGGTCTGGACTACACGAGGCTATGCGTCTCCTAGCGCTTAGCTGTAGTCGCTTATGTAGTATGTTACCATATTTGGGACTCTCTGCTCGTGTACTATAGCTATGCTTCCGGACTCTTCTGGTACTGTCTAGGACAATCCGTACTACTCCAGAACGGTCTAGACAGGTCTATGCCTTGCTCATCTCTTACTCATCCTATGGTGCGATACGTCGCAATTCTTTCACCATTGTATTATTCATCGCACTATGGTACATGTGACTAACCACTCTTCAATTAGTCATGGACACTTCTCTGTAGTATATAAGGACTTCAGATTGCGTCCTCCCTCCTCAGTCTTTCCTTACTGACTGAAGAGTGAGTACTTCATTACTTTTACCTCTAACTTGTAGTTACTTACTTAACCTTTTTAGTCTTGCTTCGACTCTAGGTACAGTTGGTTACTGCAATATAGTCTTTCCTTACTGACTGAAGATCTTGCTTCGACTCTAGTCGGATCTAATCTTTGTCTTCACAGCCCCGAGTTTATCACGCCTTTCGTACCCTTCATACAGCGTATCACAAGCATTCATTTACTCAGACATACGCACGCACAAGAACTGGCTGTCTTCATTTAGTGTTGGTGAGTCGATAACAAATGTGTCGACGAGCTGATTCCGTGGGTCGACGAGCTTTTCCCATTACACCACAATACAGGATTATATTTCAACATTATGCTACATCCCAACACCACTACTCCTGGTACGATTTCGGTGCTGTTCGGGTCCTTCCCGTCAATCCTTTCACCTGCTGGCACTGATCCTTGTTCCACGATTTGGGAACTCCGTCGGGGTAAAAGTTACGCCCCCTAACTGAAACTCTGGGTATGTCTTCCGTTCTGCTCTTGGCGAGTTCCTTGTACACATGTGTCCAGCCTGCGCCCACAATCCAGAGAGTGCTTGTATCGATACCGATGGTAACTTCTCTTTGCGAAGAATGCCGCGCACGTTTTCAATGCTCATTGCGCTCACGAGGAACGCACCTCCCCATTTCCTCCGAAAGATTGTTCATGGTGAGATAGAGCAATGCGAACCGTGTGAGATTTGGGCGGGAGTTCGCATCCTTGCTTATGTACGGTCGAGAGATATACAGGACTTTGCTCTGCAGGCTCCATCGCCATACAAAGAAAGACATTGCTCCCCCGCAAGTCACTTCCATGATACACAAATCCTTGGCAACCATTGTGGTCCACACTTGGACGATGATAGCAGTCTCAGTGGTAAGTCTGTCACTGCTGGATTTTGGCCAAATGAAGCGAGTTGCGAAGCCCGGAAGATCGTTGAGTTGTTCTGCAAGAGCGGGGTCTTTGTTGGGGGAGGTGTGTAGCAAGGTGAAGCATAAGTTTGGCAACAGGGAATGTTCGGTCTTGATTTCCACGGCGCTCAGAATGGTCTCGTCATCTGTCTTGATACCAGGCTTGGTGCGACGCTCAGTGCTGGCGAGCACATATTCGAGGTCTGGGATTGCTCTGCCCGAGAATTGATGGCCCTCCAATGTCACTACGCCTCTTGCGCTCAAACCATGGCGAATGTAGAAATGGTCTACATTGATATGCCTGAAGGACGCCATGAGGATATCTCCAATGACTCGCCAGTATGTGTACTCGTAGTCCGCCTCGCGAGATGATTGCTTGACATGGATCATAGCTGAAAAGGCAGAGGTGACCTGCACTTGTAAATCCGGAGCAAGGGGAAGTCCGAGTACCGGGCTCGACAGCTTCCTAAGGATTACTTGGTCTAACTCATCCTTATTCGGTGTCATTCTGATATTGTGGGCCTTACTTGTGGTCTCGTCGCCGCTGTAAAAAGCTCTTGACTTGGAGGTTCTCCGCATGGAGGTGGGAATTGTGTGAGAAATTGAACTACTCTGGTTGGCAGTACTACTTGTGTGCGATGCTGTCTTTGATGTGAATAAATGTGTGAAGGCGATCTCTTCCGCCAAATTCCCTAAGCCCTCGAAATAGACAATGCCAGTAAGTCTCACGTCTTCGGGAACTTGTAACTCCACATCCCTGGGGTACCTTCCGCCTCCGGTCTTGAATTTCGGAGACAGTGGAGGAGGCTCCGGTGTATTGCAACCCAACGTGGATAAGAGTGTAAGCGGTGATCCATCACTAGGGTGATCAGTGTGCGGCGGAGCATGGGAGCTGCTAGACCTTTGGGGGGGAGGTTGAGACTTCAAGGCAGCTGCGGCCTGAGCTCGAAGATGAGTGGAGAATGGTGAAAAAGGAGTGATGGACATGATGGGAATGAGGTCGTGTGCGGAGGTCTCCTCCTGCTGCTGCAGAGAGCTCTCCAATTCTGTCAAAGATGAAATGTCTGTAGCGAATGACTCGGATGGCTGCCCTGGGTGATAAGGTGGGTCCATGGGGGTCATACTCTGATGTTCCGTTGCTGGGTTGCCACGAACATCCACCTGATCCATCTTGTCGCCACCCCATAAGTCCTCGTCTTCTTGCGGGTTCAGTGACATGTGGCCACTGTCTATGTCTTTTTTGTTTACAAGTTCTTTGGTGTGTGATGAACCATAATCAGAGAGGGCTAGACTCTGCAATATCTTGGGAGCAGTTTCCTTCCATTCCACATAGCTTCTTTCGCTCATAGCAATGCTATATGAGTGGGGCTCGGGATTTGCAGAGTCTACTGGAGATCCGATGTTCAAGCCACCAAGAATGTTGCTTATATCATCTTCATCTTGACTGTGAGACATTGTCAGAGGTACATAAGAGGTTTAGACGACCAAGAGCCGATTTTGTGTACCTGGTTTCATCGTTGTCTTCATGGCAGATCATAGCCTGGTCAGGATCTACTACCTGATGAAGGTTTGTTTGACCCTGAACATGTTCGTTCCAGGTCGCAATATTGATGCATAAATTGGCGAAATCTTCTTTGTATTGTTTCAGAATCGGTGCAGAGGTGCAAATCTCCTGAAGTCGTTCAGCATTCATGACAAGATGCTGAGCTTTCTCCAGGAAGTGCTGGATAGTGATGGCTTGTCTCTGATTACCAGCCATGAGATGAGATGTTGTAGTAGAAGAGTCCAATGTCAGGGCGAGGAAGGTATAGAGAGTGATCCGTATGTACATGCTTTATACTGCTGCAACATATGAGTTTCACCAGGATTCGGAGAAAGGTAGACTCAGAAGATCTCTTTTTGTACGGCTTCTCTCATAGCAACAATAACCAGCAGGAGAGTTTACATATTCGATTCTTCTATCTCACAACGCGAGGCTTCTTTCATGCCATGCGGGCGGGGTAGACAAAAGGAGATCACAGAGAGTTTAATCATTCCGGAAACACCAATCTACTTCAGCAACTTACTGTGTTTCGCATTCTGTAGACACCAGGTGACCGACGAGGAACACCTTCGAGTTCCATAATATGGAAGCCGGAAAATGTGACAAGCCGATGTTGTGAGGATTCAATATACCCATCGTGAGACCTCCCTTGACTGTTTTTTGCAAGGAGAGGCGTGAATTAGTGCGCTGGTAAAGTTCAATCTAGTCTGGGCCGACGGAAGGGAAACAGTTTTGCCGCATGCGCCAAATTCAGTCTCCGAGGAATGCTAGCTGACGACTGATGGCCAGGGTAGGAGTAGAGACCCCAACAATTCTTGCTCGGTTTCGGTGATCTTGACTCTGTGGCACGATTGCCTATGAGACCAGCAAGAAATGGACGACGCCCCATTCCAATAGACAACAGACGATGGGGGGAAACCACAGATGAAGGTGTGTTGTTATGTCTTGTACTGATTCCATGTATGCGCCACATGAAGGGACCGAACATCAGCAGGCTCTCTGCCGGCAGCGACCTCGTGTTGCCTCCAGAAACGATGGAATCGAGATGATACTCGTGTGTGGCACCTGATTGTGGTCGCTTCTGTCACTATACCAGTGACGTTTCGTCCCTTCTGTCATCATTTGATAAGTCCATATACACATGTTGTTACAGCTACAGTTGCATCAACCGAAGAGAGGCACGCATCTGGCTAGTCCAAAACAATAGTGTTGCAATGATGATCGTCCCTCTCGCATCGTAGTCTGAACAGCATGTTGTGTATCGATCCCCCTTTTCATTACGCTGGTCTTTCGGTATTGGCCGACTGAGCATGGATGATTCCAGAAGGCCGGAAGCTGCATGTTATAAAAGATCAGGGTGAGCTTGCACCGCACAAAATTCTCCCAACCCTCACTCTGATTCGACAAGTTCGCTCAGTCCTCCTCATTCGCCCAATAGCTACATGCCTCAACCTGAAATTAACGGAAGGCCCGGCGTGGCCATATTGTTCCACGGTTGCACAGATATCACTATATTCCGCCCCTTGCGGTACCCGCACCCGCACATCGACGAGAACTCGTTCGCCACGCTGCCACCCACGGGCTACATCCGCACTACTGTCCCTCGCATCAGGGGGAAAAAGTACGACTACGCCTCATATACTACCTGGCAGCTGGACTGGCACACCGATACTCCCCTGGTATTTGGTGGCACTCACCATCCTCGTATCCCTTCCCAAACAGAACGTGAACCCGCATCCACCGAGCGTCCCCAGCGTTTCGCGCTCAAGCTTGCTGCAAACGTCGGAAACTCACGTATCGGAAAGGCTCTTATGGAGAAGCTCATTGACGAAGCCATATATTATACGGTCCACTTGTCATCCGTGCAGGGCGAAGCCGTGCCTAAACATTACGGTATCTGGTGCGGGATCACCGATTGGGACGTCCCAGTTGCGATCTCCATCATGCAGTGGGGAGGAAGGCCTTACCTCTCACATATCAAAGACACAAAGGATGACACCCTCGAAACAAGGTCAGTATATCGCTGTCCATATAGATTCGTTGCTCAGCTTTACTCCTCACAGGAAAGCGGTGCTCAGAGCGTATCACGCTCTACATCAGAAGGCGGGGATCGAGCACGATAATCACTCAGCGGCCTCCGACGGTCATATCCTATATGATCACGTAGAGGAGAAAGCATATATAGTGGACTTCTCCCGCGCCTTCCCAGGACATAAATGCGCTTTGCGCATGCCGCTGTTCGACGAGTACCCAGGGATCGTACCCGATCCTGTATTTGGGTGCAGGGAGCTGCTCCTGGTGTCCCGCCTAGTGGGCATGACGCGAAATGCCAGTTGTACGCACTATTATCTTTTCACTGCAATTTCCTGGGGGCCACTCACACTCTTTGGCAGATCTTGGAGACCCTACTGGCAGGATGCAAGCCTTCGTTGACCAGTACTTTGAGGAACATCCTGAAGCAGAAAGTGACGTTGAGGTTGACAGTGACGATGAGGTTGACAGTGGCGATGGGGTTGACAGTGACAATGAGGGTCCCGATGGGGTTGACAGGGAGGATGAGGTTGACTCTGCGGAGTGATTCTAAGCAAGATTCTCAAATTTAGTGTCCTGTAACGTGTTGTGTCATCAATTGCTGTAGTTGAGGATCCGAACGGCCGCGCTCGTAAGACTGACGGGGACTATGCCACCGATCTGGATCGATTCATATGTCGATGTGAGGCAAGCGTTTATCATGGTACATGGTGTGTTACTACGCGTACATATATAGAGTACGGTGAATGGTCCCCAACTCTTAGTTCTGCTCACTGGCAGAAGTGAAGAATAGGGCACAAGTCGTTCAGAGCGCCGATAGTGATCTGATGATTTTTCTATATTGGGTAATGATGCATGATAGGCGCCCTGAAGCCCTTGACGACTCGTCGCCCGGTATGCTGCTACTCCGAATCCGAGAACCTGCAGCCATGGTTGTCACTGCACTCTATGGACAATATTCAATTTGGGTTGAATCGCAACGTCATGTATGAATCAGTCAAGCCGGGGCAATGTCAGTGCCGTCTTTGTGGTCTTTGCGTCTTCGCGCTGGTGAGGTCTATCCTAGCTTCCTCCTTCCTTAATTCGCTGACGTACATATGCATTATACGAGCCCAGATGTGCATGGCCTTAATCTCATGCTTGCGGTGCACATGGGGTGAGGTGCAGACATGCGCTTTCGTCCGGTCCTCCCGCCGTGCATGCCGTCACTGGCCCGTGGTGCTGCGCCCAGAAGGAGCCGACGTATATATGTGTCCCGCAATGCTCACATTCACATTCACTCGTTCAAGTCCTCTCATCGAGCTTGCATATTTCTTCCTGATCCGATCCCGGCCGTCCGGGACTCCTGTACATCGATCGCAGAATGCTCGCGAACACTTTCAGTCGAGTCTTTCGTCCCGTCGCAACCCCACTCAATCCGGAACGATATCGAGAGCATGAGCGCGACTCGCTCGCTGGATTAGAGGCAAGGAGCAGGCTGGGTGATCGTGACGTCAATAGGGCCAACGGTAGGGACTCGGACAGCAGCGACCTTCCCCTTGAGCGCGCCCGAACGAGCGTAGAGTCTTCCGACTACACCCCGCTGCTGACCCGGAAACACTCCTCCCAACCGTCGACCTCGACGGCGACCACCGTCACGATAACTGCGGGTGGAGACAACCTCCACGCAGGTCCGTCACACGTCTTCTGGAAGACACCGCATTCGGGCACGGGTACGCCCTCTGGCTCGCGGCGCCTGAGCGGCGACGGCGACTCCCCGAGGTCCGTCAGCAACAGTAGCATGCGCCTCCCCACGCCTACGACCCCCGTGCACTGGGAGTCGCATCCGATGGGCCGCTCGGTGTCCTCCCCGTCGCTGTCGCTAGCACCGGTGTCAAACACACCCCTCACGCGGGAGTACCGGCCATCGTCCCTGGGAGTGCAGAGCTCTCGATCACTCAAGCTCCCTCGAGACTCATTGTCCGCCTCGGACGATTCGGACGTGGAGAGCGAGGGATCCCAGCGCAATGGCCACCATACGCTCCTCAAGCAGCTTTCCCCTATCCACGAGCAACAAGTCCCATTTCCGCCTCATAGGAAGCTGTCGATGGACAGCGTGCCTAAGACACCGGACTCCATTCGCACGTTCGACAGGATCAGTGAGCACTTTATGCTTCATAACTCCTCGTGTACTACTTAACTTGCACGTCATACACCGCCATTCGATACAGCCACTCATTCAGCATCGCACAGCGCATTCATCAATCGCCCGCTCAAGCGTTCCCTCAGTCAGACATCCACCAGCACGCACCTGTCGAATCTCTCCTCCGCGACTCCCCCTGTCATACCGCCTCTGGACTTGCGGCCCAATTTCCAGAGTGCTGTGTGCGTGCCGCCTGGCCCGCAGTCTCCAGTGATCCTGCAAGCGCCTGTTCCGCGCAAGTCGCGCATGCCTATCCCGACGCTGCCCACCGTCATCGGCAGCCCGCGCCAAACGAACATGGTGTCGGTGATATACGAAGACGGCGCGTCGGCAAGCGCGCGTTCGAGCTCCTACGCCACCCCTCCCTCATCACCGAAGACCCCTCCTCCGGGGCTGGATGAGCGCCAGTCGCTCAAGGAACTCAGGGATCTCTTCGTGGACCCAGAGCAGCTCGCATCTGACCGGAGCAGGGGCTCAGCCACAGAGACGGTCGACACGGACGCAACACATCGCGCGCACCCTGCAGGGCTTCCAGACGCCCCTAGGTTAGATGGAGAGCCCGAGGGAGGAGACTACACGCGGCCGAACAGCCGCACAGGGCTGCGCCCGCAGAACCCAGTGCCCCCCAGCACGCTCTCGGGGACCCCGCGCAACTCTCGCGGAATTTTTGGCTCGCGCTCGCGCTCGTCCGACAGCTCGTCGTTCTACGAGAATCTGGAGCAGCGCTGGCTGAAGGGCCTCTCGTTTGGCTCCGCGCGCTTTGCGCACCCGCCACCCAAGGGACCCGCGAGGAGCCAGGTGACGCGCGCGTTTGTCCTTTTCTGGCTTGGGTTCATCGCGCCCTGGTGTTGGCTCATTGGGGGCTGGCTGCTATCCGGAGAGCGGGAGACGGTCGAGACGGCTGGGCCGTTGCTGCCGTTGTGGCAGCGCAGGCGCAAGGGGAAGCACGTCGCCGTCGATAGTGCAGACGGGGCTGTCGCCAACGGGCGCAGTGCTCACGGCGAGTCCGGCTACGCACCCGTGTCCGAGAAGCTGGGGGGCACGATCGACCACAAGCGGATCAAGGCCACCTCGTGGTATCCCCTCCTTGCTCCTTCTGTGGAGTCGCTCGCTCCGGAAGCGGGCCGTCGCAGCTGGGCGCATAGGCTGAGAAGACGGTATGGATCAAGCAGAGACGACCCGTGGATCATGAGATGTCGCCTGGCTGCGGCGATAAGCGGCGTGTTATTATTTGGAGGCTTTGTCGTTGCGATGATATTCGTTGCTGGAGTTCATCCTTAAGCATATTTGGGTGGGGCCATGGTGTGTGTTGACGCTCCTGGACAGTGCCATACTGCTTTGGACGGTATACTGGCAGGACGATGGTGTCGTTTGGGCTAGTACATTTGATGTATGCTCTAATTATTGAGTAGATATGTTAGACTGGTACTCCTTGCATCCGGAAGCTTTCTTGGTTTCTAGTAGCAATCATGCAAGACACTCCGGAGACCCACGTTACCGCACGATGACCTTCGAGCTGTGGATTTGTGGGGAAAAAGGTATGATGGGACCTCGAATTGTGCATGCAACTTCATCGCACTCGTGAACTTGGGAAGTAACTGTATTACATGTATAATCCCTTCGTTATCTGCGAAGGTCATGAGGTTCACACGAAACACTGAACCAACGGGCACTGCGGTTCTCACCTAATTATGAACATATTTGCCACTTATAGCAAAGCTCGCTGAGTTCCGTATCTACTGTTCAAGAACTCGTGCAGCTCTTTGGCTGTGGATACGCTGATGAGGAACGCACAGCGCCAGGATAGTTCGCACTCACCAAATATCGACGGTACCTCCTGCGGAATCAGGTGTCCAGACTCCAAAATGCGCACATGAGACGTGTTCGCGGGACGCCGCCATACAGCACGCCACCTCTGCCAGTGTTGCCAAGGGTCCAGCTTACCCGCGACGAGCCAGCGCGCCTCGATCCGCTCGTCAAGAGTCGGCAGCAGCTCGAACGTCTCGTACGTAGCGCGGGCCTCCGCAAAGCAGATTCCCTCTTGAAGGCCAGGCATCTTGAGCTTCACGCGCCCGTCTGGCGCGTCGTACAACGCGCACTGGACGTAGATCTCGAGCACGGCTGGGTCCCATGCGGCGAAGAAGGGTGTTGATGCGAACGTCTTGTACGCTTCCTCGCTGGCAAGAGGCGGACGTCAGAAGGCTCCGAGTGGTTATTGACGATGTTGATCAGATTACGGAAGGCTCACCGAGATGACCACCCGTCGCGTCTTTGGATGGCCCCGCTAACGAACCTCTCGATGACATCTGTGGCCTTTGGAGTTGTTGTGTCCATGGGGCATACCATCGCCTCGACGAGGAACAACCGCTCGAACAGTGTGGGCAACTCGATGGCCGCGCGAAGACTTGCAAAGGCGGTGCCCAGCCGGTCAGTGATGGCGAAATCGAGAGAGACGACTTCGGACTTACATAGATGCGCCGCCAAAGGAATGCCCTACAGAGAGCAAATTTCGGTCTTGGAAACCATTTCTCTTCCGAGAGTCTGCCTCAGCGTCAGACAACCTTGGAAGGTGAGTGGGGAGAGGTGCAGGCGATGCCGACGCGGGAAGGTAGTGCAGGAGGAAGTGCAGGATATCGCGGCTGTTATCCCGCCAGTCGACTGGATAGAGTGGATTTCATTATTGATCGACCAACGGCCAGAGAAACTGGACGTACATATACCGCCAAGGTTGGCAATGTTGATAAGGCAAGCATCGCCGTGATTCGCTGCTTCCCAGGCCCAGATCTCGTCGACCTGGTAGCTGGCCTTAGCAGAGTACTCCGTGACGAGACGCTCAAGCCCAGGTTCCCATATCTGCGTGTCCACGAGCGTTAGTCGCGTACAATATGGCACGATGCTGCGCTCTCATGAGCGCACAACCTACCTCCTTGGGAAACCCGTTCGGGTGCGCGAGGAATAGCGTAACGCCCTTCGGACGCGCGCCCACGAGGCTAGGACCGAAACCTTTGCGGACATATCTGTTCACGCAATTCCACAGTGGTCGGTCGTTGGGATCCAGGGAATCCAACTGACCCTGCCATTGCTTCTCTTTGGTGGAGATAACGGCGTCGGTCGTGTTGCGTACGGCAGCCTTGTACTCCTCCTTATTGGGCGTCCACTGAGGGAGCGCTGGAGGAGGGATGTATGGCGTGATTCGAGGATTTGCAGCGGGGACAAGGTGAGTCGAAAGGGTGTACCACTCGTCAAGGAGAGACCGCCGAGGTGGGGACGGAAGCGCAGGTAGGCCAGTAGTCTTGGTAGGAGCCTCGAAAGGTGGGAGAGGCACTGGGTTGCAGGAATGGAGTACGTAGTTCGGAGGGGGAGGGAACGTCAATGCCTTCGGGTCGAAGGGACTCGGCAATGGGGCGGGAAGGGATGGCATTGCGCTGAGAATCCTGAACAATGTATCTAGTTCTGCAGGTCAGCGGTATTGCGGTGCGAGACCTCCCTATATAACTTGAAAGGAAGAGTCAAGAGGAGTACATGAACGAGTGACCAGCGACTCCTTTACCGGTTATTGATGTGCCGGTAGCGGACGAGCTGTACTACATACGACAAGTCCACAATCACAAACTAAGTGCGGCAAAGGTCGTGGCGGATCATGTCAGACGGGGAGGCACGCCGACACCGCCACCGTCGTCTATGCTACAACATATGCATCTTAGCGCCGTATGTAGAGTCTAGACACACACGATCGAGACTGCTTCGGATACATCGCGTATTGACGTACACTTATTGGGAATACTGCACCCTTACACCGTATTACAACGCGATCAATAAACATCTAGCACGATAGCGAAGCCATCGCCCAAGGACCTGCCCCAGAAACCATCTATGCTTGCTTGCGCTGGAGGTTCTTCGGAAGCTCCTTGACCCACGGCAGGAATTCGCGGCCTTGCATGTATGGCCGGAGAACTTCAGGTACTACGAGACCCTGGATTTGAAGAGCGTGTGGGAAAGAGGTCAGGACTTCGGATGCAGGGATGTCACTCACTTCTGGTGTCTGGTAGTTCTCGACGATGCAGCACAGTGCGCGCTCGGTTGCACAGAGGGTGCCATTGAGCATGTGCACGTAGACCTTACGAGTCTGCTCTTTGGTCTTCAGGCCGCAACGAACCTCGAGCCTTCGACTCTCTAGAGAGGAGTGTAAGCGAATATCCTTCGTAATTTGCTGTACTCGACTCACGGTAGTCCGTGCAATTTGAGCACGACACGAGCTCCTTGTACTGTCCTTGGAAGGGGAACCATGCCTCGAGATCGTACTTCTGCGACGCCGCAAGGTTCAGCGCGCCCGAGACGATCGCGACGACTCGGTATGGGATCTTGAGGCTCTGGTAGAACGCCTCCGAGTTCGCAACCATCTGGTCGAACACCTCCCAGCTCTTCTCCGGCTCGGTGATGCAGAACTGCTCGACCTTCTCGAACTGGTGCACGCGGAAGATACCCCACATGTCGCGACCCGCCGAGCCGGCCTCCTTGCGGAAGCACGTCGAGTAGCCGACGTACTTGATCGGGAGTTGCGTCTCAGGCGAGTCGAACCATTCGTCCGAGTGGAAGGCCGAGATGGGCTGCTCCGAGGTCGCGATAAGGTACTTCTCGTCCTCCGCGGCGATGACCTTGTAGAGCTCCTCGTCGAACTGATCGAGCTGCGCGGTCTTTGCCATGACGTCCTTGTTCATCATGAACGGGGGCTGAATCTTCTTGTATCCCTGCTTGCGCAGGAAGTCGAGGCCATACGAAATGAGCGCCTGATTGAGGTCGATACCGTCGTTGGTGAGGAAGTAGCCTCGATGGCCGGTGATCTTCGCGCCTGCGGATGATGTTGGAGGAGGGTCGTTGATCATGCATTGGAGGGACGTACCTCGTTCTAAGTCCATAGCATCCAGACGAAGAAGGACTTCGTGGTGGGGCATGATGTCCGTCTTTTTCTCGACCTCCTTGCTTTCGGGATGCCAAGTCCTGAGCGTCTTGTTGTCGTCCTACTGCCCTCCTCAGCAACCCGACGTCTTCACATAATTGCGAGAAGAAGAGATGCGATATACCTCAGTCAAGCTGACAGGCACATCCTTCCCGACGATGTTACCGACCGTGGAGGCCTTCTGCCGCATCTGCGCCTCGAGCTCTTTCGCTTCATTCCGTTTTGCGATGACCTGCGCGTCAATCTCCTTCTTCTTTGCGACCAGCTCGTCTGCGTTCTCTTTTGCCTTGGAAGTGTTGTCAATATGACGTGATCGCGTGCCTCACGGGCGCAGGCAACGCACTTTCTTCTTGGCTGCTATCTCTTTCTGCACACTATTGACCGACTTTGCGAGGCTGTTCGCCTCAAAGTCGACTATGCCGCGACATCAGTGATAAGTTGGAGGGCATAACAGTGGCGTCGACGACGTACGTTTCACCCAGTCGGCATACATTTGGATAACCTCGTCTACGATCTCGACCGACAGCCCTCGTCTCCTCTGCGACTCACGAATCTCCTCTGCATTCCCTCCCTTATTGTCGATGAAGTGTAGTACGTCCAAAGTCATGTCGTGTGGTGGTGTTGAGGGTTGTCTGTTGAGTGTTTGTATGGGTGTCTGTGAGTCGAGGATAGTAGTACAAAAGTTCTCGCGGGAGTCATCGATGCATAGAGCACTGCACAGTGATCGATTCGTGCGGTAAGTATATCTAATCTAATCTCGGGTAACTACGTCTTATGTCCGCTTAGATCTCGAGTAATCCACTGAGATTGCTTTGTTTAGAACTCCGATAGGCTGTGCATCATCTCCGCTGTTGCGCAAGGAACTGTGGACACGTCGACGACGACAACCCCCCCGCCATCCTCGACGCTGACGCTCTCTGCTGGGCTTCCTGCTCTCTCATGCTGTGAGCGATGAACATTCGAAGAACGCTGGGGCGCCTGAAGGTCTACCGTCGCCCTTGCGATTGCCACATATCCTATAGCGGTCCTCAACAAGCTTGAAGTTCCATCATGAACCCCTCCTCAGGTGACTTGGTTGGGGTCTAGCATGACGTGGGATGGAGAGGGCATTCTGGAGGAGTTACAGTCTTAGGTGGAGGAGGAAACAGGAGGGAGTTGGTTGGATGATTTGGCGTTAGGCAATTTTACGACATGTGGTGCGGTATCGAGTATTTTCCATGTGTGCGAGCGAGAGGAGCGGGAAATATTGTGTTGCATGAACGCGTGCGTACTCTATGAGTGATATGAGCAAAATCAGCGAGAGGAACCATCGTCGGGGAGAACAAGGTCATAGCGGCCCAAGATGTCGCCCAGGGCGCGAAGTCGCGAGGGCGATGCCGCTTGACCCACGACCACCACCTCGACCAAGACCCTCCGACTTTCCGCTCTCCGTTCTCCCCCTATCTTCTTGTGCTCGTCCATGTCGGGCAAAGCTCCGCCGCGAGCACCGCGAGCACTGCTAAATTCCCTCCATGGATCTGCCGCCGCGGCTGCTGCGACCTCATCTTCAACACCTCCCAGCGCGCCCTCCAACTCTCGCATAGGAGCGACTCCGCCTACTGGTCCTCGTAGCCTCCTCAACGGTCAAGCTGGATCGAGAGGTCGAGGAGGAAAATCATACGTGAATGGCCACGCTGGCGTACCAACGGGCCCCGCCTCAACGCCCCCTACCGGGCCCTCGGCGCTGAAGGGTAAACAGGTTGATGTTGGATGGACTCAGCCGAGTGGTTCGAGTGGTGTAGGTGCCCTTTCATCGGGCTGCAGGTAAAATTGTAAGCTCATGGAAATTCCTTCACGTTCACAGGCACAACCAAACGGCGCAGGACCCAGTAGGGCTGCACTTCCACAGGAGCCCACCGCGCTGAATGCAAGGCATACTGCCATATCCTTCAAGCTCAGGCCAAGTGCTTCATCTTCCTCACTGCGTTCCGCCAACGGCGATGGTCCACATCCTCCCACGTCACCACGGCTGAAAGCGTTCACGCTTCCCCCGTCGAGTCCGGCGCCCCCGCCACCCCCGCCGCCATCAGAACCACCTCCGCCTCCGCCCCCACCAACTACTGAACCACCACCCCCGCCGCCTCCCACAACGCAGCCTCCGCCCCCACCTCCACCTTCAAATGAGCCTCCGCTACCTCCACCTCCTCCATCTGAACCACCGCCTCCACCGCCACCCTCATCTTCTGCACCTCCTTTACCACCATCATTACCGCCCCCACCTCCCCCATCTTTCGCTCCCCCACCTTTACCGTTTGCGTCGTCCATCCCACCTCCACCATCTTCCCCGCCGCCACTTCCGCCCGATGCCCCTCCTCCCATCCCCTCAACGTCGGCAGTACGCCTGCCCCCTACTGGGCCTCGCCGAGATCCATTTTCGGGTGCATACACCGCTCAACAAGGTATGCGCCTACCAGTACATATCCCAACTGGCCCCAGAGCGCAGAGACCGCCGAGTCCCGCTATCCCCCAACCTCCAAGCGAGCCCCCACCTCCCCGTCCGCCTTCGCCGCAGCTCTACTCCCTGCCTCCTCCGCCGCCATGGCCACCGGAACCATCCGAGTTTCCCCCCGGAAAGAACTGGAAAGTGCTGTTCGACTACGCGATTGACAAGGACCGAGAAGGGCAGTACCGGGCGCTGGCGGAAAAGCTGCGGGAGAAGGGGATGGACCAGGGAGACGAGCCGCGCGTGAAGGGGAAAGGGAAGGGGAAAGAGATCATCTTGCGGTACAATGGCGAGGTCATCGACGGAGAACACGACGCCGTCATCCGGGATCCAAGGAAGGAGACGAAGGTGAAGAGGCTGCCGTCGATGAGACCGGTGAGGGCGGAGCTTGTGCAGTGCAAATACGAGGTGCGCGTCTACTTTCCTGCTGTTCTTGGTTGTCCTTGAGACTGAGGTCGAATCCGTGGATTATGTTAGTACGATGTGAACTCTTCCGGCCCGCCCCCGCCGACGAGCGTTCTCGTGTTGGGTATATCACCGCTCATGCCAAATCAGCACTTACGACGTCATTTTGGCATGCACGGTACAATCATGTCCTTTGAGCCACAAATCGACAAGTCAAGTGGTGGTGCGCTCGGGATCGTGTTCATCAGGTATATGTCACACGAGGATGCGAAGAAGTGCGTGGAGAACGAGCATGGCAAGAAGCTAAACATCGCAGTCCCTGGGGTAGGCGAGGGGGAGGAGCTGCGGGTCGTATCCGATGGCGAGGGAAAGGTTCTGAAGGCAGTCATGAATGAGCTGGACAGGCGGAGAAGGGAGAAGCTGAGACGAGAGAAGGAGGAGAAGGAGAAGGCCGCCGCACATCTGAAGCCCACGCCAACGTCGAGTGCGAGTCAGACGCCCGTACACGCAAACAATCCATGGCGAACGACGCTGCGAGATGGGGGACCTCATCGACAACAGGGCCAGCATGCCGCTCCACGATCTTTGCTCCCGAACGTCCACCTCCCCATGCGCCCGCAAGGGCTCACACCAATGTCTATGACAGGCTCTCCTGCGCAACATGACAAGGCTAGTCCGCTGCGAAACGGTACGCCGACAGGGCCGCGGAACGGCCCTGCGCGCGTGCGGAGAGCAGCACCATCCGCTCCCTTTCGCGCGCGCAACAATGTGCCACATCCATTGCGCGCCGTTCCCCCCGCCAATATCCGGCCCCCGATCCACCTGTTTCCCAACGGCATCGAGGCAGGACCTGTCCTACCGCCACACATGCAGTTTGGCCTGAACGGCGTGGAGACGCCGCCCCCGATGCCGTTTCCGCCTTCGCGCTCGCCATCGCCCGTGTCAAGGCGGCCGCAGTACGGGCGGGCGAAGAAGAGTGTGGACTACGACGTGATCAAGGCAGAGCTCGCCAAGAACGGGTTCGACCATATCGCCATCGACGGACATGTGGGCAGCGTGGACGAGGAGGACGTGGAGAAGTTCATGGTGGGGTTCAAGGTCGACAAGGTGCGTCGTGAATGCCCCTCGTTCTTGTTCAGGGTCACTCATAGGTTATTTCTGCCTTCTAGATCCTGCGCGACCGCCATAGCTGGTACGTGACGTTTAAAGACCGGGACACGGCCCATCGAGCTTTGATGGTGCTGACGGGGACCGGTCGGACGCTTGCGCACCATGCTGTCAACGTCACCGTTCGCGCTGCGCCCACCCACGTACCCACCGCGCACAAAACCCAGTGGACCGACGGCGAGCTGCTCGAGCAAGCCGAGAAGGAGCTTCGGCAAGAGCTTCGGGCGACCCTGGAGAAGGATATCGTGGAGCGCATTCTTGCGTCGCAGGTGAGGAGGCTCGTTGCCGAGGAGCGTACCAAGAAAGGCGTGCGCACAGAGCCTGTCGTCGATGGTCATGTTGCAGAGGCTCTGGAACACGAGTCGAAATATTTGGACAAGGACGCCCTCCGCGGGCTCTCGTTTCGCAACAAGAAGAAGCGGCCTCGGGAAGATATGGTGGCGCCAGTAGAAACAGCGGTGATGACGGAGGATGACATGGTGGTCGAGAGGCCAAAGAAGAAGCCGAAGAAAGCCAAAAAGGTGTTCGTCGAGGAGAAGCTCATAGAGTCCGAGGATGAGGAAACCACTCCTGCCCTACTACCGCCCGAACCGACGAAGCAGCGAAAGCGCGCTATGTCAGAAGCGAGCGAGGTCGAGGTACCAGTCAAGAAGAAGTCCAAATCTCAGCAAGTCCAGGTCTTCGAGGACAACGCCATACCTGTTCGCACGAAGAAGTCCAAGAAGACCGCAGTCGCAGAGGTCCTGCCAGACACGAGAAATGTCAGTGCCTTTGGGGACGAAATCGTCCACGAAGTCGTCCCCGAGACATTACTATCTGGGCCTCCTACCATCGACGAAGTGCACGTCACGACTCCTCTCGGCTTCACTCCGTCACCGCTCGCTTCTCCTGCAGCGGGTGGTCCTGTTCCTATCCAGCCGCCGTCGGCCGGAATCATCGACCCCATTGCCGAGGGGATTTGCGAGGACGAAGAGGACATGTACTTTGCGAAGCTCGCGCTCGAGCGCATGTTGTTCGGCAAGTCCGCAGCATCATTGGACGAGCCCGAACACGACGTGGAACTTGATGCACCGGCGCCCTTCCGGAAGCACGTCACTGGATCTGCGCGGACCGAAGGATACTACAAGATCTCGCATACGGAGAAGTCGGCCTATGTCGCACAGTACGCGTTGCGCGGTATGACGACCACCGTGGCGACAGAGACCGAGCAGACCCCAGCACCGAAGCCCGCCGTCACGTCCTCACGGTCCAATCGTGCCAACGCGCGTCGTCGCGCACAAGGCCTCGAAGAGATCAACCAGGTTCAGCGCGCGATGGCTCTGTCGAAGGGAGAGGCTGCTGCTCCGGACTCCGTCAAGTACAATCAGCTGCAAACGAGGAAGAAGCATCTGCGCTTCGCGCGGTCGCCCATCCACGACTGGGGCCTGTATGCGATGGAGAAGATCAACCGCGGAGACCTCGTGATCGAGTATGTCGGCGAAGTCATTCGTGCGCAGGTTGCAGACAAGCGCGAGAAGGCGTACGAGCGTCAGGGCATTGGTAGCAGCTACCTCTTCCGTATCGATGAGGACTTGGTAGTGGATGCGACCAAGAAGGGCAATCTTGGGTATGTACGCTATCTGCGTGATTCGATGAGACGCTTACGAATATTCTCGTAGTCGACTCATCAATCACTCTTGCGACCCGAACTGCACAGCGAAGATTATCACAATCAGTGGAGAGAAGAAGATTGTGATATACGCGAAGCAAGACATTGAGCTTGGCAGTGAGATTACTTACGGTGCGTTCTTCTGGATGAATATCCGCTCTCTGCACGACACTTATCAACGTGTAATCGCAGATTATCACTTCCCTATCGAACAGGACAAGATACCTTGCCTTTGCGGTTCCGCCAAGTGCCGTGGGACTCTCAACTAGACCTGCCTAATCACTACTCGCTCCTACATATGTTTATGTGCCGCTACTGCTTCCTCCGCATACCCCGCTGTCGTCGTTGCTCCTGTGCGCCTGTCTCACTACTTCTTGCCACTCTCCATCATCGCTGTCATTGATTGCAACACTCGCATCCAATCCGCCCACATTTGTATCTTATATTGTAACATGCGTCTTCATGCGTCTTATTCAGGCCCAGATAATGAGACCAAGAAGCTATCCTAGCTTGCGAGCATAGCGGACGTCCGTCGCCGACTAATGGATAGACAGTAATGTCACCTTCGTGGAACATAGTATTAGAGATGTCGTCCGTGATTGGCAACCGCTCTTCTCAGTATCTCCTACCGGTCTTGAGACTGTTTCGTGCGACGATTGAGAACACTTGAGACTCATGCGGTAGTTACATGACGCGCAGCTCGATCATTCAACAAAAGATTGCCCGACAACGGGCTGCGCTCAACTTCGATTCCGAAAGAATGGGAATCAGTATTAACTAGTCGCATTCCCCACCGAGTCCTTACTGGGCGACTTCTCGTCTTGAAATTCCTCATCATAATTTTTAACCATCTGCTCCATCTCTGGTACAAGCCTGTCTACACGCAAGGGGTCAGCATCACTCACGCCAAGGTAACAACATATCAGACCCGTACATGGGATGGGCTTCGTCTTTCCAATTAGGCGATGCACCAGGAGCAACTCCGAGCAGCCAAATACATCGACAGGAAGATTGGCGGGGTAGTCCCTATCCAAATCGACCCTCAAGCCGCACTGGTGTTTGACATCGGCATGACCGAGGTCGACAAGGAAGGCTTTCTTCGTCGGCCAGTCGTAAAGGAGCTGCTTCGTCGTTTCCGAGAAGTTGTTGATCTTAATTCCAGCCTTGTGCAAGGCCGCATACGCTCGAAGGATAGCTTTCCTAAGATGACCCACTGGTGTCGGCATATAAGCAAGTGGACGGTGAAAAGTATACTCACCTAGCGCGGTGTCGCGGAAATATCGTAGATAGCTGTATCCTCCGAACTGCATAATGGAGATTGCAAGCTCAGCACCCCATTCGGCCTTTCCGCACCAGACCCCGTAGTGCCTTGGGACAGCTTCGCCCTGTACTACCGAGAGGCGGTCCTTGAAGAACCACGCTTCGTGCACGAACTTCCACATCATGGCTTGGCCCCATTCGTCTCGACCAGTGTAGGCGGCAACCTTGAGAATGAATCGAGCCTAGTCAACTGTTGGCGGCTCGACGTCTTGGGGGGCATCGAGTACGCCGCGAAATATCATGCTTGAACGTATGTCCGAGCTGAGATGCTCTGTCGTATACTCCTCATATGTGAGCTCTATGCCTCCATCTTTCGGCAGGGAAGTGACAATAACCCCTTCAGGAAGGGGAGCGAACGACTTTGCATTGATATCAGATCTGTGGTAGTCAACGGGGCGAAAGGACACGATTCGCTGGCACCCATAGAAACTTATCGCCACGGTAGGCCTGTCCTTGAGATCGGGTTGCGACATGGATACGTCGAAGAAAGTGAATAAGTGAATAGCCTAGTGAGGGCGCTGTTGTGAGTTGGGGAAGTGGTCTGTGTGACAAGTCATCATCATGAGCGCCGAAAACACACGCTGAAGAGATTAGTAGTCGCTTGAGCTTCGCACTGCGTCCCAATGACCCACGGGTATAGACACAGATACCAATTGGATGCACTCCACCCAGGGCTTACATGGATTTCGACGACAACATCCAATGCGAAAGCTAGGCGTAGTATGGCATCGGTCGCGTAACGAGGATGGGGCAGAGTGGGAGAATTGCGATCGCGCCAACTATGTACTCAACACACTCACGCCCTTAAGAGGTACGCAAGAGCCTGAAAGTACGCGACCACAGCTCACATATGTGACTGAGGACAGGACCATACGTCTCATACTAAGAGAGAAAATGCTGGTGGTGGAACCGCGCCTCTGACTGATGAGCTCTTAGTTCAGTGCACCTTGGAATCTGTAGGGGTGCCGATCATTCCCAGCTCTCACGCGGACCCATATGTCCCCAGGAGCAATGATGTCAGCAATGGAAACGCGTGCCTTCCAGCAAGGACGGGCCTGTCAAGTATCTCCTGCTTTGTTTCTAGTCGTGAGTAGTAGCCTATTATTACATCTCATGCCATGCGTGCCACCGCGTTCCAACGTCATCACAATGTACGATCATGAGGTCAGCCCACTAGTTAGCTGGCAGCGCGCAGCGGTCCGCAGATAGGTTAAAATCTACACGCGAACAGAACGGGCGTGACAGTCAGCGCCCCCGTCATGTGCACCGAAGCATCCCGAGAAGAAAAAAACGAAGGCGTGAGGGGAGGGGCGTGTGTGTGTGAGTGTGAGTGAGACGTACCGTTCCCCCACCACTGTGGGAAGCTGTGCGCGTTCCCGGACGCACCGAAGACGGCGAAGTTGAGCATGAACGAGATAACCTGGGTGCCGCCGTCGAGGGCCGCAGCGACGATGTAGCTGTATGACGGACGCGTGCACGTCAGCGCGTTTGCTCCCGCTCCGCGCGAAGTCCGCCAAGCCAAACGGAGATACGCACTTGTACTTTGTGAACCAGCGCGGGTAGCGCGTGCGCACCCACCACTGCGAGAAGATGCCGATGGCCATCGACGGGTTCACCGAGGTGTTTATGCCGACGGACAGGAAGCACGAGTACTGGAGGATGATGGGCGTGCTGAAGTTCTCGAACAACCTCGCCTTAGGCCAGATGTACCACTGGACAAGGGCTCGTCAGATGCCCCGGAGCGCGACAGACGACCATGAGCGACTTACGGCGGCGATGAATGGCAGAGGACAGAAGACGCCAATCGCGAGACAGATGGGCACCATGTGGTACACGCCGTGGATTCCGAACATCTGCGGGCCGAGGCCGCCCCACGATATGCCGTTGGCTGCGGGGTTCGGATGTCAGTGACGTAGAGGTCAAGATTGCGCCAAGTGCACTCACAGTTGAAGCCCTGGGCGTTCTGACCCGACCACAGGCGCGTGCCGGAGATGGAGAGGAGAGCGGCACGGTTCGCATCGATGATCGTGACCATCATCACGTCTGCCACCAGGGGCGGAGTAAGCACACAGAGCAGGAAGGTCGCCAAGAGCACACCCACAGTTCAGGATAGCACCGATGACGGTACCCATGACCTGCATAGAGAACGTGATACGGGGCGCGAGCTTGACGTACTGGCCGAGCTTCAAGTCGCCGAGCATCAAGATGCACTGGTCCTGCGGATGCTGGCCGTAGAGCGCGCCGTACATGTTGGCAATGGGGTCCCCGGGAACCAGGTACGCGGTGATCATCTGGTAGAACCCGTTCGAGGACGTGTTGAACTGGAAGAACCCGATCGTGGCCGCTAGCGTCGCGAACAGCAGCGACATGGTCGCAGAGATGAGGAGGATGACCGTGAGAGCCCACCACGGCAAGCCTGAGTGTCCGCCGTAGTTGGTGGCCTGCGCGATCGCGTACGCTGCTACGAGCAGGATGGCGTACCACCAGCGCGGAATCTGCTTGTAGACCTTCATCTTTTCGTAGTGCGGGTCGTGAACGACTTGCTGGGTCTTATTCCAGGGATTGAACGACTTGATGAAGGGCTTGATGTCTTGCCAGTGCCAGAAGAAGACGTGAGTGAACGTCGCGCCGAGCGAGAGGTTGGAAGTCATTAGCCCGAGCGCATTTGTCGCAGAGAAGAACGCAGGCTAAGACAACGCGTTAAGCCTACGTGTGACATAGACACAACATAAACAATCGCTTACCCCAAGCTGCTCGTATTTCACGGGGTCGAACTTGCCGTTCGTCAGGAGGGCAGTCTGGTTGTACTGTGAACCGTCCGCCGCCTGCGAAGAAGTGAATGTCAGTGAGCGTTCGTCCTGACAATACAGACAAAGCACTTACAAAGATAGCCTGGCTCATGAAGGGGAAGTCCTTCGCTCTCCACAGATTGCCGTAGTAGACGCCAGCCATAAGGACGTACGTGAAGCAGATACCGATATCCTGATTGATCTGCAGCCAGATGGGGCTGAACAAGCAGCCGCTACCGATGAGATTCCAGTCGAGGCACCACGACAGGAGGCCCATGCCCTCATTGTTGCTCGCGCCTCCGAATATGTTGCGGAATACGATGCTGTGGTTGTTGGCGAGGCAGAAGATTGAGATACCGGTGAGTAGCGGGAATATCCCTGCGATTCCACACGGGTCGATTGAGCGGAGAGGAGGCAATGGAGCAGCGCGTCATGGACTTACACTGTGGGATTATCTCCCAAAAGAACATGATAACGAAGATAGTCCAGAAAACACGGACGCGCTTCGATGTCATCTGGTTGTCGAAATGAAGCGCCTGGAAGAGATTCGCGGTGGAAACTAGATCTTCGTCAGTACCAGGTATTCCAACGTCAGGGAACTAGACTGACTGGTAGTCGGCCAGAAACACTTCGTGGGTTTGACGAGCATGTCTTGCAGCAGACCCGCATACCCATATCCGAGCAACTGCGACCCGATCAGAGTGAAGATAGCCAAACCGGGATTCTGTGTACTCGGTCGATCAGTCGCAGCAGGCGATGCACCACGTGAATGTCACGCACAAGCGTCCTGTTATAGTACACTAGATTTCCTGTGTCAGTCCCGTCATCGAGCTCAAATCACGGACTGTCACCCACAATCCTGGACCGAGATTACTTGGATAGCGGTAGCGGAGACGGCCGCGGTGGAGGACATGATAATGATAGCCACGTGTTCCTTGACTGATGCACCAGTCAGTGCCGGTCAGCATGTAGATACTCAAGATGTACGCACTGTTGAAAGGCCCTGGATTTATCCACCGGAACAGCCCATGAGACGGGAGCAAGGCATGGAGTCCATTTCCGAACCAGTACGACAAGACTAGCAAGAAAAGCGTTGACACGGAAAGTGTTTGGGGCTTGAAGTAGTAAATTTGAGCCAACACACTATCGCGACAGCTTAGTGTGGTTTGCAGGCGATGATCGCGGGAGCACCACTCACGCTCCGAAGGCCGAGAAACCCAGGCCAAGGAAGAAGGTGCGGAAAGTGAGCGCGGGGAGCTCCGGGTCATCACGGGTGGACAAGACCTATGATAGCAGTTTGAATACAGTTCGCCGAAAAACGGGTAAGATGGCACGCACCTTGATGGCGACTTCGTAAGCCTCCTGGACGAGGTACTCGCCTTCCGTGGCCTCGTCTTTCTGGAGCCGCTCCTCGAACTCCTCGACCTCCTTCGCCATGATGGCGTCCTCAGAGATCTCGACGCCATCGACGCCTTTCTTCTCGTCAGATATGTCCGAGGTAGACTGCTTGTCGTCTATGGCCGGAAGGGTGCTGACTGCGTCAGTCATGGCGGCAGCAGCAAGCTAAGGCCTATCGGTGGGAGAGGGAGAGACAGGAAGTCTGGCGGTCCATGAGAACGCTTCGAGCATAAGTAGTCTGGGCAAGCCCCACTGCGTCCGGAATTGGCCAGAGAACCGCCCGATTTCCACCAAGGCGGGGCAAGGCGTGCGTCCATGAGATTCGTCTGGGTGGAAGTCCCGCCGTGACGTTATCATGACCGGCCAGGCACACGAGCGAGCGTTGGGGGGACAGTAAGGCATACTGATATCGTTTTTGGAGGAGATTTGGTCCACACCTTGTGCAATCGGCGGTTTCCCCGCAGTTCTCGCAGAAAAGCTCTCCACTGAGGGCTTCGCGTTCCCACACCTCGTGGACGTCGCTCCCGTGTCAGTAATCTGGCAGTCCGATAAGCAATCCACAATTAGAACAGCAGCCAACATGCCACATCAATTATCCCTCGGCGTGTGGACGAGCGGACCATGTGAGGCACAGTGCTCACGCACAACGCCTGACGTGCAAGAAGACGCCACTAGCGTCGCCCGTGCCTTCTATGCCAACTCTACCTGGAGCCAAGGGGCCCGTAGGCGATTCACAAAGCACAGGCTCCATCTGTAGCTGTTTCGGGGAAGTAATCAGCACCCTGACGGGAGGACGACTTCAAGAGCACGTACTCTATTCGTTGCTAGAAACCAGCGCTGACTACTTTGTAATCTGCGCTCGTTCCAAAACAAGCCTTCGCAAAAATAGCCACACCTTATCTTCAGCGCAAGGCCTACCCCTGGTGTCTACCATGGGCCGCCGAGGAGGGTGTATAGACAGGTAGAGCAATCCTGTATGTGAAAGATCATGATGGCGACGCTCCGTTGACAGCAGTCACAACACAGCAGTCCGAGCAGCTAGCTTCATATCCTGAAAGGAACACGGAAGCCCTGATTCAATGGTCAAAGAGGTGGCAGTCGACAGAGGTGCTACAGCTCGAGACTCGAGCCAATTCGCCGATGTTGAACTGGAGGATGAGAACGAACTTACTGCGCATGCAAACACGGCGCTGCGCGCAGTGGCGTGAGGACCCCAGACACTGCAGCCGGGTACTCAAACAGCACGCTCAGTCTGAAGATTGAAATTGATATCTCGACAACGCTGAGCGTGGGCTCCCTGTTCCGCCGCGGGTCTAGCAGCACAGTTGCCTGTCCGGATCCGTCATCCTGTCTAACCTGCCATGGCCACCTGCGTCCGTCCTCCTGGGCTCTCATCCGCAGTCGTTCACAAACGTTGAGTCTGACACCATCGCCTTTCGGCGTCGGAACTATTCTGGCATGGCGGGGATTCAGGTGTTTTGTTGTTTTCGATTGGGGAGAATCTGATGCAAAGGGGACGCAGCAGGCACCCGCCTGCCATCTTCAAAGACTTTCGTTCGGCGAGGCGACGTTCATGCAAAGAGTCAATCTCATGCGCCCCCTCATCGACTTTTCGCCGGTCGAACACGCCCGACTTCCTGCCGTGTGGGGCGGTGTGGGCGGTCGCGGCGGCCGGAACAACCGTCTATCAGTGGCACCAAAACGCAAAGTTCGCCGGCACCTGCAAATCTTTATCTATCCGTCCGCGCAACACCCGCAACCTCTCCCGCACACTGGCAGGCCGCTCATGGCGTATTTCGCGCGCAGAAGACCTGAAGGCAGACATTGACGCCCGGTGCCCCTGTGACTCTCAGATGGAGTCTGGGTAATGAATCTTGACGCAGAAGGCCGCGGCGGCCGCAGATATACAGTCGACTGATAGTTGGATACATTCTCGAAGGCGGACAAAAGTACGGGACTCTACAAAGGGCATTTCTTTAATCGCGAGTCGAGGGGTCGTTGCGTAGTGCAGTTCAACGTCGCTCCCGGGGACACCTTTGCGATGGGGGCGGCGTGAAAGTAAGCCGAAGGGCAGCGCCCGCTGAACCCAGGAGCGTCTAGGAGACTAGTACAACCGTCTGAACACAGGCGGGTCACCTACTACGAACGAGTCCGTTTCCGTAAGAATCGAGCACCCAAGAGGAGGAACCGATAGGACACATACATTCGCCAGAGACGTCCCCGTACACGTATGCTGGTTCCGAACGCGATTCTGGTACCGAAAGAGTTGCTGGTATCAAAAGCGTTCCGACTTGCACATTGACACCGCGTGCAATTGTTTTCTGAAATATGCTTCGAACGCGTGGAAGCCACCAATAACCTGATTGGGCGCAGTCTGTATCTTCTGGGCGGTCCGGTACGCAGAAGCAGAGACTGAGCGTGTCGAGGGCTTTGCAGCTGCCACCCTCCAGATTGGCTCGAGGCTCGAAAGTCCTTTGCCGGACTCATGCTTCTCTGCCCAGGACTTCTTGACGGCGTCTAGTCCATCGATGTAGAGATGACGCAGGGCGGACGGGAGCCGGAGTTTGCTGAAGATAATCGTGAAGACACACGCCTTTACGCGGAGCAATGTCAGGTTGGGAAGGAGTGACACTACCTCGCGATCCATATCTACAAACCGATCTTGCATGCCACTCAATCAGTGCTGATACACGAATGGAAGTAAATGAGACGCTCACCATGTCAGTACACCTGCAGGCTTGTGAGCACAGCGGAAAACGCCTGGTACCAGTCATCGGTTAAGCCGCAAGACACGTTGAGTTCACTAAGTGCGCAGAGCGAACTCTTCGTGGGTGTCACGAGCAAAAAGTTGAGGAGCCGCCTCGATATATTTTCGTCTTGACCGAACGCGAGATGGCGCAACCGTAGACGACTCGTGTAACAGCTGATTGGTAGATTGGGATTATCGTGATAACCCACGCGTACGTAGTCCAATTCTAGATGTTCAAGAGCAGGCAGCGCTACTAGCATTCGGCAGAAGTCGCCGAAAGTACGGAAGTTCACATAATCAAGACGCAATTTCCCCACTGACGAGAAGGTGGACAAAGCGGCATAGATGGGACGTTGGCATTCCCAATCAAGGTCAGAGAACACCAGGACGGACAGATTGGGGAGCTGCCCTGCGAATCGGGAAACGAAGGCGCAGAGCCCGAAGGGTTCCTTGCGTGGCCGATCGCTAGTTTGGCGTGGGAGTCCAGAGAGCTCAAGGTAGGAAGTCGATCTCAACCATGACCGCGTAGTATGATCGCGGAAGATCTGTTGAGAAAGCTCGCAACTCTTGCTGCGAAGTCGGAGTGTGACAGCTCGAAGCAACTTGTGCCTGCTCGCATTGAGCCAACTGTGGCACACCAACGAGCACCTAAACAGCGCCCTGGGGGACCGAACGAAAGAGATGATGTAGTCCATAAATTCCGGAGGCAGCAGGGGGGCCATCTGACTGTACGAACGTCAACATGGACTCGGCCAGCCTGCGAGACGACTCACGCGGTACAAGGAGAGCTAGCAGCAATGTAGATCGGGGGCGAACTGTGGTCCTGGTGAGGGCGGGAGGGAGAGATGCTGTTGTCCCTGTCGTCGTGTATTTAGGAAGCTGGTGTATCTGTATCTGTGCGTGGGAGGGGATTAGATCACTGATGGCTCCCGCGCGCGCACGATTGCGCGGACACGACGCAGAAACGCTCTACCTGCCTCCGTTCGCAAGGATGGGTAGTTGCAAGTCTTCGAGATTTTCACTCTCTGAGGCAAAGTGTCGCTTACCAGGTATTGCCGGGTATCTGCTTGGGCCGTTATGTCAACAATGTGATTCGCAACCCATTGAAGGCGAATGCAACCACTTACCCACGGTCTGATAGTGGCTCCGAGTAGTACTGATTCCAGAAAATAAGGGGCATAGAAAGGAGACTTACAGCACATACGCATTGCAGGAAAGGACTCAGGAAATGGGGTGAAGGGTGGGAAGCAAGAAAGCGATTGGTTATATGTGCTAGACGTGGATATATGCGTGGGTAACAAGCGAGCGAGGGGAATCGTACAAACAACAGCAGCGGAAGGAGGAGGTACAGAACATTACGTTGACGGGGATAAGGATAGGAAAAGTTGGATGCAGCATGAACGTTATGCGCACGGCCGAGGAGGCTGTATGCAATGAGTCGTATGCAGGGCTAGTGAGTAGCCGGAGGCGTCGCAGGATGGTGTCGAGGATATCCAGCCACCGACCTTCATGGCCCTCCCTCCGCCGTCTCGGCCTTCGACGGCGACGAGCTGCCCAGCGATAGGCCAGGAACCTCCTCGTCAGCAGCCGCATCTTCCACAGTGGCCGGGGTCTCCTCCGCCTGCTCTCCTCCCTCGGCGTCGTCCTCGCCCTCGGCATCCGCATCTTCGCTCTGCGCCGCCTTGAGCTGGGGGGAATCCGGCAGGGGAACCGCCGCCGCCTGCTCTGCGTCCACCTCCGTTTCTTTCCCGTCCGTCGAGACCTCCTTCTCCTCGGCCGCCGACGTCTCAGGCTGCGCGGGCTTCTCCTCAAGCTCCACTTCTTTCACGCCCTTCGTCACCTCCTTCACCTCCTCCGTCTCCTTCTCCTTCTCCTGTGGCTGCTCCTCCGGAGTAGCCGGCGCAGGCGTAACGTCCGCCTCCGACTCGGCACGGTGCTTCTTCGACACAGGGGTCTGCTCGCGCTCCTCCTCGGGCTCGGGCGTGCTCAGTCTCCGTTTGCGGCCGATCTGCGGGGCCGTCGACGTCGCTGTGCGAGGCCCGCATTTCCGGTAAAATTGCGAAATTCCAGAAGACGGATCGATTGTGGATCGTGTTCGAAAACGAAGACAAAAGATAAACGCGTGTCAGACGCGTGGCAGCTCGATCGAGAACGCAGGGAGAACGCACCGTCCTCGCTCCAGGGCCTGTCTGGGCGCGGGAAGAATCCGCTCGATATCCGACGGATGAGCTTGTACATAGCTTCGTGATAGTTCAGGGGCTGGGCTATATGATGCGAAGGAAGTGCGCTGGCGCAAGGGTGGTGGGCAGCGGAAAAACGCGAGCGCGGGGAACTGGTTGTTGATCGCGAGGCTGAGGGCACGCGACGCGACGTGGCGCCCAGTCCTGACTGGTTTTGTGCCATCTGTCCAGTTTGCTCTTGTTTGTCTTTCTGCTCCCATCACGATCACGTGTGCGACGCGTTCTATCAACGTACCACCAATAATGTTCTGTCCCTTCGTGTCCACGACTCTTTTGCACATCCTTCAGAGCGACAGGGGCAATAAATTGACAACACTTGATGGGAAAGAAGGACGATGTAGGCAGTATTTTGTAGCACAACCTCGAGGGTGACTAGGCGCGTTGTCAACACCTCGTTCTCCCTCGTGGGTTTTCCACCTTTGCGACATTAGTGATCCCAGACACATGTGTCGAGGGACGCTACACCATCTGTGGTAAGGCTGCAAGAAGACAGTGTCAGTGATAAGCTGCCATTGTAACACTTCCTTACCAAGATCGACGGGGGCGGGCAGAGAAGTGTTTGTGAATTGGTTGCGTCCCATCAAGCTCCTTGTATACGTATACTTGCTGCAAATTGAGAACATCCCAAATTTGATCATCGACAGGATGAATACTTAAATACATCGGAAATGTATATAGAGCCTCCCATCCTCACAGTCTCCATAGCTATAGAGTCTACAGCTATAGAGTATACATGGTCCGCAGGGTGGTCAGCCACATGAGAAATGCTATCAGAGTCACACCAGTCTCCGTGTGAAGTCCGCAATACTCATAAGCATCCCCCTTATTCTACGTCATATACACTTGAGCCATGTCAAGTGGGCAAATCGGAAGGTATCAGGTGCATAGTTAGGTTATTCTGCGTCCAACTAAGTGAAGTATCCAGTTGGCATCATAGATATGAAAGGGTAGTAATACTAGTTCGATTGTATATGCCCTCACCGACATGCAAAAATGCAGGACAAGGCACGGAGTATCTCCACGAGCACTGGGGTAAGATCCATGTAGGAAAGATGCGCGTTGAACTGCAAGCCGACGTTTGCTTGTACATTCGAAACTCCGCCAGTGCTGACTCCCGTCTCCGACTCGAACATCCTGCACTAGGTTGCGATCCCTCCGATACCATCCATCTTGGGAACGGAAATGAAAGACCATAATTTGAAAGCCTTCATAAGATACCAGTTTAGCGAACCGTTCCTAGCCCGCGTATTCGTTCCTTCCTGAATCATTTCCAGGTGTTAACGATATTCCTTATCTCAGATCCGTCCTGGTCGGCTCGTGCCGAGAAGAGGCCCTCGACCAACTGGACATGCGTGGGGACTCGAAGCAGTACTGAGTATTGCACGACTTACCATGGCCACGTCCGTCGCTGTCGCACCCGGAGACGACCCTCGCGATCCTTCCGCGGAGGTGAAGCTGACTTTGCCAGATACCTGGCAGGTCGAGTCCATGGGTGGGTGCCAGCACGCCGTGTCTCCTTCTGAGTTCATACAGCTGACTATGTGTGTTTGTATACAGACCCTCTCGGTTCCTCGAGTACGCCCTCAACCCACTCGTATGCGCTCCATCTGTGTCTATACTGAACGTGCTATGTGCCGCAGTGATGTTCGTGTCGGGATTGATCATGGTGACCCGGAACCGGTACGTGCATTTAGCCTCGTCCGGCCGGACCAAACGTCTCATCCGCTCTCGTCTTCGTCCTCTTGTTCACGCACCCAGGTACCTTGCGTGGCCCTCCCTTCTGCTCTCTATCAACAGTGTCACCAACTCTCATCCGTTGCGCGTGAAGGAGGGTGCGCAGACCGGCCTCAGTGTCATAATGTACGCCCTCTCCGTCCTCCCTCCAGCTTCGCCCCGCTGACAAGTAGGGTCTGCCAGGCTCGGTATCGGTGCGCTGCTTGCATCTTACCTACCCTTGATCATGATCACTCCCAAGCCGGCTGCGGCGTGATGCTGTATGTATGCTTGTTGTCTGTAATTCATATTGTGCGGAGATTTTGCATGGAGGAGCATTGCTTGCAAATATGAGTGCACATCCACCGGGCATCGTATCAAGCCACTCAGAAATGGTGCCTGAGAGGCAGCAATATACCGAATAGCCAAAACAACATGCATAGCACAGAAGGACAACGAACGGTCAACACGTACTGGTACATTGTACGCCCGCATCCAGACCCTTCCATATCCCAAAGGCATGCGACTATGACGGCGGAACTGCGAAAGGATCCTCCATATTCTCATCCATGAGAGGTCCTCCTAGCAACGCATCCGTGGACTGCAGCTGCGACAAGTCATCCGCACCCTCAAACTGCTCTCCGTCCGGTCCGATACCACCCATATCCAGACTCATACCCTCGTCCCCGCCTATAGCGCCCACGTCCACGTCTACACCTCCATCCAGCGGTCCTACGTCCAACCCGCCCTCGTCCAGGGCTCCGTCCTCGTCCCCGCCGGTCTCTGGGGGCAGGAGCGCGTCCTGCAGCCCGTCGTCGACGTCTTCGGGGGCGGGCGTCGGTGTGGGGGGTTGGAAGGATATCGACAGGGGATGGGGCTTGGGCGAGGCGGGTTTGGACTGGGGCGCGCTCGTGTCCCCGGACCCGTCCTTGGGTCGGACCGGGGCCGGCTCAGAGACGTCGCGCGACACGAGGCCGGACGTGGTCTCGGGCACGTTCGAGTTCGCCGCGTCGTCCTGGTCCATGTCGTCGTCGCCCTCGACGACCTCGACGAGCTCTTCGGGCTGGATGGGCGCGAGCGGCTGGTCTGCCTCGCCTTCGTCGTCGCTGAATTGCTGCAGTGGCCCGTGTTCGTTAGTGCGTGGTAGAACGGACACATCAGAATGAGAGCGTGCGCACCTGTTTCTTGTCCGTCTTCACCCACTTGTACACGCGGAGAGTCGTGCCTGGGGGCGCGCCGTCCGGAGGACCCCATACTTTCTCCCAGCATGGAACAGGTTGCATGAGCTGTCGGCGCGACGCCTCAGACGTAGATGTGCTGAAGCCGACTCTTCTCCTAGTTGCCATATTTGTAGATCAACGAGAGATGTCAAGGCAGATAGAAACACTCGAAAGTGTCGAGGACGGTGGCGGTCGAGAGACAAGACGCGCTCGCGAGTCGCGTCGCGCGTCTACAGCATCTTCCCGCAACCGGACTCTCATGAAGCTCTGGTCTCCACGGCCATCTGTCCTCCCTCAGCCTCTCTTAGGCCCAACCCGACGTCGCTTCACACGCTGAGGTGTTTTCTTACCACTAATGGACGACGAGGAGACCGAACTTCGGAACCCGTTTCCCTCGCCACCTTCCCACTACACGCGCTACACGAACCACAACCTCAAGCTCCTCGAGCTTTTGAAAGAGCGCGCCAGCGAGGGCGTGGATATCAGCACGCTCAACCAATATGATGTCCTCTCGGACCAGACGGACGTGCCTGAATGGCCCCTGGCGACGCTGGAGAAGCCGCGCGTAGACTGGATACTGGAGGAGGGACACTACACGGTCTTCGGGGATACTTGGTTTGTGAGTGCCAGTCGCATCGCGGGCTCGCCCTAGTGTGCTGAGGCGACACGCGTCGTTAGATCAAGGAGACTATCCCTTCGCTAGCTGAACTGGGCGGACACCAGTTGTACCCCCAGGATCCCGGCGTCGGTATGTTCTCTATCTGGTCCCCTCGACGCGCAATGCTGTATAAACCATCGCATCTGCACAGACCGCCGCCCGGCACTCCGCAGCATCCTGCGCTCCCTGCTGGTGACCTACTCGAAACTCCTGACTTCCCTCCTTGCTCCCCCACCTACGAGCTCTTCCGAAGGGGAGCCCGAGTGGAAGCAGCACCTGGAATGGATCAACGTCCTTGCGCAGAACGTGATGGCAGCCGCCAACGACCTTCGGCCAGTGCAAGCACGGGGAAATCTGGAGCTGATGATGCGAAGGCAGCTGGAGGTTAGGAGGGAGGAGACGAAGACGATCCATTCGTATGTGTCATCCTCTATGCTACTGCAGAAGTGAGCTGATCCTAGTCGTGCGCTGTATGACAGCAAATGCGACTCACTAGAAGCACAGCTCGCTGAGCTGCGGCAGTCTGCACAAAGCTTGAGCTCCGCTGCGAGTGCAAATCCTAGCCAGGGCGCGACATCCTCGGTAAGCTCATTGTCATCGAACTTGTCCTTTCTCGCTGATTCCAAGCATGCCGCATAGCCCGTGCCGCCGCCCGACCCGAGCCAGATGTCTCACGAAGATGTCTTGCGATGGGCAGAGGAACTTGTCTGAACCTGCGCTTCATCACACCACGATTGCCCAACACACACCGTCTGAAGTTTCAGCTCGTTGTCTAGCACGAAGTCGAGCAGGCATACGCATCGGCTAAACTCCGAGGAGTTCAGCCCGTCAGCGCTTCACAGCTCGCGATCAAACTCTACCGCTTTCTCAGTGTTTGAAATGGAGGCGACCGGAACCCTCGCGCTGTGCTTCGGCTCCGACGGCGGGGAGGTTGTCAGAGTACCCCCCGGCCAACGAGTATCTAATGGGAATTGGGCAGGCCAGTTACCGATGCCATATCCGCGCTCGGGGAGAGGGAGCAAGTCTGCGAAGACCGCTGTCTGATTGAAGGGTCTGTCCGTTCGCACCTGAGGCGTATGTGGCCCGCGCCTCATGACTGATAGGTGTATCAATTCGAAGCTGAGCTTGCGTTTGGAATGAGGTGGTAAGACGCCGAGAAGGCGGCAGTGCCCCTGCGCCCAGTCCTGTATATATAAAGCTCCGCCGCCCAATTCCAATCACTTCCTCTGCCACTGTCGAGAGACTCTTCAGTATCTACCCCCGTGCTGTTTGTCGCCATTACCGCTGACGAGGAGTGGGTCCCCATGGCGGAAATAGTAGGCAAGGAGGCATTGCCTTTCATTCCGGACGACTTGTCGCTCCCTCAGTTCTTGCTGGACGTACATCACCCGAGTCGTCCCGTGCGCACGAAACCTCAGGCATGGTTTATCGAAGAGACTAGCGGCAGAGAGATCGGTTTAGACGAGGTGGGTCTGATATGGCTAGAATTCGTACCTTTATGCTCTTCCGTTGAGATGTTTTCCCAGATTCGCGCGCGGACCCACGGTCTGGCGAACGCCTTGAAAATTCGTTGGAACATTGGTTAGTATGGTGCTGCTCATTATCCCCCCTCTGTTACTTATATTCATATTCGATGACTACTACAGGCCAAGACGACGTAGGCACGTGAGCCGGTTACGGGAACAAGGTTGTGGCGTTGACTCGTCCTTGCAGCTTGTCTATTCAGCCCAAATCACGTCGGTGCGGTTAGCGCCCTTTGACCTCATGAACCATGCTCATCATCGCTCGTAGACTACCCGGTCATCATCTGGTATGCCCATACTACTGAGGGCGAAGAGACAAAGTTACAATGACCTTTCTGTACTTCAGGGCCATTCACCGCTTGGATGGCGTCGTCACGTACGGGAATCTCATTTCTTGCACCACATAACTAATCCGATCATTTAGGACGGCTAATCCGATGTACACATCGGAGGAATTGGGGTACCAGCTTCAGTTGACCAAGACTCGTTTGTTGTTCGTCCATCCCTTGGCGCTCAACGCTGCGCTTGATGCGGCACGGGCAGCCGGCCTTCCCCAGGATCGCATCGTGCTTCTCGAACCACTTCCGTCCTCTTCGTGTGTGAATGTACACGACCTCGTGAAGTTCGGCCTGCGAGAGCGACAAGCGTACCGCGAGCGCCAGCTGGAGCCGGGAGAGGCGCGGACTAAGCTCGCCTTACTGCTGTTTTCAAGTGGGACCACAGGGAAACCGAAGGTATGACCACCCTATCGCTCCCAGGTTTGCACTCACAACTGAGCATTATATAGGCGGTGATGATCTCGCACTATGCGCTCATCGCCAATATGTTGCAAGTGACCCAGTACGTAAAACCTAATGACGAGAGTGTGCCTCTAGAGCAAAAGCGATACCGTGCCGGAGACGTGGTGTTAGGAGGTACGCTAGTATCGCAAGGACTGTCTCGGAAGCCCGCTGACAATCACTGCGCCGAAGCGCTACCCATGTTTCGTGAGCGTGCCGCGGTGCCTTGCGTTTGCCAGCTATTCAATGATCGCGTTCTCCCGAACTAGATGCGTACGGCTTGATCATGATCACCTTCACCGGGATGTTCCTTGGGGTATGCCTTTTACCCGTTGGGATACTGGCACCTCTCTCACCTATCATTCAGGCCACTGTGATCGTATCGCCGAAGTTCTCGCTCGAGCGTATGTTGCTGAGCATTCAGCAACATCGAGTGACGCATCTATAGTGAGACCGCAATACTTCCCGGGAGGAGCTCATCTTCACGCTAGCTACGTCTCATCCCCATAGTCTTGTCCCACCTCAAGCCATCCTGATCTGCAAGGTAAGATCGTGCTATGGTTGCTGCTAGTGCCGTTTTACAAGAAGCTTGCGAGCAGAGCCCTATCGTGAAGGGCTACGATCTGAGCTCCATTCGCTTTGTCGGCTGCGGCGCTGCCCCCGTCAGCCCTGAGCTTACCGAACAACTTTCGAGAACGATGCCGGACCCGAATGCTCTCATTGGACAAGCATATGGTGCGTGTCGTCGATCATCAACTCCAGCTACTGATGCCCTGCATCTTCACTTTTACTTGGATGATAGGTATGACGGAGACGGCGACTATGATCACGATGCCACAACTCGACAAGCGCACCGGCACTCCGGGATCCGCCGGCTTCCTCCTCCCAGGCATATCAGCGCGTGTCGTAAAAGCGGACGGCTCGCTAGCACAGTTTGGTGAGCTTGGTGAACTGCTATTGAGGAGTCCTGCTATGGCTCTAGGTTATTACAATAATCCGACTGCGTAAGCCATCATGCTCATCGCGACTGTGACATCGGTTCACTGAAGAATGATCACACAGAACGGCAGAGACATTCGTAGACGGGTACGGTTTGCTGTGTTTCTGGCTAACAATCTGTCTGATTATCTCATGTGGCTCGCAAGCTGGCTTCGGACCGGTGACGAAGTGAAGATTGACGAACGCGGGGAGGTCTTCGTTGTTGACCGAATCAAGGAGCTCATCAAAGTGCGCGCGTTCCAAGTTGCGCCATCTGAGCTCGAGGGCCTTCTGTTCGACCATCCGGACGTTTCGGATGTTTGCGTTGTCGCCATCCCAGACGACTACAGCGGAGAGTTACCTTTCGCATTCATCGTGCTACGCCCGGACATCCAAGCGCGTGTCAAGGGTGATCTACAAGAGCCGACGAAAGTCAAAGAAGGCCTCATGAAGGTATATGGCGTAACGGTGAAACGTTTAGGCACCACAGCACGCTAACCGGGGTCCATTTGTAGTATGTCTCTGACCACAAGACCCATTTCAAGTGGCTCGCAGGTGTGGAATTCATCGACGCGATCCCGAAGAACCCCAGCGGAAAGCTCTTACGTCGTGTTCTCCGGGAACAAGCAAGAAGCATGCTAAAGAGCGGACAGCTGTCTATTGTTGCGAAAGCGAAGCTGTAGTTTGGGGATGGAATATACGTAGCATTGACTGCTATTCTCGTAGCGGTCCTCATCTCGCGATCTGGTTCCACATAAATACGAATCCGCAGGCGCTGCATGTGGAGCTTGATACTGACCAGTTGGGATCTATGTCTACCTCCTTGCCAAAGCGAAGAGTGGGGAGTCAGGACCGTTGCCGATACTCTCTATGCGGACGAGAACGGAAGCTTCTCCAACATCTGCCGGTCGTGATCCTTCAGCATGATCTCATACCGATCCATCCCAGGGGCCCAGTCCTTCAATTGCGCGTTCATTGTTGTCGGGTACCTGTCTTTGCCATGTATCCCAGCCCAGTCGAAGTCGACAAGTTTTGCGCGCATTCCTCCAGACTCTGTCGGGACACACATGATATTCGGCAGCCGCAAATCGCCGAATACCAAGTCCTTCTCATGCAGGGCCCCGATGGCCTTCTGAACGTCGGCCCAGACAGGATGAGGGATCTGCTCGCACAACTCGATCATGTTCCAAGCTGTCTTTCCGGAGACGAACTCCATCACGACCATGTAGAGGTCTCCGAGCACGGGTCGGCACGCGTACAGAATGGGAGCGAGACCTTGCTTCGCGAGGAGTTCGTGGGCCGCGACACCGTACCGCGCGGTGAACTTGACGGCGACCTCGACACTGGTGCCCACGGACGACGACTCTACAGCTCCCGACGCCGCCGGGACTTGCAATGTGGCAATGTACATCGCCGATCGTACTTCGTCCTCGTTGCGAGGATGGATGTAGCGGCGGCCTGTCCGAGACAAACGACATTTGAACGCCAGCACCGGGAGCGGTGTACCATCGAGGGGGGTAGGGGACGGGAATAGATGCTCAATGCTGACCCCAAGGGGCCGATGGGTCGCTAGTGAGGTATGAAAGTCCCGAATTGACTTGGTGGCGAGTTGAACAGCTCTGAAAGCCTTTGCCAACCGCAATACGTCCTTGTGCCCATGGAAACTCAGGTACAACTTCTGGGAGTATGATCGTCCATGGTAGACGTCACCGCCAATGGACACGACGCTCCCAAATTCGATGAAGTGGCCCATCAGTCCGATGACGACCGCAGGATGGTTAGTCAGTGTCTGCCGCCTACGAGTAAACTTACAAACAGGTTAACAAGACCTAAGAACGGCAAAGCCGTTGGATCACGCCGAACATACCGCATTGCTCCCAACAACCCTTGCATATGATACCACCGCTTCTACGAAAGCATCACCACCAATTCCGAATTCGTTATTGTTCTCCTGGATCATTGACAGGCACGGGTGATACCACATGATGTCGGGTTTGGCTCCTTCGAACAAAATGACTTGTGGCTCTCCACCCGGGCCCGCTAGGCTGTCGATGATGTCTTTGAGCTCCTGCAACCGGATGTCCTCAGAGTCGTAGATAGCCAGACTCTTGTCAATGAACCGATGCACGTCGTAGAGAAAGTCAGCATCGATAGTCAGCTCGTCCCATTTCTCGTCTAGATGGCTCAGGTGATAGTCTAGCTTGGCTAAAGCGGAGTGGAAGAGGACAGGAGGCGGTCCATAGTTGTATGCCGGGCGTCCACCATGGACAAAAGCGGCATTGCCGCAAAAAATCCGCCGAAGCCCTGAAGCATCAATGACAGCCTCCGAAGGCGATGGAGCTTGCGCCATGAGCCCCTGGACCCTGAGACGAGAAGCTGGTAGACATGCGGGGATTAGATCATGTTGCACGCGGGAAAGGGCAGGTTAGTAACGCACTATGTAGGACACGGCCTGGTGTGAAACGCAATTCGCCAACAGTATCGAGATCTTCAAGAACTAGTGGCCACGTCAGTGTATCATGAGTTCCACGGTATATAGGGGGAATTGCGCACCATGAGAGGTTACGATGAGTATATCAATGTGCCGCCTCGAGGGAGCATCCGGGAATTCCGTGTCAACAGGGAGATGCGGTCCGCCTGTTGATCTTCATCGTCGAGGGCGGCGTAATTCTCATTGAGCCACCCCCGGGCGCGCTCATATAGGGTTGGAGAGGGCTTAAGAGGGAGACCTTGTGGCTGTTATAGATGTAAGAGGAGTGCCATTCACAGCTGTCGTACACATACCTTGAGGAGACAGAAGGACTCGGAGGGGCTGACGGGGATTTTGGTATTAGTGTTCCGGATCAAATCTTGGATGAGGACAGTGAGAGGATCCTTGCAATACGCAATGGAGTAAACTCTTTTGGACCGGTCTGGGGCTGGGTAGTATAGAGTGAATACGTTCGTCATGGTGGTGGCAGCGGCGTTGAGGCCTGAGGACTCTTTCAAGTTGCAAGTGAACACTGCGTCCCAACAAGCGCAAACACAACTCGCTGGTGCCGCGAGATATGCACCACTGATCCATATGCGATGGCCCAGGTGCGCTGAGCGCGCTCTAGATCTGTCTGCTCTCGCTACGATCGACGTATCGTTTCCAAATAGACCGCCGTTACAAAGGAACATCGAGCTGCTCAAACTTCATCTTGGTCGACTTCGGTCACTGCAATTTGTACTTGTTCAACTCTCTTTGAAGTCCGATGCCATGGCTCTTCTTCAACACGACATCACTATGCCTGCCCTGGAGACTCTTGAGTTCCCTGTTCTCTGGAGAATGCGTCGACAGCCGAGACATCCAGCAGCTCACAGTCACTCACGGACTCGCTGGTCTTTGGCCCCGACGACATCCAGCTATATGCTCGTCTCCGCAAGCTTTCTCTCAGATACTGTGTCTGTCGCTTCTCCTGTGAGCATTCTCTGGACGCTCTGGCAGCAAGCCCACACCTTGAGACTCTCGAACTGATCGCGATCCTGCAGCGCATTCTCGGAGACTGGGTACATCATTCTGCATAAGCTGGGAGCCGCTACCTCTTCAGCACCTCAAGTCACTGGAACTGATCGACCACCTTTCCGTGTACACGTCTCGTTTCCTATCCTACCTCCGGCTCTCGTCTCCCGCATCCACATGGTTCCACAGCGCTCTCGGAGATGTGACCGAGGACGATAACATCGCGGAAACTCCAGTTGCGGCCATGTTGCTTCTGGACCCATGGACGGTCCTACCTCGTTTTTCGATGGTGAGAGATGTGTCTGTCCATGTCCACGAAGGGGATTACTCTCTCTGCGGTTCAGTAGGGCCTCGTGAAAGCTTGCAATGGCCCGTAACTCTCCTCGTCCAGTCCTCACGGCGAATCGGGCACTGGCACGACTCATTCATCCACCTCGCTGCACTGGGCATAATCGGAGACTGTGCGCGCGTCGAGGACGACCTCTGGGCGCAGGTTTTCAGTCGGAATCCACCGTTGGAGACGCTTAGCGTGAGCATGGATGGGACTGAGGCGGTGGTCGGGCCTCATGGATGCACCTCCCGCGGCTGGCTCAATCGTTCCATATCCTCACCTCAAATCGGTCGAAGTGATTGGACCATTCTACGGGGAAACGCTCGACGTGATCCTTCTGTGCCTCCGGGTCCGTGCTACGAACGGCTGCCGGTTGGCTACCATCAGTCTGGACATATGGGGCGAACGCCCGGAGTATGCGCTCATGGACTGGAAATACGTGCCCCAGTTCGAAGAATTGGTGGGAAGGATCAACACATCGGACCCTCGTGAGTGATCGTATGCTCTCCCGTCTGCCACAAACCAGTAATTGTGCTCTTTAGCTTGACGACTACAGCATTACACCAGTCGGCACTGACCTTAATGTGTCGACCGCAGGCCACCCGCTCCGGAGAACGCAAGAGGTTAATAATGCTACTGCGTCAGAGGGCGAGAGACACATAGATTACAGTTTTCTAACCGTCTTGCCGCCACCGCTGAGAGTTGCTATAATCGTCGGCAATGTGGTACGACGTCAACACTGGCAAACAGGAGGCGTCGTCGGCGAACTTCGCGCGTTCGGTAGTCGGGCCCCATCTCGCTCAGGTGCATTTCACAATATGATGTCCTTGCCTCGAGTTGCTGATTTGATTGCCTCAGCTTGCCTTGCAAGCCACTCCAAACACGACATTTCCCAGTTCGGGCTCAACAGGCGGGCCTATCGGACCAAGCAACAGCCCAGCCTCCCCCAAGCCGAGAAAGTCGGGTTCTCCAGCCACAAAGGAATACGGAGGGGCGGTTTTTACGTTTACGTTGCTTTCTTTTTTACGTACCACCATCTGTCTAACCCATACTATGCTGTAACCGACGTCTGTGTAAGATGGATTGGTATATACAGAAGTACAATAGTCTACAGGCGTGCACCCCATTGGGGGATTTCGTCTTCATCTTAGAAGCACCTTCGTGTTGCTCAAGCCGCCTATGGTGAAGAGCCCATAGACGTCCGGCGTCATGGCTATCGCATGTGCCCTAGGCTCTACCGCTCCGCCGGCATCGCTCGAACACCAGAACTCCACGGACGCGACGTAGTCGCATTTCACTGCACTGTTCCCAACCCCTTCCCCTTGGGCACTTCCGGTACGAAGCGCTACTGCAGCGCACGCGATGATCCTCGAGTCTCTCGGCAACTTGTCATGAATGAAGATGAGGCCGTCCACGGACAGAGGGAGACCAGATACCCCTGAACGGTAATGGTCCGCGGGCATGCTGAAGATCGCCTCGTAGATGCACGCTGAGCCCTGCTGGATGATCGCGATTTTGAAGCCCTCTTGTAGGCCCTGGGCGCAGAAGGGAGGTATCGCCACGGAGGATTCGAATCGGGCAAAGGAGTAATCCGCAGAGAGACCTTCGCTCGTGCATACTGCTGTGTCGTTTGTGCCTCCAACGGGCTCATGCGCGCCCGTGAAGCTGAGCGGGGCCCATCGGAACTCAGGAAGGTTGAGCCGCGATGTGTGGAGCATCGGCAGGCGCCGTGGGAGGTCGCGGAGCTTCTGCAGGGTCGCTCTCATCCGCTGTTCTGCGGCATCCGGACCATTGAGGGAAAGGAGTGCGTCCACGTCAATGGGAAGTAGGCCGGAAAGCGATATAATCTCGTCTTCACGTTTCGTCACGGTCCGCAAGCGGAGGAGGTCGGTGACCTCGTCGATCGTGCACCATCCATCAAGGCTGTCCTTATGAGCAGAGCGGAGCGTGATGACGGGAAAGCATGAGCGGTAGAGGGAGGCAGGGTTGAACGCATGAGCCTCGAGGCCATTGGGGATATGACCGTCGCCGGTGTCGAGGGCCACCTTGCCTGAGCCGGACGGGCGAGGTACGGACGAGTCCTTTCCGTTGATGCCCCGTAGTTGATCAGTCACATCGGCCAATCCGTCGGCATACTCGAAAGAAAGCCTTTTCGCCAAGACGGCCTCCTGCGCCGTCCAGACACGCCTCGCCCACCCCGACATGACGATCCGAAACAAGTTCTCCTCCCACGGCTTGTTCTTTGCGCACCGCGCGCGGACGCACTCATCGAGGACGAGCACCTTCGCAGCTTCTCTATACGTCTTCGGAAGCAGCTTGAGCGCGCGCGTACGCAGCGCGGCCTCGCGGGGCACGCAGAGCGAGTCCATCCAGAAATCGCCTGTCCCCGGGACGATCTGCTTCACGAGCTCGGCCAGGCGGGCGATTTGACAGGCGGGCAGACCGACCTCGGTGGTGCTCCCGAGGCCGTCGGCCCAGACGTGAGAAATCGCGACGTACTGTCCGTCGGCAGCGGGGCGCACGCGCAGCTGCATCCCGTCCCAATGAACGACAGGTACCACATTCGGGCCGCCGTTGGAAGAGGAGAGGAGTTTCGCGATGTCTTGGAGGGGAGGCGCGGCGTTCGCGCAATGGCATGTCGGGTCGACGTGGCGGACAGAGTAGGTCGTGAGGTCGATTGTGTACAACGCGCACCCGGCTTCTGTGCACTTGCTGTGCTCGTCCTCAGCTTTGCGAACGAATGGTTTCCCCCGGACGATGTGGGAGAGCAGCGCGAGCTCATTGATGCTCGCGAGGAAGCGCTTCGAAACGGAGTACGGACACCAGCCCGCAGACAGCATGACGCGCCTACACATCTCTTTAGGGTGCTGGTGGAAGTAGCGCGTCGTGTCGTGAAGCTGCTTCGAGATGTTCTGCATTTCTGGTACGTCGCGCCAGATGGACAGGGCGCAGTTGAACAGCATCCCGATGGCAAGCGCCAGAGCGCCAAGGATGTCGACTTGGGCGTCGAGAGAGAAGCCGGCGCGAAGCATGAGGCTGGTACCCTGGAGTCCTTCCTCATCGAGGGCAGCGAGCACTTGGTTCAGGACCGGCACGAGCTCGCAGCCTCGTCGATGATGAGCTTCCGGGTCGAATGCTCCTCGGTGCATGAAATCTTGCATATAGTGGTGCCACTTGAAGAGGAAGCTGGAAAGGCGGGCACCGGAAACCACTCGCGTGCCTCCACCCGTCCCCGGCGAAAGGATATCGGTTTCGGACACCTTGATGCGGGTCACGATCTCGGTGAGGCCGAACGTCATTGCTCCAAGCCATAGGGCCGCGTCGTCGCGAAGAGTAGGAGTCGTACTCGTGCGACGCAGCTTCACATAGCTGGACAACGTGGAAGCGAAGGGATAATCGTCGTGGGTGCTGCCAAGCCAAGGGATGTCCAGAGGATTACCGTACTGCGTTCTCCAGGTCTGAAGCTTGGGATGATTTTCGCCCATTGACTTGATTTCGGAAGACAAGGGAACCTTGGCGAGCTCTGACGACACCAGGAGACATGCGTACGTAAACCTAGACCACCCGCAAAGAACGCGACAGGGGGACGCACCTGAAGCCTGCTCGAGTCGCGGCTTGTCGTCTTCTGAGGCCCTACTCCAAGGCATAGGAGATGACTTCATCTCACGCCGTGCACGGCATTCGTACTCCCACATGGGCCGCAGGAAGTCCAACAAAGCAGCCTGGTACAGCTCCATATGTCGTGCAGCCCCATGAGCGCGCCCCCGCACGCTATCCGTCGCGAAATATTGAACGCCAGATGGGGCCGCACGACGGCTTTCGCGGACGACATGGAGCAAGCCAAAGAGGATGAAATCGAGCGTAGAGCTGGCAGAAAGGCCGACGTCCACGCTGTCGATCGACTCCTCGGGGAGACTGTACCTATCCGCGAGGAGATTGACAAGGGTACCGAAGGACGGATGCTGCTGCGATAAGGGTCTCCACGTGGCGAATACAGAGTTCGTTAGGGATGAAGGGGAATGGGTGGAACGGATGTAGTCGATGAGCGATTGGTAGAGATGGAAGTGGGGATGGGACGGATCGACGAAAAACTCGAGCGAATTGGGTACAAGCTGGGTCCATGCCAGGCGTAGAGGACTTGTAGAGTGTTCATTCTTGGAGGACGTGCCCTCTTTCGATGCAGCCTTGCTCATAGGCCCAGCTCGCTCATCTTTGGGGGGAAGAGGAGGGAGCTTGCTTGATCTGGAATATTGCTCAGACGAACCAAAGACATTTCACGCGGTACAGCGATTCCCACTTACTTTTGAGGTTCTTGTACATGATCAATATCAGCATCTCCGCATGCTATACGATGGAAGACCGTAGAGAACTTCCTCCCGAGAGCATGAAAAGGCATCTTTACCTCGCCGAGTAGGAGATAGCTATGAAGTCCAATCGAACAGAAGGCAGGGGGTCCGGGGGAGGGAAGGAATGAGACGGAGAGAGGGCACAGAGTGACATCCCTTGCCAGTAGGCTCTTATACAGTGTGGACACTGCGCGACTCGAGGGGTACGGAAAAAGAGCTTAATTTACTGCGATAGACTCTTACCACTGAAAGTGTCTTGTCAGACATTGCTGCACGGGGCGTGTCGTCAGCATTTCAATGAACTTGCTGCCTGGCGTCTGACACGAGAACATAGCGCACACGGGCTAGCCGCAAGTTCCCTGACCAATGGTTTGTGGTGCGACTGCGGAAACAGCAGGGAACCGCGTTTTCCATGGACAAGAATCTGGATTGGGTTTGTTGATAATGTTCACGTTCGGAGCATCCCGTCGAGAGCAGATATCGCGCAGTCGTCGATCTGGCCCAGAATGGTGAGCCATGTCTCGGGTGATTTTCATATACCGCCCCCTGTGCAAACTAGTTCAGCAATATACACTCATGAAATTGATGCATCACTCACATACATGTTCCAGACGAGCGCCACGACGGCGGACATGATGGCAACTCCAAGGCAGCACACGGGCGGACGTCAGCGCGTCGCGTCGCGCCTCGGGGCGCACGTGCGCAGCGGTGGCTGAAACTGGCCTTGACTCGACCTGGAGTACCTTCAAGTTGCCTCGATACCACTACCATGAAGTACTTCTCCACCCGAGGCGCAGGTCAGCTCCTATCTTTCGAAGAGGTCGATTGTTTCCTGTCAAGATCTCTGTCTCGATATTGAACAACGTACCTCCAGACCGTCCTCGCTGGTCTCGCCCCAGACGGCGGCCTCTACATCCCTGAACACATCCCCTCCCTCCCCGGAAATTGGCAGACCGCTTGGAGAAATCACTCATTCGTCGACCTCTCTATCGAAGTCTTGTCTCTTTATGTTACCTCAGACGAAATCTCCAGGGATGAGCTACGGCAGCTCGTCGAAAAATCTTACAGCACCTTCCGGCATCCGGACATCACGCCGCTAAAGAAACTCACCGACTCCGCTTACATCCTGGAGCTCTTCCACGGTCCAACGTTTGCATTCAAAGACGTTGCGCTTCAACTGCTCGGGAACCTCTTCGAGTTCTTCCTGAAGAGGAGGAACCAGCACAAAGCGCCGAACGAGAAGCCAGAGAAGCTGACAGTCGTCGGTGCGACGAGCGGAGACACCGGGAGGTGAGCTTGATCGTCTTTTTACTCCATTTGTGATATCACACCCCCATCCGGCCTGCATATGTTGCATCGTTATAAGGTCGTGACGGCTGCTCTGAATCACTCAGAGACCTTCAAGTTCCATTTCTTGCCCAAACACGCAGACTGTCAATTCATGACATATATAAGTGGTGTCTTCGCTGTGCTATACGTCCATAGCTTCCTATTGTCTGGTTCTTAGCATTCCACGACCCCTAGCCCGTAGACAGGGCGCGACACATGTCGTTGACGCCACCAGGGAATCGTGCCGAAGACAATAATGTGCATGAGCTTCTGGCGCAATTCTTGCTCAAGCTCGAGGAAGCCGATGTGTAGGGTACCGCTGTAATCGGTCCTGCCATGAACACAAGCTGCCACGCAGTTCCCTTGAATTTCGGCATCCCGTGGGATGCCAGCGAGTCTTTGTACAGGCCTTCGGTGGTCATAGTAGACTTGTCTGGTCCCGAGGAATGCAGCAGTTCGCTTCCACAGACTCCGCTTGTGCGGTCCTGTCGTTGATTTGTTATGCTAACCCCACCTCCACGCTGAAGCGCAGCAATTTACGGCCTACGGAATAAGGCGAACGTCTCAATATTCATCCTGCACCCGAAAGGCCGTGTCTCGCCCATCCAAGAAGCTCAAATGACCACCGTAACGGACCCGAATGTACACAATCTTGCCGTCAAGGGCACCTTCGATGACTGTCAGGTAAGTCGTTCCTCCTCCCTCTCCCTGTCTTCGTGGTCGAGCTACACCTATTTCTGCACAGGACATCGTCAAGTCCCTATTCGCCGACCGCGAGTTCAACGCGAAGCACCGGCTCGGTGCAGTGAACTCGATCAATTGGGCGCGCATTCTCGCACAGACGGTTTACTACTTTCTCTCCTACTTTCACCTCAAGCGGCAAGTCCCTAACGATGCCGATCTCGAGATCCAGTACGTCGTCCCCACTGGCAACTTCGGTGACATCCTCGCGGGCTACTACGCGAAGCGCATGGGGCTGCCCATCGGGCGTCTCGGCATCGCGACGAACGCGAACGACATCCTCGCACGCTTCTGGAAGAGCGGCGCGTACGAGAAAGTCGACTCGTCCCGCGCGACGACTCCCGCTGGGGAGACGGCTCCAGCGGCGGGCGCATCTGACGGGAAGCAGGCGGAGGACACGAGTGGGGTAAGGGAGACGCTTAGCCCTGCGATGGACATCCTCGTCTCCAGCAACTTCGAGCGGCTGCTGTGGTACCTCGCGTATGACAGCGCGAAGGGCTCAGACGACGCGGAAAAGAGGCGCTCGGCGGGTGCGACGATCGCAGAGTGGATGGGGAAGGTGAAGAGCGACGGACGGGTGCAAGTGCCGACGGAGGTATTGGACCGCGCCAGGCGCGACTTCTTCGCGGAGAGGGTGTCGGACGAGCAGACTCTCGAGACGATCAGGTACTACTTTGAGTCGGCGAGGTATATCGCAGACCCGCACACCGCCGTCGGTCTTTACGTTGCGCGCGTCGTTGCTCCAAGCAAGTAAGTACGATATTGCCTCTTATGATGTGACAACTTCTCGCTGACCATCGTGCGCACGCTCACCACAGCCCACCAAACGTCCGTCAAATCGTCCTTTCGACGGCTCATCCCGCGAAATTTTCCGAAGCGGTCACCCGCGCGCTCGAGGGCTCGCCCTCGTTCAACTTCGAACGCGACGTACTCCCGCCGGAATTCAAGGGCTTGCTTGAGCGCGAGCGCAGGGTCATCGATGTCGAGGGTGCAGATGTCGAGCTCGTTAAGGAGGTTATAGAGAAGTACGTCGTCCAGGATGTGGGCCAGGTTGGTGCAGATGTATGAGTGAAATGAGCGTCGAAGGAAAATGAAGCAATTGAGAAGCTAGTAAGTACTGTACAAAGTAAGGGACTGCTGCAAAAGGCACTGCGGCCAATCTTACACAAATCATATACTTATGTGCGGTCGCTTTCGCAAGGAGCTGAGCGCCAAATCGTCATCCATCTTGCTTACTAGCCTTGACTCGTAGCAGCACTTACTATGTTCTCATTTTCTCGTGTCCTAACTCTGTTTCACACATAACATCGAAAGATCCTGAGGGCAGTGTGGTGTACGAGATGCACACGTATACGGGTCGAGGTGTCAACTGTGGCCGCGCTACTGGCCTTCTCCAAGAAGATTGCCCCTCTTTTCACACTGCAGAGCTTGATACAGGACGTAAATGGAGGTAAGCCAAGGGAATTTTCGTATGTTACGCTGCTTGCTTATATCCTCCCTCTACTATATCCATGTTAATAGCAAATACATGTTCCATGTCCTCGAGGAAAGCCACCACTCAACAAACAAGATAGTAATTCGGATACAAAACTTCGCCATTTGGCGCCCAAGCCTCTCGCACTGCCATCCCGTAGAAACACGAGGCTTATTGTCTGCTGTATCTGCGATTACGCTGTCATCGATGTCGGCCATACTCTCAATGATAGATCCCCCGCACCTTACATCCGCAACAACGTCCCGGACGCCGACCGTTGGCCTCGACCCCGACTCCCAATGGGGAAAGCACCCCTTCGAGAGATCACCATGCAGCTGTTCAACCCTTCACATATCCTCCATGTCTCATGCTGCGGCCACTTTTGCTGTCCCACTTCAGCCACAAGACGACAAAGGTATCCTGGTGCCATCGAGTTGAAGCTATTATGTTTCTATGCTGGCTGATAGACCACTCCTACTCTAACTTCCCGACCAGAAAGCAAGTCTGCCATGCGGCATTCACGGCGGCGTGATCTGGCGCAGCATCCGTACGCTTTGGCCCTCATCTTGGAGGGAACTCCGCTCATCTGTGGCCCTGTGCTCTATGTGGGCCACACACGCTTTGACCCGCTTCTGACTTGCTTTGAGACACAGGGTGTGGCCGACGTCTTTAAAAAGGGCCGCTTTGGCTGCAATGATGGCTGTAGATCACGCCCTGCCCTCCTTTCTATCAATCACAGCTACCCTGGCTTTGCTTGAGTGCGCTTTCGCCGGTGGACCACGCGAGCGATACTTCACTTCAAGTGTATAAGATGCCCGCCTGGTGCTTCAAGACTCCGTCCTCATCCTACTCGTCCAACGCCGAAACGAGATTGAAGAGCAGTCCCGAGAAGACTACGACTCGCGCCACTTCCCAAGCCGCAGCTAGTTCGCGGCCACCGCCCGTATCCCCGCCCAGGCGGACTCCGACGCGGAAGCCCTCGCCTGCAATCGTCCCCAGCAAGCCGGCCCCGAAGCCCCCGAAACCCTCGCCTCCCAGCAGGCCAAAATCCAGCATGCGTCCAGACGCGGGCGGGGCGGCAGGTTCCGCCGTTGCTATTTCTTACCGGCCTCCGAAGGAACCGTCAACCCCGACGTCCTTAGCGGAGTCCTTGCACCGACTTTCCTTTTCGTCGGTTATCGCTGAGGTAGGCGTCGACGATGAAGCGACGCGTACCGTGAGGTTCCAAGATGCCTCCCCTCGCCCGGAACCTTCAGACTATCCGACGCTTCCGTCGTTTGAAAAAAGCCGCGGTGTCGAGTACGTCAATATTACGCAGGATGCACGCCCCCGGGAGCGGCCTGTCCCCATCTACGCACCCTCTGCGGTTCCTGGTACACGTTCTCCGCGCCCTTTGCCAGTGGTGCCGCACCGTACCCCGTCTTCGTTATATATACCCTCTGTGGTACGGGCCCCGTCTCCTCCTCCGGCTGTCCGCTATGCGCAGCTTTCGCAGAAGACTACGAACAAACACTCGGTGGCGGCTCCGCCCTCGTCTCCTGACACCTCTTCTCTGTCCTGGGATGAGCCTTGGCGAGCGCGTATCGGGCCGTTCAGGCTTATGAGGATGCTTGGCAAAGGCAGGTTCACTAAGACATACTCGGCGCTGGACCACGCATCGAAGCGAGTCATCTGCGCACGTATTGCGAGGAAGAGCAGGCTGCTGCAGGATGAGAGGCTTCGGATGGGTTTGATCGTCGAGAAGCGGGTGTACGAGACAATCGCGGCGGCCAGCGCGAAGGATCGTGCGCATCTCATGGAGCTCTTTGGCGTGGTGCAGGACGAAGAGAGCATCACGTTTCTAATGGTGAGTACATTTCCGTCTGGCGCACAATTCCTCTCCGCTCCGAGTCGGGGTGGGCAAATCGTCAATTTTGATACCTCCGCTAACTTCTTATTCGTACCCTTTACCCGCATTCAGCCTTTGATGGACTGCGACCTCATCGTCATGTTGAATGCCATGTCAGAGGAGCACGAGGAAGTGGTTCGGACATTCGCTCGGCGCTGGGTGGCACAGCTGGTGAGTGCAGTTCTGCGTCATGTTTCCCACCATAATTAAGAGAGATCATCGACTCACGGCATGGCGTGCTGCGTTGCGTTGATCGTGGGCGGGCATCTGCCTATTTGATATATGCATAATTGTTCGCGCGCGGGTGCAGCGCCTGCCAAGCGTGTAACTGTCAATCAACACAGAGACTAACTTCTTCACGGTGTTGGTTATAGGCACTCGGAATAGACGCCCTTCACCGGATGGGGATCATCCATCGCGACCTGAAGCCCGAAAATATCCTCGTCTCAGCGTCGAAGTTGGCAGTGCGCATCGCCGACTTCAACACGGCGTACATGGATCATGCGCCTCTCGATGATGACGTCGTGTACTCGTGCGACAAGCTCGGGAGCGAACCGTACATGGCTTGGGAGGTTGACGAGGGACGCCATTACGGAAAGATGGTCGACTGGTGGGCGTTGGGATGCATCATGTTCGATATGCTGACGAACTCGGTGAGTAAGCTTGCTTGTGTCTGGACTTGATCCGCTTGCTCGTTCATCGTTCATGGTCTGCGCTTCGTTGATACCTGAGCGTTCGAGACGCAGATGATCGGCCTCGATCTGTTGCCGAAGGGATGCTGAGACTGACACATTATCCACAGGTCTTGTTCGAAGGGCATGATGCCAGGCGTGAATACGCCAGATGGGACGACAAATGGGAGGGAACCTCGTACGTGGCGTCTGCCGGCAAGGACAAGCTCTCGGGTGCAGAGGTGGACTTGATATATGGAGTATGTATCACCCTCCACTTTCGCGTTCGTAACGGATACTCACCATCTTGGCCGTATTTCCCGCACTGGCTAGCTCGTCGATCTGGACCCCCTGAAGCGTTTTCAGCTCCGCAACCTGCGCTATCACAACTTTTTCTTGAACGAAAAGAAGTGGTACGTATCGCCGATTTTAGCTCGTCCCGATCTTCCCGCATATGGGGAGCGTTTTCTGGTCTTTCGAGATGCCGCAGAACAGCGACTGACAGCACCCGCCTTCTGTTCCAGCGTCAACGTCTTCGACGTGCTCCTTCGCGAACCCGCCGCGGACTCGGACCTCCTGACCTGTACGTTCTCCCATCCTCGCGGCTACTTAACGCCCACTCCCGCGCTGCCCAAAAATACTGACTCACTGTCCGCTCTTCCTCATTCATACTCTTGCTCACCTGTCTGTCTCCAACCCATTGGGTCTCCGCCGCGCACCTGCCGATACGTACACCGAATCCACCCCAACGGCATGCGGCACACGGCATGTGGTCATCCTCCGTCTCTCTTCGTCGCCGTCACGTCGGTGTGTCACCCTGTTGCGCGCACATCAGACACTTCCGCGTCAGAGCCGCTCGAGGTGGACGGCAGCCTGAAGGACGAGCCGCTCCTGCAAGCTGCCTGCCCCGGAGAACGCCGCTCGGTCCAGGCCCAGGCCCAGGCCCACGTCCCCGCGCAGAGGACTCATCGACACCCGGATTCCGATGCGTTCGAGCACGGCTACCGTGTCCCCGCCGAGTCCGGCGACCTCTTTGCTGAGCTCGACTGGATCCACCCGCGGGGCCTCTGGTAGCGTTAGAAGCCGCATCTGAGTGGGAGGATTTCTCGTATGTATTCGTGGTGTTCTCGACCTGGTTTGGGGGACGCTGGGGCGTTGACTCGCCCGATAGAGGTATTCGTCTGTCTCGCTGACACTGTATCACTAGCATCTCTCGTCTCTGTATCGCCCTCAGGCTTGCTATCTATAATGAGTATCATCCGCATCCACCCGCCCTGTGTATGCCTCTGCTCCCGCGACGGACTCCAGACGCAGCTCTCGTCATATGCGGCTAGCTCAACGTCCACGTCGACGGCCGGCGCCGCACATGCGCCGCAGAGCGACTTCCTATGCGGGGCCCCGGAACTGATGGAAAGCGGTGAGCGTATCTGAAAGAGAAAGAGACCAGAGGGAGAAAGGCAATCAGGACGCGTCGACGGGCCGCCCAGTCGATTTGCGTGGCGCTGACGCGTCGGTAGCCGGCTTCTTGAGCTACATAGAATCTGTCCGACGTGCCGCCGCCCTAGTTCCCTGGGGAGCCTGAGCCCGCTCAGCCAACACGTGGGCAGGCACGGCGGGAGGAGTCCCCCTGACGCGTCGTGCCCGAACGTTGGCTGGCGCTATTCGAGTCTGGGGGTCGACGTCCCCGAATGGCCACCGGCCGCCTTCGTCTGCGTGTGTGCACCGAGTTTGGCTTTCCTCACGCCCAGGCTTTGTAAGGACACGAGTTGAGTTGAGCTGAGCTGTGAGAGCCTACGCTCCCCGGCGTAGCCACGCAGTCGGATTTGCGTTCCCAAGGGAGTTCTGTTGGTAGATAAGGGCGTGCTTCGACCAGGCGGAGCCGAACGGAACGGCTTCGAGAGCGACGGCGGGCGCCTCCCCGTCGTCGCTAGAGAGGAGTTGAGTATCCGCATGGCGCGCTGCGGAAATGGATCATGATGCGTGCGTGCGCGGTGTTCCTCTCCAGCTCGTTGACGTTACTTATGGCCAGAACCAGCAGTAGTTTCCAGCTCCAGCTCCAGCTCCAGTTCCGAATCCCCCAGACTTTTTTCCCTGTTTGATCTCGAGATTCGGAAGGCCAACGGCTCGCTCTCTCTCTCACGGCGGCACGACCAGACCAGATCTGGGATCTCCCTATGTCGCGGGGAGCCAGGGTTGATGTGGCTAAACGGTTGAGCCTGTCGAGGAAAGATTTCCATAGCCGGACGTTCTTGTCCTGTGCTTCTTTCTCCCTTTGCTGTGCCTGCGCCAGCACCTTCTCAACCGTGCAGTCAAGTCGTACGTATGATACGCCCGTGCGCACTCCGGGACACGCGCGTCCACCTACGCTGCACATGGATGCGGGATTGAAAGCAAGGGACTGGGTCAGCCAACAGCTGACAGGCTTCTGCCAGACCCGGCCAAACGGGCTGGATCTAACCTCGCACCACAGTCAATACATATGTAGCATCCCGCGCCGCCCTCGCCATTCGCAACGGCGTCGCGGGCAGCCGATTGGCCGGGAAGGTTTTGACCCCAGAACTTCTTGTTTCTTGTTCCTCGGACGTGGTGATGATGCCAGCACCTTCGTGCGCGTACTGTAAGCACACCGGTCGTCAGCACGGCCCAGAAGCTTGGCGCGCTGGCCCCCGGTCCCGGTGTTCCGAGCTCACCGGCCAGCGGTGAGTGTCGTCTGATGCTGACTGCAGAGTCGACGTCCAACGCTGTCTCGAGACTTGAGCCTGTCTGGCCGGTTACGGCGCTCTCCCCCCCCCTGTACAGCGACGTCGACAGTCAGACGGCGGACGTCTCGCAATTGCAAGGGGCCGGAGCCGCGAGCGGCGCTGCTCGTTTCGTACTGCAGCGGCGAGCGGTGCCTACTTGAGCGCGTCGTGGGGTACTGTAAGTAGAGATTGGCGACAGCCGCAAGCGATTGCGATTCGAAATTTGCTTCCGTGCGGTACATACAGATGGGCCTGGATCTGGGTTGGCGCGCGCCCCTCCGCCGAGTGCCCGACTGCGGAGTGCCCGACGCGACCGGCGGGATACGTCGCCGGCGGTACGCGTGCGTGCGTGCGTGCGTGATGCACATATGGCATGCGCATATATGCTGCCAGGGTCGAGACGGGGACGAGTGTGTGGGCGCGCTTGAAGGGGCGCAGGGCGCAGGAAGACGGGAGACGGGCGGGACGCGTGGTCGGTCGTTGGTGTTATTGCAGTGGGCGCGGAGACGAGGTGGAAGACAAGACTGGACGTGATGCGGCGGAGTTGTTGTCTGCTTGGTGTGTGGGCGGGTATGGGAGGGGCGGCCCGGGGGAGGGGAAGGTCGCAATAGGGCGGGGAGATCGGGTTCGGAGATCGGGGGCGATAGACAATGTGAGATCGCGCGAGTGGGCGGCGCTGGAAGGAGGCGCCTGGGGGTCAGGGTCGGGTAGGACAGGCGTCGGAGGGATATTAAACATTAACGGGGATTTTGAGGTGGAGTGCTTCGGATGCCGTATCAGTCAGGGGAGGGCTTCCCTTCACATCCGCCTCGCTCTCGCCCGAAACGCAGCGACGGGAGGCCTGCGTCTGCGTCTGTGTCTGCCTGCAGTGGGAGCCAGCTCCAGTGGGAGCCTGAGATGCGCCCACTCTCGGCGTCTCCCCTCCAACCGTCCCCTTAAGGCTCCAAGCCCACCAGTCCCCTCGCCTCTCCTTCCGCCCAACTCGCCCGCTTCCTGCATGGAACTCGCGCCGTTACGACCACGCTCCTTCCCGTCCTTGTAACACGCCTGCACCACGCTCTCCTTCCTCCTCCCCCGCCCCGCCCTCTCGCCATGCCTTCCACCCTCTCCTCGCCCTCCACGCGCGCACGCTCGCGCACCTCCGACCTCTCTGACTTCCTCCGCGGCAGACACGACTCCAAAGCGAGCACCGACGCCCCCTCCCGCCCCTCGCCCTCCCAGATCCCCCACGTCCCCCGCCTCAGTCCCCTCTCTGCCGACCCCGACGCCTCTCCCGCCACCCCGCCGAAAAGCAAGTCCAAGTTCGCGTTCCTCGCCCGCAAACGCAAGTCCAGCCTCTCCCCCTCGTCCGCAAAAAACGACGCGTCCGCGGCCCTCGCAGCAGCGGACGTCAACGTGGTCGGCGTCCGTCACGACGCTGACAGCAAGCAGGTGCCACCGCTCCCTCTTGCGTCCCATGACCGTGACGGCGGGAATCAGCTGGCGAGCTCAGGGTGAGCTTCTCGTCTTCGTTTCAGCCCTCACCCCCCAACTTGTCTTTCATTTCCTACGCCCTTCCGCGGGACGCTCCGCTGCACCCACCCCGAATCCGTGTTTTTTTTTGTCTTCCGGCTTCTGGACGCGTGCACGCTTGTCAATTTATCGTGGCCTTCCGCGCGTCGAAGTCGAAGGCCCGACGCTTGCGTCCAGTCGATTGTACTTGCCCGAAACGGCAGCGCTCATTTAACGTTCTTGACGCTCGGTGCGGGCAATTTCCGGCATGCTTCTCAGCCTGGGAGAATCGCTGGTCCTGCTGCGACGCGCTACTATTGCTCTTGTAACTGTTTCAACAGATCTCCGCCGTTGAATCGCTGCGACTCGGCGGCACGGCCACCGCAGGGTAGCGGAGGAGGTTGGTAGCCTCGTGGTGCAGCACCGATGATCGACAGACGTCTATCTTGATCACATGGATCTGCCGCCTTGGGAGGGCAGGCGACGTACGCTTTACGTTCTCCGTTCTCCTCGATTGCCTCACGACGTCAACCGACAGTTAAGCTGACTTTCTGACGTCGATCCTGATTGCGCAGGCCGAGTGCACGCCCCCCTCCGCCCCCGCCAGTGCCAACCGGACACCAGCAGCAACAGCGCGCCCCACCGCCAACCCCCCCCTCGGGCATCCCGCTCCCGCTCCAGCGATCCGCCTCGCCCCCCTCCTCCCGCCTGCCCGGCCCACCGGCCCCCGTCCTGAACACGCAGTTCTCGCCCTACGGCCCGAAGCCAAGCCTCCTCAACAACTTCCGCAAGCACAAGGCGTCGCTCGAGTCGACCCGACGGAGCATCGATAGTCGTACTTCGACGAGACCCATCATCACCGTCTCCCCGCCGCACAACAACGTTCACATCCACGAGACCGAGCACGCCTACACCGCGCCCCGCTCCGCCCCGCTGCCCTCCGCCTCGTCGTCGTCGCCCGACCGCTCAAGGACGTCCCTCTCCACGCCCCCGGCCAGCGACCGCGGGACCACCCCAGAAACCCCGACTGAGGCGGAGGTGGACGTACCGAGCGCGTCGACGTCCGCGCACTCGGTCGTGCAGCCCGCCGACCGTGACGGTCCCCCTCCGCTGATGGCGACCTCCTACAAGGAGGAGACGCTGTTGCGCAGGGACCACTTCGACGTCGTCGGCCCCCCGCACGCCCAGCAGCCCCGCCGCGGCACCGTGTCGGCCGCACACGGCCAGCCGGCGCCCGCCACCGTCGGCTTCTCCTGGTCGCCCACGCGCACGGAGCGGAGGCACATCAGCACGCTGCAGCTCAGCAGGCTGAAGAGGGAGATCGCTGCGACGGCGACGGCGGCTGCGGCGCCCAAAATCCGCAAGACGTCCTCGGACTCGGGCACGCTCGGCTCCGGCGGGCGGGACGACGCCCTCGCTCTCGCGCGCAGCAACACCATCGCCACCGACCGCTCGCCCGACCCCAACAAGCCGCCACCGCAGCAACCGCAGAGCCCGACGTCCCCCCGATCCCTGCAGAACGCGGGAAGGAAGCTCCCCCCGCCGCTGAAGCGCACCTGGCACACGCCCCCGACGACAGGCCCGCCGAGGGAGCCGCTCCCCTCCCCCCCAGCGAGCGCCGCGCGGCCCACCCCGACCGCAACCCCGACCCCGACGTCTACGACCGCCGAGTCGTTCCGGACGGCGCCCCCGTCCCCCGCCTCCCCCCTCGGCCCGCGCCGCCCGCTCCCCCCGCTCCTCCTCACGAAAGACCTCCCGCCGCGCCCCGCGTCCCGCACGCACGGCGCCGTCTCCCCCGACTCGCTCACGGGCACAGGCGCCAGCCTTAGCGTGCCCCCCTCGCCCGTTCGCAGCGCCACGGAGCTCCCCCGCGACAGCGACCCGCATCCCACCCCCGGCCGCTCCTCGCCCTCGCCCTCGCCACGGACGCCCGTGCGGGAAGACCCCGCGCGGCGGGCGCTCGCAGACGCGCACGCGACGGCGGACGAGCTGCGCGACGCGCTGCGGCACCAGGCGGACAAGTACACGCGCCTGTCAGAGTACCTCCTCAGCCTTACGGAGCGGCACGCGCTCGAGCGCGCGGAGCTCATGCGGACGGTCGAGCGGCTCGAGATGGAGCGCGCGAGGCTCGAGCAGGAGCGCGCGCGGCGCGAGCAGGAGCTGCGGGGGTTGAGGTGGCTCGTCGCGCACCCCGGGGCGCCTGCGCGCGAGGACAGCGGCGTGATGCCTTCCGCGTTCAACAATGCGAGGGGCGCGGGCAGGCGGGGCAGGGCGGGGAGCGCGGCGACGTCGATGTCGACGGGGACGGGGACGGGGACGGGGCCGGACGGGCGGATGTCACTGGACAGCTGCGGCCAGGGGGGCAGCGTCGAGGAGGGCCTCGTCGAGCTGCAGACGACGATTTCGGAGTTCATCACTCCGGACAGCCCGCTCACCTCTGTCCCCGGCCCCGCCCCCGTCCTCGCTGCTGCTACTGCGGCATTTGGGGCGCGCCGGCGGATGCGCAGCAACACGGTGCCGAACGAGGTCGGGGCCGGAGCGTCCGCGTCGGCGCCCCCGTCTGCGCAGAGCACCAAGGCCGCGCGGCGCACGAGCTCCCCTGTCTTCCCCTCATCTTGTCCGCCGAGTGGGATGGGAGCGGCGAGGCCTGGAGGGGTCCAGGTTCCGTCTGGGAAGGCCGGGCTTGGGCTCGGATTCGGGCTCGGCGGCCCGTCCTCGTCCTCGCCCAGCCCGGACAGCCGAGTCGATTTGCACGCGCGCTCCGACAGCTCGACGCTCTCGTCGCTGCCGTCACTGTCGACGATCCATTCGTCGCCTTCGTCGGGCCTGTCGTCCATCCCCGAGACGCCCCGGACTGATATCGCCGGCCTGTATGAAGACGAAGACGGCGACGACAGCGTGCAGGCGCCGTCGCCGTCCGCTGTCTACTCGAACCGCAAGGAGTCCGTGGCAGTGGCGGAGGGACGCGCCCCGCGGCTCTCGACGTCCTCGTCCTCGTCGTCTTCGGGCTCTGGCTCTGGCTCCGGCTCTGGCTCCGGCTCTGGCTCGGGGGTGTCCGGCGGGAGCTCGAGGGTGAGCGCGTCGCCGTCGATCGGCCAGGTCCTGGACCGCACGAAGTCGAAGATCCCGTCTGGGATCCACCACCAGCCGGAGATGGAGGCGATCCTGCGGAGGCTGCGCGCCTTTGGGCAGACTCGCTCTTCGTGACCCCCGTCCCCCTTCTGTCCCCGTCCCCCCTTCTGTCCCCGTCCCCCCTTCTGTCCCCGTCCCCCCTTCTGTCCCCGTCCCCCCTTCTGTCCCCATCCCCCAGCCTTCCCTCCCCCCCCCGTCCTTGCCCCCGCCCGTCTCTTGCACATATTGACGGCGTCGTCTTGGTTTTTTTTCGGTTTCTCAGGGGTCTCCTATCCAGTGTGCAACACACACTGGCGCCTGTCCGTCGTCAACCTCACGCTCTTTCGCACTTCGCGCTCCCTCTCCTCTCACGCGTCATCCTACTGTCCACCGTACTCCTAATCGCCCTCACGCTTAACACCACCTCTACGAGCCCGCACCAAAAAGGCGGGCTGGCTCCGCAAGCCCGCCCGCCCGCCAGAGTCGCGCAAGATACCATATACTCCTGGGCCGCCCACCTAATCCTCCGAATACAGCTCCGTGTCATGCGCCTTTACGCTAGGTTATATAGTTTATGATACCACGCTCACCGTCGCCCCTTAGTCGCTCCCTTCCTCCTCGGGATTCCCCGCTCGCATCTGCACCTGCATCTTGCATTCGCATCCGCACTCGACCTGTTTTCGCGCCCCCGCATTTGGCTTCCCGCTCCCCCGTCTCCGTCTGTCTCCGCCTCCGTCTCCGTACGCGTATACACGGCCCCACATGGACTCGACCGTCTCATCGGCACACCGCACGTGCCCGCCGCTCGTTACACCCGATTCAAATTCCCGTCCCGTCCCGTCCACTCGCCCGTTCCCGGCCGGGGCCCTCATTTGTACCATATGTCGTTGTCATTGTTCTCGTTCTCTCCGTTCGCCTCGCTCACGCACGCACTGCACCCCGCATCGTTCTTTAGAAGCACCGAGCTGTACTTGTTATTTGTAAAATATTGTGTCTTTTTTCCGTCTTCGACGTTGACGACTTTGGAGTCCTGCCGCCGGTGTCTCCGAGACGTGCACTGACCCCGCAGTTATTGTAGCTGGTGTGAGATGCGTCACGAATGCATTGCACTTGGAGGTGGGGTGTAATTACGACTGCATTGGAGCGGAGAGGGGCTGCAACTTCTTCCATCGCAATGCCGACAAGTGTAGCAACTCTCAGCGGTGGCGGCATCACGGTTAGAGAAACTGTAACTATCTATGTGTGTGTAAGGGTGGCGGTCACCTTGAGCACACGATCAAGCCCGGTAATGTGCACATATACCTATTACCCGCCGGTGGCTGAGAACGTAACTCCTCAGTTATTCTGCCTTTGGGCGTAATGGCTTCGACGGGCGGGTTCGAGCCACTTTACACGAGTTACAGCATAGTATCGGCTAGACAGATGGTGGTGCATAAAACAGCAAGCAACGTAAACGTGATAACCGCCCCTCCGTATCCCTTTGTAGCTGGAGAACCCGACTTTCTCGGCTTGGGGGAGGCCGGGCTGCTGCTTGGTCCGATAGGCCCGCCTGTTGAGCCCGAACTGGGAAATGTCGTGTTTGGAGCGGCTTGCAAGGGCAAGCTGAGGCAATCGAGTCAGCGACTCGAGAACAAGGACATCATATCGTGAAACGCACCAGAGCGAGATGGGCCCCGACTACCGGACGCGCGAAGTTCGCCGACGACGCCTCCTGTCTGCCAGTGTTGACGTCGTACCAATCGGCGAGTGGCAAGTTATTCTGCCCATCGGCTGCGAACATCACAACGGCGCTGACAATCTGATCCCGTACGTCGGTGGATGTGACTATTCCTGCCGTGAAAATGGACCAATCTATATGATGGAGATCATGCCAGTCAGTACCTCTTTGCAGGCACAACTGTTGAATATCCATTGCTCACCCGGCTTCGTGTAGGTGTTGCGAGTATCGAGGATGAGTCCATATGTATCTAGCACATCGGCTTTGTAGAGCCATGACAACGTCATTCCATGAGACATTAGGCACGCACCGGCTTTCCCATTATACCAGCTGGTCTCTGACATTCGAATACACATGAGTAAGAGAGCCTGCTGTTACCAGTCCGGATGCGCAAGCATATCGTAGACATCCGATGGGACGATGTTCGTTCGAAGTAGCTTGTCAGCATACAAGTTCTGCCTCCTGCTTATAGCGTTGGACTGCTCGTCTTTTGACTAGGGTCCAAGTTGGGGCCTCACGTACAACTTGTACTATCGCCATACTGCGACATACAGGTCAGCACAGTTCGATACCAGTTGACAGAATGCATACTGCAAGTATGAGATGGGAGCCAGAAGCGGACGTAGCCAGCTGTCGCCATTGTTGTACATATGTTGCTGCGATTGACTTCACCAGATGTCAGCCCATCATGCGATGTTGCAATACCAAAACGGTACATACGCTATAATTTGCGCTCCTCGCGGAATCACCCGTCAATGCTGCCATCTCTGCTATTGCCTGTATCCCAATAATACCCTTGATTGCAAGGTTTGTCTGGTTCGCAAGTGGACCAGTAAAGACGTCGGAGCTCATCTGGTTTGCTGGGTATAACGTGTTGGCAACAAGGTATTGCGTCCATTGCTCAAGAATGTCGAACTAAACTCAGCGGTCACCCAGTTCAGCAAAGTGACGATGAGAGCCGAGAGACTCCGAGGAGAAGATCGATGTTGACTCACGTAAGTTTTGATCAGATCCAAGTCACTTGACCATTGCGTGTAGCTCAGCGCCATGATGAGCATGTTCCCACTCTCTGCGGGTCAACAGAGCGTCGGAAACGACTTCAAGTATTTTGCACAACGGTGTAATTTCCCTAACCCTCTATTGGTAATGGCGTGTCCAGCCCTGGGCGTAGGATGAGCACAGGAGCTAAATAGTACCATAAGCGGGTAAAGCCACTTGCCATCGTTGTGCCCAGTAGCGTTCGGGTAATTCGACCCTGAGTCACTATATTCGTTAGAACCTCAGGAAGCAGTAGAAACGATGATATGAACCAGACGTACCCATATCATGGACACACCAAGCGTTAGGATATTGCCCGGTGCTTTGGTATTGAAGGAGAGGTTCTATCAGAGATCTAGCAAGCACGGTATTCGAGTAGAGGAATAGCAGCCAAGACGGGTAGATGACATCCACAGTATTCACGGTCTTGATTCTGTCAGTCTCGCACAATAGACCATGGCGGATGTCTAGCTCTTGTAACTCACGTTGTCTGCCATCTCTATCATTACAAAACATGTAGTTCAACAAATGATCAACATGGGACAGCGGAGATACGAACGCTTCGTAAATGTGAGGACCTTCGAGGTATCTAGAGACCCGTCACTTTGTCTCGGAGCGGTTATCTCGATGGTACCAAACGTTTGCCTGATTGATAGGGCAACCAAGGAGGCGTAGTCCGATGAGATCTTGCTAGCAGCATCGTTAATCTGCTTGTCGTATTCATCAGCCCTGATCAGCGCGTCGTCGTAGTCCTTCAAGAACGTCTCAATCTAATGCTAGAAGGGTGAGGACAATGTAGAACAAGTACCATCCGCTAAAATATCTCACCGCATCTGTCATGGCGGAGAAACGGCTCCAGAAATACGAGCTTTGTTCTTGTCGTCCGTTATTGATCACAATATACTGGATGGCGGGGTCTCGCGCGTGCCCAACTGAGTAGACAACAGGCGCTGTGGCCGTCGTGAGCAAATGCGAACACAGGCCAGCGATCGGAGATTCCACGAAAATCCGTGTCTAGTGTGTTGTTGAGAATGCCGTTGTTGACGAATTGCGCACGGACAACGGCATCCTGTCCCGTTTGGTACGTCGTCCCCGTCACCTGGGTATACGCTATCGTCAAGAGCCGAACAAATGTATAGTTTGTAGTACGGAGCGCACACTCAGGGTTGAATGATACGCGGATCCTTCTGTGTCAGTCAGACGTATTCAGTGAAACTGAGGCGATGGCAGAAAATAGCTCGCTTACGTGAAATATGATCAATGTCACTGGCATACTGCATCTGGTTCGTGACCTGACGACCTGAACTTGATGCGTTATAACATCGCCGGATGTCGTATTCCAATTAATGAGGGGGACGCCGTCTCGAGTTCCGCCCACCCATTCCCCAGAGATATCAACGTATATTTGGACGTTGTGCGATTTCCCATCGTTCGACGTTGCTGAGATAGAGTAATATGACAAAGGAAGTGATTGATTCACGAGATCGCTGGGCTACGAAATCGTGATCAGACCAAACGCACGGCAAGACCGATATCTGCGCCACTTACCTCCACAGGGCTGAGAAATGTGATGTTGAGATCGACTGGGCCAGCCGTCGGGACGAAGTTACTCTGGGTTGAGGTCCACCGGTAACCGTTGACATCGGCGTGTTAAGTCTGGGATCACTTGAGCTGACTCACTTGGAGGCTCTTCTGAGTAGCTTTGGTGAAGGTCACGTTGGGTACCCCGGGTGAACCCATCCAGACATAGGCTGTGCCGTCAACTTTGGCGAACCCTGCCCAGCCGATGATATCCTTGGATACATAAGCATATGCGCTGTCAACATCTCGGAGACAGCTCACCTGCCCAGTCCAGAATTGTGGCCATTGGTCATTGAGAGCGCTGCCGGCACCTTGGGGCAACCAGACAGACAGATACGGTGATCGTACAGCGAGCGGAACGGAAGGAGGACTGAAGGGTGTCGAGGTCCAGCTAACTGCGCCAGCTTCGAAGAACATATTGACGCAGATCGTTGCGAGGAATAGGAAGAGCATCGCTCGAAGGGACGCAGCGCGACGGGGGGTGCGAGGACGTATAGGGAAATAATGTGCACTGTGTCCACCGTCAGTATCAAAACCGCCGACGCAGTGCAGTCGGAATATTCCACGCACCTTCGTGATTGGGACCTGAAAATTTGCCATTAACGGCCTCCATACTCGACCGATCTCCTGCCCAAGTAGCACGCTCCTCCCAAACTATACGATTTGAGTTTGACGAGCGGTAGCAATGCTTGGCAGGCCGAAGCTTCAGCCAACACAAGTACAGATCCGGGACGTCAACATGTCAAGGAAGATGACACACAAGAGCGACTGCTCATGGGATTTGAAGCACTTGCGGTGTCGGCAGGGTACGCCAGCGTAGGCATGACGCTTCATGCGGGCGGTATAGCCTGTGCCATTGCTCGTCTTCGCTTCGACGTAGGGAGCGCTGAGTCGCCTATCTGTCAACCTCCGCCGCATTGACAAGGTTTAGTCGGAATGTTGATGCCTCGCCGGGTGCAACTTCGCATGGTAGCACTGTCGGGCCAGTTGACTCTCGTGCGTTCCTGGTCGCATGCAGCTAAGCAACTCCTCTCGTCTCGACATTCTCGTGGGCCGAGAAGCCAAACGTGGAAAATCGGGGGCGCCATTTAGTGAAGCCTCCGCTCCGAAGGCTTGAGGAATTCAGGCTCGACCACGATTGACCTAGACGCAATCAGTCAATTTGGTGGTATGCTATGAAGAAATAGCTTACCTCAGGATGGCCAGCCTGACAGCGCTTCCGCCGAACACGCATGCACAAATCCACTTTCACGTTTCATCATCAGGCGGGATACCGGTCACTCATCCTTGGATGCTACTCCATCTATACATTGCCGTAGCAGATTAGCTAGAACTCACCGACAGAGCGATGGGGTACCAATGCGGAACTTGATGATTGATCTGCCTCCCGTCTTCGCTCTTAACAGCATGCAGCAACTACCAAAGCTTACTGCCAAAACGGCATGCATCGAGTATATGCACCGAGTGCATTTCCTCATTCAGGCCCACTGTCTCCATCTGATTTATGGCGGAAACGCGATTGACTTGTCGTTCTGTTGAATATCGTGACCAAATGACCTCGTCACCGATCGCTAAACTCGTTATCATCTCAACTGTGAGAGGAGTGGTTGTTGACATCGCCTTAGCAGTAGAGATCTCATGGAGAGTCTCCGGAAGCCTAACTCTCGTTTGGCACCATCCGCGAGGCATTGCCCCCCCACATCGCCTGTCTTGAAGGACATATTTCAATTCATCCATCGAGAGATCAACATGCGGCACTGCGAACTAGCAGCATAAATTCGGCCCCTGTGGGATTATACAATGCGCTTTGCATCCAAGATATCTGCGGACAAACGTGGCAATCAGTCCGCATACATGTGATGCACCCACTCAGGGAACCTACTGTGATATAAATGGCTCTCGATGCTGGATCTGATTCCTCGTGAACTTCGGGATCCACAAAATACAGATATTGTAGGAAAAGCGACCTATGCTTATCCATTGCAACTTGCCCATTAGATTTGGGGTTTTGGTGCCGGCACGTCTGCGCATGCTGCGAAGGCGTTCTGCGGTTTCTGTTGCTGGCAACGTGCAGAACACGACGTCGAAAGCGAACAATAGGTGTTATGTAGAGCGTCATTGGTTGGCAGATGTGGAGTCCCTGCCAGTGGCAGAGGCGATGAACCGGGCGCACCGGCGTCTGTCCCTTGTTCAACGTCGGCTCTGACGGCGACCATCCCCATTCCCCCAGCCTCAACGTCGTCGGCTAGTCCACACATCTCTCTCTTTGGTGTTCGTCCTGGCTGGTCACCCGTCTTGATACCACATCTCTTCTCGTGAAAGACACGACCCGGCTCAGCATTGAATCAACAGCATCGCAGTCGATGGCCCAACCGGAAGCGTCCTCCTCACATATACACATCCCCTTCCCGACCTATCATGACCATGCTGACGATGACGACGATGTGTTCGGAGGCCACGCCTCGGACGCGCATGCCACTCCGCGCTTCAGCCATCTCCTAAATTCCGTCCTTGGCTCTCCATTTCTGACCACCTCAGACCTTCCTGCCGGCGACGCGGACACCGCATATGCCCCAAGCGCCATGTTCGGCGCAGATGACAGCAACGGAAATGCATACGCAGACGACGCAGACGATGTGGACATGGAGACCGTCGACGGCGCGTTCGCTTCCGTCCCGCGTTCTTTTACTATCACCCGCCCCACCTCCCCTACCCCAAGCTTCCGCACGGAGACGTTCTCCATTGTGAATTGGAATCCCGACGCATACAGTACAATGCTTCCTGGCAATGGTGATGGCACGCCGCGCTGCTCGATGGCGTTCATTCACCCCTCAGGGCGGCGCACAATCTCTGGGTACCCAAGCTACTGGAATCCCCTCTCAAACACCCCAGCGCCTTCGCCCATCAAGCCTTCTAGAAGCTTGACAATCGGTATGGGGATCTTGCCCAGGATATGGGACGCGTTGCGGGAGGGTTCCCCGGGTAAGCGCATACGGCGACGGCCTGGCATTCCGTCATGGCGAGATACAGCGGAGCTCGAGTACCATTCCGACGGGTACGTCGACTATGCCAGTTTGGATCCTCTGGATGGCGAAGAGGGGGAGCTTGTCGACGACGAAGCGTGTTTCATCGACGTTCGCGCGATCACCGGCATGGATATCGTGTCGCACTTGCCACTCGAGCTCGCACTCTATCTACTGGCGTTCTTGGATCTACCCTCTATCCTATCTTGCCTTCGTGTATCCAGGTGCGTCTCACATTGCTTATGTTGCGAACTAGATGTCTGACTCAACGTAGGAATTGGAATCAATTGGCACGCGACAACTCGATATGGCGTGTTCTCTTCTCCCTGAGGGAGAAGGATGGTTGGCGTGTCGACCTACGTAGAGCACCCCGCGAGAGCATGCTGTCATCGCTGAGGATGCCTCTTTCCATGATGCCCGCGCCCCTTGAGATCAACTGGTACAACCTATACCGGAATCGACAGGAGCTCGACCGCCGCTGGTCCAATTACCCTGGTGCTGGACTGAGTGCGGATCTGAGCGACGATAGTCCCTTAAAAGAGAAGGAAACCCCAAGGGGGTACGAGCCCAAAGTGACGCGCATCGGTGGACACGGCGATAGGTGCGTCGCGCTCCCGAATCCAGACGCATCACGTCATCGGGCCAACCGGCTGATCCTCTCTCGCTTGTCCCTACAGCGTATATTGTCTAGAGTTCGATTCGTCACGCATCGTCACTGGATCGCGCGACCGGACAATCAAAGTCTGGAGCCTCAGGACGGGCAAATGCCTCGCGACGTTCGCTGGCCACCGCGGCTCAGTCCTCTGCCTGAAGTTCGACCGTGACTGGGATACCCTGGACGACGAGGAGATAGAACGTGTCGACGAGCGTGCGCCGCGCAAGGGGTTCATGGTCAGCGGTTCGAGCGATTGCACGGTCGTCGTGTGGGACTTGTATGCGCACCCAGTTCCCGGAGAGGAGCCGAGGGTCACGGCGGAAGTCAGGAAGGTGCTTCGTGCGCATGGGGGAGGGGTGCTAGATCTTAGAATTGACTCGAGGTGGATCGTCAGTTGGTACGTCCGGGGAATGCATTGAGCATCATGAGGTAGGGTGGTCGCTGACTATGGTCTCAACGACAACGCAGCTCGAAGGACGCTTTGATCCGGGTGTGGGACAGGAAGACCCTGGAGTTACACTGCACACTACGCGGTCACGAGGGCCCTGTGAACGCGGTCGGGTTACAGGGCAACAGGGTGGTCAGCGCAAGCGGAGACGGAAAGATGATCCTGTGGGATGTTGCGAGTGGGGAACGGTTGAGGACGTTCGAAGGCCATGACCGTGGTCTGGCATGCATCGAGTTCAAGGTCCGTCCCAGCCCCATTCATCTTTGTGTTGGCGTTTGTTCTGACCGAGAAATTGCTCCCGTTCAGGACGAACTCATCGTATCTGGCTCGAACGACTGCAAGATCAAAGTTTGGGACGCGAACACGGGTGTGTGCCTTCGCACGCTGACTGGGCACGACTACCTCGTTCGTGCACTGTCCTTCGATCCCCGGAGCGGACGACTCGTGAGCGGGAGCTACGACAAGACGGTCAAAGTGTGGGACCTGCACTCGGGCAAGATGGTGCGGGAGTTCCGCGGGTGCCACGTGAGCCACATATTCGACGTCAAGTTCGACCACTGTCGTATCGTAAGGTACGTCCCTGTTCTTGAGAGTTGGTGTGGCGCTCCGGGGGCTGACGGACGTGCTTGCATTGCATTGTTAGCACTTCACATGACAGGAAGATTGTTGTACTCGATTTTTCTGAGGGGTTGGACACGACGTTGTTTGTCTGATGTCGATCCCAATGACGGCGACAGCACACAAGGCCGCTGTCTGAATGTTATGAGATCTGTGCTTCGAAATGACTGTATTCTATCACGACCTAATGGACACCCACACGTTTTTTACGTTCCCTTCGGCTCCTCTTCCTCCTCTCCTTTGCTTTTCTCCGTGCATCGTTGTCCGCGTTCGGTCCTCCGCGTTCATGTTCCGTACATAGTAGTTCTCCGTTCAGTTACCCTTTTCTGTTCTCTGCACAGCGGATCGTTTCTCTTTTTTCTCGCTTCTTTCTCTCTTCGCGCACAACACACGATACCCCCCGCATCATCACTCACAGTCATCCACCAGTTTCATATTTATGTATCACCTACGTCACACCGCGCTAGGACTGTGTTGTTTGTAGGATTGGATCTGTAGTTTCGCTATATCGTGTACCACCATACGTACGTACCAACATCGTCTCGTTTCCACCCTGTGCATGGAGATCCTTCATACCCTCGCTCGTACCGGCAATGCACTTCTCAGAGCACCAGGCAGATATGTATGTACCTTATCAGCGCTCAGGACCCCGCTTGCGTGTGTGGGGAACGGCGCATTGGGATCGATCGGGCTGCGGGGTATGGACAGTAGTGCGCTCATCGAGATCCTATTTCTGCAATGCTTGGTTCCGAGCTCGAGGTTCATCTGACCTTTCAAGTTGAAGTTTCAACTGACCTTCATCGGACTGGCAACGCGGTAGGTGCTTCAGGTATTACCTTCCGCTCGCAGCCTTGGATCTTCTAAAAAGGCACAGGGGTGATCTTCACCCAACGCCTCTGTCTGTTCTGTTCATATCAGCTCGTCGCTGCGTTCTCCGGTGTGCCTCTCGACCTCCAGTCACAACTTGATTGCACGACGGCAGCGAGGTGGTCATGTGAGTTGCGTGTCTGAGACTGAGGCTGCGGCTGAAATGGCCCGTGGGACGGGTGGCCGTCCGCGAAGTGCACCGGCTGTTGTCGTCGTGCCGTATGCCGTTACATAGCAGTCGATCCCCCGCACCATATATGTGTTTGGATGCCCCATGACCTCGAGCCCCGCTTCGACTGCATCCAACCCCTCTTCCTGTGTACTCCCTGCCAGCTGTAGCGCGAAGAGGGCGGCGGCTCGATTTCCAAACTCCCTACAGTTTACCAACAGCCCTACGACCCGGGCCCTAGAAACCCCAGATTAGAAATTGCGATGCCAGAAATCCATGCGGACGGCGAGCCTCTTCCCGTCATACCCGACAACGTTACTATTCCCCAGTTCATCCTCGACGTCCATCATCCTGCACGGCCGGTCCCAACGAAGGCGCAGCCATGGTGCATTGACGAGCTATCCGGGCGCGAGGTCTTTTCGGACGAGGTGAGTGTTGGTCCTGTCTTATACCTTAGAGCACGTGCAGCAGCGTGGCGAGGACAAGAGGGCAGCAGAGCTGAGCGCGCATCCTTATCATACACCAGCTGCGGGCGCGGACGTTTGGGCTCGCGAACGCGCTGAAGCTGCGTTGGAACATCGGTACGTTTCTCACCGATCCACGGAGTACACACCGATGGTCTGACGTGCATCGCACTCGCTCCTCAGGTGATAATGATGTTGGTACGCCATGACGCGATTCTGCTGTCAGGATCTGCGACGGTTGACACAGTGCGCTCGATCTCGCAGTCTGTATCTTTGGTCCGAATCATATCGGTACGTTCGTCAACGCTCAATCTCCAATGCGACCGCGGTGCGTCAGCGCGGACTTGAGGCGGGCCCGGACATACACAGATGTGCCTCCAACCATGTCCGAGGTGCAACGCAAGTTCGCGTGGATTCGCTTGGGGGGAGGCATATCGCACTATTGGAATGGACGCTGACGGCAATATTGCAGATTACCCTGTGGCAATTTGGTATGCATCGACCTCGCATCTCCGGTGATACAACCTGATCGCGCCACCGCGTTTTGCAGGGCCGTACACAGATTGGGTGCTATTGTGTCGTACGTTTCTCCAACAACTCCGACCGCCGCTCATCGCCATTGATCTCACACACGCCCCGATCCACACAGAGGCGCGAATCCCGCCTATACCGCGGAGGAGCTCGAGTACCAGCTTGGTGTGACGAAGGCGCGCGTCCTGATCTCGCACGCAGGCTCGTTGCCGGTCGCGCTCGCCGCCGCGGACAAGGCCGGCGTGCCGTTCGACCGTGTCGTGGTGTTCGATGAGGTTCCTGGGGCGAAGAATGTCACGGTGCACCAGCTCGTCGACGAGGGCCTGTCGCAGCCGCAGGCGTTCATCGAGCCGAGACTTGCTCCTGGTGAGGGCCGGAAGAAGCTGGCGTTCTTGAGCTTCAGCAGCGGGACGACTGGTCGGCCGAAGGTGACCTTCAACTTCTCGTCACTCATACAGGTTTGCTGAGGGGGCGCCGATGTGTTGCGGTTTAGGCGGTCATGATACCCCACTATGCGGTACTCGCGAACGTGATTCAGATAGCGCATTATGTCGGTGCTAATGATAAGAAGCGGACAAATGAGCTGCAGCGGTACCCGCCAGGGAGCAAGGTTCTCGCACGTAAGTCTTGTTATATATATGTATAGAAGTGTTCGACTGACGCGGATGCGATGCTAGTGTTACCATTTTACCGTACGTGAATATCGTCTGCAACCGAGCATTCTTCGTCAATCGCGGCTTCTCCAGATATATATGGGCTCGTTGTCGTTCTGCACTTCCACTTGTTTGTCGGGGTGAGCGAAAGCCTCGTCGTTACATCCAGGATATACCCCGTACTGACCGGTCCTGCAGACCACCCTGGTCATTCCCCAGAAGTTCGATTTTGAGAGGATGCTCGACAGCATCCAGCGGTTCCGCGTCACGCATCTCTGGTAATATCTCTTTCCTCTCTCGCGTGCGCCGTCGGCGTCGTGTCGTGCTCACTCACCCGCAGCCTCGTCCCGCCCATGGTCGTGCTGCTCTGCAAGCACCCGGCAGTGAAGAAGTATGACCTGAGCTCGGTGCGCATGCTCATGAGCGGCGCGGCGCCCCTCAGCTCCGAGCTCACGAACCAGCTCGCCGCGCTCCTGCCGGACTGCTGGATCGGCCAGGCGTACGGCATGACCGAGACGTGCACGGCGGTCACGTTCCCGCCCAACGACCGCCGCCTCGGCTCGCCGGGCAGCGGGGGCGTCCTCCTCCCGGGGTGCGTCGCGCGCGTCGTGAAGCCGGACGGGTCGCTCGCGGGCATTGGGGAGCGCGGGGAGCTGGTCATCACCGGGCCGAGCATCACGCTGGGGTACCTGAACAACGCGGAGGCGTGAGTCCGTTCCTCCCTCCTGCCTCGTGTTCGCTTGGGGGCGTGCTAGAGCGAGAGGGCTCACTGCGTGGATCGCGCAGGACCGCGGAGACGTTCCTCGACGGCTGGGTGCGCACGGGGGACGAGGTCTACTTCAACGAGCGCAAGGAGATCTTCGTCGTCGACCGCATCAAGGAGCTCATCAAGGTCCGCGGGTTCCAGGTGCCCCCCGCGGAGCTCGAGGGCCACCTGCTCGGCCATCCGGACGTCGGCGACGTCTGTGTCGTCGGCGTCCCCGATGAGTATTCTGGGGAGCTGCCGCTCGCGTTCGTCGTGCCGAGCGCGAACGCGCTCGCGAGGATCAAGCAGGACAGGCTGGTGGAGCAGCGGACGAAGGACGCGATCATCAAGGTGAGTGCGGGCGCGAAATGCGCTTCGAATTGCGTTTGCTGACGGCCTGTTGTCTTGTCGCCGCGCCTTGTCCATCGTCGTGTTCTGCCATCGCTCCGCGCGGGGTGTACGCTGGATCTGGCAACGCGACAGCACGTGGCGGAGCACAAAGTGAACTACAAGCACCTCGCGGCGGTAGAGTTCATCGACGCGATCCCAAAGAACCCGAGCGGGAAGCTGCTCCGGCGGTTCTTGCGCGACCGCGCGCGAAAGCTGAAGGAGAGCGGCAGGCTCGTACTTCCGACCCGCGGGAAGGCAAAGCTCTGAAATTCGAGGGTGCCTTCGTGGCGGTGAGCGTCGTCCCAGTGTGCGAGTGCGCCTCCCTTGTCGGGAGAGTCGCTTACATACCTGCTCGACCGTAGTAGTATTATTAGACCCTTTCCGACTGTGGTCCACAAGTCCGAGATCGTGCGCATATAGCAGCATCTAGACATCTTGTCATCGTTACACTATCGTGCCTGCAACGGGTCTGATAAGCACACACACGGGAATGCTGACGTTCGACCGCGGAACGAGCCGAAAAGCCAGCCAGCTCTGTGCGTCGGAACTTCCTATGCCTCTGCTGTATGCCCTATAGCGGCGTGGTTTTGGGGTCTGAGCAATAAACCGCTACACAGGGGTTACCGATCGGAGGTTGTGGCCGAGGGCTTTAAGTATGTGTAGTATGGTACTTGCCATGACGGTGGCGTATTGAGCGTACGTATGCGGGGGTGGCTGAGGGTTTTGATGGCTTGCTTTCCCGGAGAATCGGTTGAAGCGTTGCATATGACCAGCGTCCCTGGAACGATGAACGGCATCCGGGGTGTTGGGATCTTGAACGCTGAGCAGACAAAGGCGACCTAGATACACACAGCTGCGCCCGAATCGTGAGACTCGCACAAGTACGAACGATAGCTTCGGACAGGCGTTCAAGGACTGCTGGATGTCGACGTCGGACGCTCGCCGGCTTCCGGCTGTCTGAGTCGACCGGCGGGGTCCTGCAGCACTGTCGACTCGGTCTTCGTAGTGGGTAGCATCAGATGCCGACGCATGCGCATAACCGGAAATTAGGATCGCACCCCGCGTGACCGCCGGAGCGGCAGCCAGGCCTGCAGAACTCGTCGTCGGGCGGACCCACGCTCCTTGGCGGTTGCAGCGGACTACTTATAACGATCGTGCTAGTGCCCGCTGGTGAGACCACCCCCTCGTTCGACTTTCTACGCGCTTTGCCTGCGAACGCGACCGCCCGCGGTGTTAGAAAGACAGAAACCAAACGACGCACCTCGAATTCTCGGACCTTCGGTGTTCCTCGAGCCGTATCATCCGCACCCCAACACCTCTCCTAAGGACTTGACCCACTTACTACCCGCTTGACTTGGACTCGACGAACCCGACATGACGACGCAGAACATCCCGACGATCTACGGCGTCGGCGGCCCGGTCGCGCGCATCCCGGACGACGTGACGATCCCGCAATTCTTCTTCGACCAGCACCACGAGCTCAACGGAGAGGCGCTGCACTTGCGCCAGCCGACGTACTTCATCGACGACGCGACCGGGAGGCATGTAACAGGGGACGAGGTGAGTGCCTCCTATCGCGCGCGGCGCGTCCGAGTGCGCTCGGGATCGTGCGGGGTTGCGCTGATAACGCGGACTGCTGCTAGGTCCGCGCGCGCGTGCTCGGGCTGGCGAACGCGCTGCACATACGGTGGAACATCGGTGAGCCAGCTTTCGTGATCAGGAGGAGGCGGATGCGCTGACTGGGCGGTGATACGATGCCGTGGGCTTGCAGGAGACGGTGACGTCGGTGAGTGTCCGCGTGCCCAGACGCCCTCAATATCGCGTCGTTCGCGGGGATTACGCTGGTGCTGACGGGGTTTCCGCTCTTACCTAGTCTGTATCTATGGTCCAAACCATGTCGGTGAGCTCGCTTTGCTCCTTTGCAGCCCGGTACTGGTTCCTCTGACGGCTAGCTGGCAGACTACTCGACTGTAATCTGGTACGCTCGGCGCGCTGGGCCTCTTGACGTGTATCGCTGAACAGATGTTGTCGCCGTGCAGGGCTACCCATCGGGTCGGGGGCATCGTCACGTAAGTCTTCTCCCCGTCTCGCCCTCGACCTCGACTGAACCCAATCTCCCTTCCTCGGCTCTGCTGCTTGGCCATCTTACCCAACCCAGCGGTGCCAACCCCGCCTACACCGCCGAGGAGCTCGTCTACCAGATCCAGACCGCCAAAGCGACCGTCCTCTTCGTGCACCCCGACGCGCTCCCGGTCGGCCTCGAGGCCGCGCGCGCAACGGGCATCCGCGACGACCGCATCGTCGTCTTCGACGCCGTCCCGGGCGACAATCACCTCACCGTCACCGACCTCGTCAAGGAGGGCCTCCTCCAGCCAAAGCGCTACGTGGAGCCGCGGCTGAAGCCGGGCGAGGGCCGGACGAAGATCGCGCTGCTCTGCTTCTCGAGCGGGACGACGGGGCGCGCGAAGGCGGTCATGATCCCGCACTACGCGGTGATCGCGAACTGCATCCAGATGAAGCAGTACGCGAACACGCGGGACGCGCCGTATCCGAACGAGAAGAAACTGTATCGCTCGGGTGACGTCGCCATCGCAGGTGGGTGTGCTTTTGGTGGTCCTGAGCTGTGTCGGTTTGTTGACTGTGTGCCGTCTCGTCGTGGATCAGTGCTGCCGTTCTATCGTGCGTATATAGCCTTGGGGGATGCCTGGCTGAGATGTAGAAGACTTACCAACATCGGACGCAGATATATACGGCGTCGTCGTCAACCTGCATTACTATTTGTTCTGCGGGGTATGTTTCCTGATTGCATCCCATCGGCATATGCACTCATATACGTCTGCATAGATGACGCTCGTCCTCGTACAGAAATTCAACTTTGAGAACATGCTCAAAAGTGTCCAGCGTTACAAGATCGGGCACATGACGTGAGTCCCTGCAGTGCCCAGGCTGTCTCCGTTCTGACTCAATTCGTGCTGCAGCCTCGTCCCGCCCATGGTCGTCCTCCTCTGCAAGGTACGCTAGCCGCCCCCTCGTCACGAGTCCCAGCCTCAGACAGCGCGCTCTCTCCTTTTTCCAGCACCCAGCCGTGAAGAACTACGACCTGAGCAGCGTCAAGCTGCTCACCTGCGGCGCCGCCCCGCTCTCCGCCGAGCTCACCCACCAAGTCGCGAAGCTCCTCCCGCACGCGCACATCGGGCAGGGGTACGGCATGACCGAGACCTGCACCACCGTCTCCTTCCCGCAGCTCGACATGCGCATCGGCACGCCCGGCTCGGCGGGTCGCCTCATCCCGGGCACCGCCGTCCGCATCCTCAAGGCGGACGGCTCGTGGGGCGGTGTTGGGGAGACGGGCCAGCTCGTGGTGAGCGCCCCGAGCGTGACCATCGGCTACCTGAACAACGAGGAGGCGACGCGGGAGACGTTCAAGGACGGGTGGGTGTACACGGGCGACGAGGGGTACGTGAACGAGAAGAAGGAGCTGTTCATCATCGACCGGATCAAGGTGCGTCTCTCTGCGCTGGGCTGTCCGCAAGCGGTCGTGGACACCGGACGCACACGAGGCTGACATGGGGATTTGGCTTGGGGAACGCAGGAGCTGATCAAGGTGCGCGGGTTCCAAGTCGCGCCTGCGGAGCTGGAGGGCCACCTGCTCGACCACCCGGACGTCGCGGACGTGTGCGTCGTCGCGGCGCCCGACGACTACAGCGGCGAGCTGCCGTTCGCGTTCGTCGCGCTGCACGAGCGCGTGCGCGCGCAGGTCGCGGCGGACCCGCGGGAGGCGGAGCGCGTCCGCCAGAGCATTCTCAAGGTGCGTTTCGCCCTCTCTTTGCCTTCGTCTTCGTCTTCTCCGTTCCGTGTTCCCTGCGCGAGTGCTGAATGGACGACGGCGGGGGGCGCAGCACGTCGCGGACCACAAGACGCAGTACAAGTGGCTGGCGGGCGTCGAGTTCATCGACGTCGTGCCGAAGAACCCGAGCGGGAAGCTGCTGCGGCGCGTGCTCCGGGACCGGCTGAAGGAGGGCTTGCAGGCGGGCAGGATCAAGCTCGTCCAGCCGAAGGAGCGGGCTAAGCTCTGAGGTGGTGGCCTGGTGTTGCAGGACGAGGAGTAGAGTATGTGTATATAGAGTTTGGAGTATTGCAATCGGAATCATGGGCATCGACCTAGTGTCGACTCGTACGAGTGGGCCGAGCGTGAGGGTATGACATCTGATCCTATGTTGTACACGGTTAGTATGACGGGGGTGTTACGTGGCCGCGTAAGTGCTTCAACAACGCCGAGCGACACTGATGAGCATGAAATGCGCTCCGAGTGGCCAAGTAGTCGTGCCTTCGTGCCTCAGTCCCTCCCTCTTCGTCGCCATCGGCGCAGCGAAGTCCTATGGACGAGGTGAGAGGTGAGTCCCTTCACTTTCGGATGAATATCGGGCCCTGGATTCTCCAGAAGCCATGAACATGTTCGCTACAGTGATTTGCAGAAATTCCTGCAGGTCGGCGCGCACGTGTGGGCAAGGCTCGGGACGCACATTCTCTGCACCTATATACGTTTGGATCGGATAGAGTGCAGGAGCAATATTGTAGACGCATTCATTGCCTTTGAATCCCTTTGAATCCGAAGCAGCCATGGAGATGCCAACTCCGTCTCAACGGATAGCATATGTGGTAGCCGCCCGGGAACAAACATCGACAAGCAGCTCGCGACGCAGCGTTTGTGCAAACTAGTCTTGAACTACTGTAACTCTTTCCATTCCCTTGACAGGTCCCGCACGGAGCAGCCACTGAGTGTCCGGCTAACACTGCTATGAGCGACTCTCTTACGCAGGCTGCTTTGGTGCGTATAGAGGGTTGCAGCAGGAAACCAACTTCTGATCAGTATAACGTCAGGTCATTGATGGTGTCGGGCAGGCACAAGGTGGGCCACCATCTGCCGTCGGGCTTGACATGTCTCCTTCGCTCGGATCCCCTCTGAACGATGTTCGTATGCTTTTAAAGAAGCGCTTAGAAGAGCTACTCGAGAATGAGCAAGAAACCGTCCTCGAGAAGATGGACTTGCTGTATCGCTGGAACAGCACCTTCACCATCACGCAGCTCCCGAACGAGATCCTCTTACTCATCTTCATCTGCTTCAGCGAAGGGCTTGTATGGTCAGACGATGAACGTGAGAACCTGCCGCGTTCCCAACTGGCAAAGACTGGTTGGATGGAGCTGATGCTCGTATGCCGTCGTTGGCGCGATGTGGCGCTCGCGACGCCGTTGCTTTGGCGGACGATGAACGTGGGCACGACGACAGACTGGTTCAAGCTAGCCCTGACGCGGTCTTCCCTCGCCTCAATCGAGGTCTCCTTCACATCCCATGACGTGTCGGAGGAGCAGGTCTTCCTTTTGAAACCTCACCTCCATCGTCTCCGGCGTATCTGCTTTCCCCTGGCGCCCATATCGGCTCACATCTTCTCCACAATGGAGGACAACACTTCCTATCCCGCCTTGGAAGCTATGGAATTTTATAAGACCGGGATCCATTTGCAAGTATCTGGGGACCTGCGCATTACTACCAAGCACTTTCCTCATCTCCAAGTGTTATCCCTCACCCGCGCTGTCATGCCCGAGGACATATCGGTGTACGCCCGACTCCGGAAGCTGCGTCTGTGGGATTGTCCCTGCAGGTTTTCTCTCAACACGTTCGTGCAGCTTTTGGCCAGTAGTCCAAATCTCGAATCCCTCGAACTTGATGAGATCCTCGGGCAGCTCGACGACGATGGCCACGGTGACCGTACAAGCGGTCAACCTGCGCATCTTCTACCGTCTCTTCGTTCCCTAAGGCTCGACCACCATTGTCTGTTGCATTCCGCACGCTTCTTGTCCCGTATTCTTCTCCCTCCGACCGCATCGCTATCCATCCGCACGCTAGGAGACATCGAACAGGGCTATACTCTGAGGTCCTTCCTGCCTTCGAATCCCCGCGATTTACTACCTGGATTAGCCTCCGTGACGCGAGCAACACTCTTCATCACGGGTGGGGAAATGTCCCTTCACGGTTGGACTGCCCAGAAACGGGTCGTCTTACAGGCCAGCATACATCCACTCGACGACGAGGACGGTTGGGAAGCACCACTGTCGGAAGGCCTGGACGATCTCCTCAAGATACTCTGCCCTGCGTCGCTGACGCATCTCACCATCAACGGAAAATCTGTCGTGGCCGATCCGGCAGAATGGGCAACGCTCTTCTCATCCCTCCCCACGCTAGCGTGGCTGCAAATTGGTGCCGACGATAATGCTTTTGTTGGGCTCTTGATGGCCTCAAGAAGGAGAAAGAGGTCTACGGACGAACCGATCGCGTGTTCAAGGCTCCGGCGCCTCGCGGTGAAGGGCGACTGGTTCATATACCACAACCTGGATATATTCTGCGACACCCTTGTCGAGTGTCTTCAGTATCGTGCCCGCCGAGGCAGCCGGCTGAGGGTGTTGCAAGCACAGCTTATCTATCATGAGTCTGTTGAGTGGGAGAATGCGGAGGCGGAAGCGTTGTTCAGGAGACAACATCTGCCTCGGCTGCAAAGGCTTGTTGCTGAGGTCAGATGGGTAGTGGGGCCACGGTCTTGATCCACGCCCGATTTATTCTATGGACCATCATTTTGTTGCGTTCAGAAATGCCTAGAGATGCTTCCTCACTGAGTGAGGGCTCTCCCGCTTGTCCGAATTTGAGTCTGATCAAGGTCGTGGTCCAGAATCATGGTGCAGGGGTTCCACGGCCATGATGTCGCAGAACGCCGTGTGCGTCGTGCGACATGAGTAGGCTATATCGGGTATAAGATCTGAGGGAGAGCACGGTGCGTTGCATGTCGTCTCCGTTTGGTTTCATTCTCTTGACGACATATCTTCCGCTTTCACTTTCTCGGTCGTCCTCCCGATGCACATGATCATTCTCATAAGAGACTAAAGGCTCTCGTTTATGCTACATACCGTTTGCTGACGTGTACCGCGATCGTTTTCAAGCGCTGCTATCATGATCATTCCGTTATACCACATATGACCAGACATGTGCTCAGCTTGGTCAGGCCCTCAAGAGCTAGCCAAGGCTACATTGGACCTCACGTGCATTTGAAGCGCGGCGTCGGTCGCCCGTTAGCTTCAACGAGCCCCTTACTTCGCTGGCGGAGGCCCGTGGAGGCTCGGTGTGCGGGCTGAAGGTCTTGCGCTCGACCGGGAAGACGAACATGTCCGAGTGCCGGGTTTGACCTGGGGTCAGGTCAGGGGTTCGATACATATGACCCAAGATCAGGTACGTATGCCGTACCGCCGTTGTTCCTCAGAGTGCACCTCGTCAGTATAAATATAAACGTAGTGCATCACAGAAACGAAACCGAGCAACTAGGTGAAGATGAGGGCCATACGTTACTACGGACCTGGAGACGTACGCCTTGACGAGATACCCGAGCCTCGGGTCGGGGATCGTCAGGTGAAGATAAAGGCATTCACTTTCTGCTTGTGATACAGTGAATCGCTACTCATCCATTGAGCACTACAGGTCGCCTGGTAAGCTTCAGTCCAGATGAGCTTTGTGGCCACTGACAACTCATTGGTGATCCGCCAACTACTGTAGGAACGGCAGTGAGTATCTTCTCCCGGCGATACATTTTTGGTAGACTGACTGATCACTTCTCGTCGCAGTCTGCGGGTCCGATCTGCACGCTTGGGATGCCCTCCTTCCTGTCACCCCAACCCACACAGAACCCCATGTCGTCACGGGCGAGACACTGCCCATAGTCATGGGTCATGAGTATGTGCGACAGCAGTGATGGGCCTTGTCTCGAATTGATCCTTTGTCGCGATAGGATGTCCGGTACGATCGTCGAGGTCGGCTCCCAGGTGAACACATCCCGGTTGAAGGCTGGGGTGAATGTGGTCGTGTATGTCTACCATAACTTGCACGTGAACATCTCCCGGATCGAATCAGCTCACGTCGTGTCGCAGAGAGCCAATCCTAGCATGCAGGAAAGCAGCGTGTTCACCTTGCCAGGAGGGTACGCGGAACGTTTGCCCTCATATTACATTCATTGTAAGTCATTCGCAAGGCCGAACACCCTCTCATAACGTAAATAACATGGGAAATAGGGCTTGGGCGGTGGCGGTGGCGGTCTCTCGGAATACATCGCCGTTGACGAGGATCTCGTCCAGGTTCTGCCGGATGGAGTACCCTGTAAGTACGTCACATACTATTCACACATAGCCATCTCACAGCAAATTCAGTGGAATTTGGAGCCTTGATGGAGCCTTTGGCTGTTTCCTGGCATGCGGTCAAGAGATCGGGTATTAAAGCCGGAGACAAGGTGCTCATTCTTGGTGGCGGTCCAGTGAGTCGGACTTTTGTTGTCGTTTTGAAGCGTTTTGCTGACTTGCACCCGAGGTCGGTCTGCTCGTTCTGAGGGTCGCACGGTACAGTTCCCAGGATCGCCCGCCCGAGGTTTTGTTGACACGTTAAGTTTCAGAGTATTTGGTGCGTCGTGGATCGCACTATCCGAGCCCGCCTTGAAAAGGCGCGAGCTGGCGACGTCCCAAGGCGCCGATGTTGTTTACGACCCCACCTCTCCCGGTCTCGACGTAGTGGAGGCCGTGCGCGAAGCGACAGGAACCCGCCGGGGCGCTGACATCGTTTTTGACTGCGCTGGCACCCAACGCACATTGGACGCCGCGTTCCAGGCCGTTCGTCCGCGAGGAAGTGTGGTGAACGTGGCCATATGGGACCATAAACCCCTGCTCGATATAGGTGCAATCACCCTCAAGGAGATCACTTTCACGGGTGAGCTTTGACTCGAATCTTAGCGGAGCGTCTTTATTAACACATCGTAGGCGTTATTTCGTTCGATCGCGTTCATAACGACATGTTGAAGGCTGTAGCGGAGGGAAAGTTCAACGGGATTGAGAATATCATCACGCGACGGATCGGTTTGGAAGACTTCGTCGAGAAGGGTATCAAGGCGTTGGTGAACGAGAAGGATGAGCAAGGTGAGTCCTACAACGTCTCTTCTGGGAAGGGTTCGCCTACCGTACTCATCGGGATCCTCGACGAAACACTACAGTCAAGATATTGGTTTATCCTGGTGCCGGGGGATCTGCATAGACCTGGAATCTAACAGAAATGCTCGTCCCGGGCCAGTAGTGTTTTCTCATGCTCATGCCGGTCAGATTTGAAGAGCTCCTACACTGTACAGTAGTTATCACCCGTCGAAATTATTGGCGTTCATCGAACAAAGGGTCCGAATCATGCTCACGTCGGCTAGTTGGTCCAAATGAGACTCGAACCCGCCGCCGCCGAGCCAGCGCCTATGATGCCATGCATGGGGTTGGGCGTCGACGTTCCTGACCACCACGACGCACGGCGTTACCTTGAGGCTGCGTCTGTAGCTATATCTCGTCCTACTCTGTCTGTGATGACTTCACCGTGAATCTGGATGCGACTGCGACCAACATAATGTCACCGCGAACTGAGCAGGACGGGAACACTGTCTTGTTCAGCATCGAGACGTCGCTCAATCACTTGACCCACTAGCCAGTATGTTTTATTCCGCACAATCCCGCGTGCTGAGTGCAAGAGACCGTCTGCTGATGAACCTCAAATTGCATCTGGAATCATTAGATGCAGAGGATCACGCGAGAATATATGTCGAAACTGTTGTCGCGGTCATAGTGGGATCGTTTGGGTGGACTGGTCCAGCACGTGTGCGGCCGAAGCGTGGACGGAATCTCTTAATAGGTAAAACCACCGCACCCATGAGAGTCAAAATTTCCGGCGAGAATATTGCCGAGACATGTGGTAAGAGCGTGCCCGTGGGTGAAGGTCAGCTGCTTCTTTCCTATTTATAATACAAAAGCAAGGACTTACAGGAAACGCGTCCTCATTGTCTTCAACTCTGACATGCTCTAGGAGTATTGAATATGTCTCTCATCTATGCTGACGGGCAGATGCCTCACGTTCCCGAAGATCTCACGATCTCGCAATTCATCTTGGACGGACGACATCCTACACGTCCTTCCTGGGTTTGGGAGCATCCCAAGGCATGGCTCATTGAGGAGGCAACTGGCCGTGAGATTGGTAAGGAAGAGGTACGCGTCGAAATTAAGAATTTACAACAAGTGAACGATCCGACACCGTGTCTTCACGCAGGTACAGAGGCGGGTATATGCTCTCGCAAACGCTCTCAAGATGCGCTGGAACATAGGTTCGTCCCACGCCACCGACTCATCTTGACTCGTACTGCATGCTGAGATGAAGCGTTTTGCAGGCGAAGACGATGTGGGTAGGTAGAAGCCAATCCGGACAAAAGCGCGTGCATTGATTTGCATGTTAGTGTGCATCTTTAGCCACAACCACGTTGGTATGTATCAAGCAACCGCTTGACTCATTTCGATGGCCTGCTCACCAGCAGAAAGATTATATTGTTGTAGTTTGGTGCGCCTCGAGTAAGCGACTTGAGGGTGCTCAGCGCAACTGATGTAGAGCATACCTGGTACAGGGCGGTACATGTGTTAGGAGGCACTGTCTCGTGAGTACAACTATTATGGATCCCTGTGGAAATATGAGTGAGGAGTCTTGCGGCAGTACGGCAAACCCGACATACACAGCAGAGGAGCTGTCTTACCAGCTCAGTCTGACGAAGGCACGCCTGGTCATCGCCGACCTATCCACGCTCCCGGTAGCGTCGGAAGGAGTTCGTGCTTCAGGAATATCGCCAGGCTGCCTCATATCCTTTGACCCGGTCTCAGGAGAATCCTACCCCGATGTGCAAATTTTGATAGCTTTTGGCTCGAGGGAGGCAAAACGGTATCGCGAAAGGCGCCTGTCAGAAGGAGAAGGAAGGACGAAGTTAGCCTTTCTGTCCTTCTCTAGTGGGACCACGGGGAAGCCAAAGGTACCGAAGACTCGGGGTCCATTTCGACCTCGCACCTGCTCACTGATTCTACCCGTCCTATTTAGGCAGTCATGATCTCGCACTACAGCTTCATCGCGAATATTGTACAGATAGCTCAATACCTCAGACTCAACGACACCCAAAGCTCTTCATTCATGAAAGTGTATGACGCAAATAGTGTCGTCCTTGGAAGTGAGTACCGTCCTTGAACTCGCAACCCGGATCGTCTGGTGCCTAACTGCGGCATCGCAGCGTTGCCTTTCTATCGTAAGCTTCACCTGCGCCTGGTAGTGTTAGCTATGAACTTGTCGACGATATGCAGATGCATATGGGATGCATATGGGCTTGCTTATCACATTCTTTCTTGGGGTAAGCATGCTTGCAAAAGATACATCATCGAGATGCGACGCTTAAACCGACGGGTGCACAGGCTTCCATTGTGGTATCGCCCAAATTCCAGTTCGAAAGGATGCTGCATAGCATTCAGCGGTATCACATCTCTCATTTGTAGTACGCATAGTATGTCGCCTCCTTGCGCAGTGTGGCTGATTAGGGACCGAAGTGTAGTGCCTCCTCAGGTGGTGCTCCTATGCAAGGTGAGACCCGGTCGCCACAGCTCAGACATACTTGGGCGTCAGAACTCACATCTTCTACGGCAGAGTCCTAAAGTGAAGCAGTATGACTTGAGCTCGGTGACCTACACCGCCGGGCGACCCAAGACATCGATACAAGATGAGCAGCAGATGATGTGGATTTGATATTGCGCAGTATGTGGAGATCGGATGAGCGCTGTCCCGACCCGGTGCTTGCCGTCCATACTGGCGCTGACCGTCGGCGTACCCTCGTGTCGTACCATCATCATGTCACTTCTATGTCTTAGTATGCAATCTCATATCTCTCTGATCACCGTATGGATACGATACCAGCTGGTTACTCCTAACTCATATGGAGGCACATGACTTCTCCCTGCAGGTAAGGTCTCCGGTGGTCCTCTTTTCCTTCGTGCATTATATTTTACGCCCAGGGTGCCCATACCGCGCTAGCCAGGTCCGTATCTTGTATCACACTTCTCATAGTACTCATAAAGTCGTATTGATGTCCACCAGTGAAAAATGAGCGGTTCCGATGACGAGTACGAGCCCTCGCAGATTGTCGGAGATGTTTGGGAGGAGCGGACAGCGCCGATTCTGAACAGGTCGCGTCGTTCAGAGGTCAGCAAAGGCTTGGCCGATAGGCGACATCCAGGTACGTATGGTGATCATCCACATCGTGCTCTTCTCTGTGATAGACCGGACATCCGGCCGTGCTGATGACATCGCATACAGGCTTTTCGAACCAGGAGGTGCGCTCAATTCACAGACTTCGGAGACTCAGTATTTGGAACATCTGAAAGACTACTTTCGCGGTACGTCCTTATTCTTGTTGTGATCAATTTCTTACCATGGCTGACGTATTTTTATGCAGACGCTACTACACAGGACAACGAGAAGACTTACGCCAGCATCGGCGTGCAAACCAGTGGTGTTACAGAGTCACCAGGTGAGTTCCGCATCAGTTATATTCTCATACGAGTCGCTCCGGAAAGACAATTGGTGTGGTTGAGGCTACAGTGCCCTATTAGTGCTATGACGGGCTGGAGGCCTCGTCTCGAATTGCATAGCACAAGACCCATGACAATCACCCTGCGAGGCTACTGTGTGCTGTTAGGGCTAATGGTGGACAGCGCGGGTTTGGTGCGGGGGCGGCAGCTGACACATGTACAGGTCAAACCACAGGGACGGACACAGTGGCACTTTGCCCTTGCATGGTTGCCCTCGCATCAGCCACGCACGAGCTCGAAACCGACTGCGACAGGCAGAGGCCTATGTGCTTGCCAATGCAAGCCTTTTCCTGGATCCGACCGAGGAGTCGCAGGTTCTGTTGGAGATGCCTTGGCTAAGTGTTGTGGACGATTCTAGTGCAAGGTGAGAGATTTTTTGCATTGTATACTTCTCAAAATGATTGATCTTGAGAGCGTGGCGTTGTACTTCAGGTCCCGAACCGGAGGGCTGCCTGAAGGGGGCACAGGGGTCAAGCGCCATGTCGATATGTCCGACAGTGAAGTTGGAGCGCATTGTGCGCCCAAGGAGGCACGTTTACAATAGGTGTTCGAATACTATACGATTCCGTTGTGCTTCTCTGTACCACGTGTCGTCTGTTGAATTGAGGATGTCGAGGACTTCCTATACGCCACAATACGGTTTTCTTGTGCCTGAGCTCGCAGTGCTTACCGGGCAGGGTGATACATGGCAGAAAGCTGACGTTCCCATAGTGGTTTTTCTTTGCCAGAGAAATCGAATCGACGGACATGGTGGTACAACTCACTACTATTCTGTGTGTTCTCGGTGCCTTGACGAGTTTCGGTCATAGCGAACAACTTCCTTCATGGGCGCTGGACGCGGCTACATTCCCTTGCCATTCCTCCGCATTCTCGCTCCGCATATACTTGCTTCAGATGCCCAGTTTCACACGTCCCGAAGGTGAGCACAATGTTGATAATTGGAAGTTATGTATCAGGGGTCTTATGGCGATGGATTAGACTTTGAGGTGCAGGGAGGTCTTGGCCGATGCACGGTGTGCAACCCGCCTGGACATGGGCAATGGATCAAACTGGGAAACTTACGGATTCATGAAGAACAGCGGGTCCACAAGCAGAATGTCGAGCGGAAGTTACGGAGGCAGAGGGAGGCACAGGCTACTGCACCGCGGCGGATGGTGGCTCCCCCCGTGCTCCCTACCGACGAACCCCTTGGTCCCCAGCCAGAATTTGACCTCGACTGTGAGTATTCTACACTGACGGAGCTATCTAGAGACCATATGGACGTCGCACCTTTGCAAGACTCTGAAGGGGTCAAACGGATGCAACGTATTTCTCTTGCCATGGAGAATGCTCTCGCTGGGCGAGTATTCTTCAGCGCTGGGGAGGGGCCTTTACTTGGCGGTGGGGACTCAGAGGTTACACTCGAGGAGGTACTTGCTGGTGCAGGTCTCTTGCGCGCAATCATGCATCCGGAGGAGGAACAGGAAGAGGAGGTTTGGGTGCACGACGGACATGAGGCATCGCAGGATGACCCAGGTGCGTACTTCTTGTTAGGGGTGGCCAGAGTGTATGATCCGGTGCGGCCCTGGTACAATACCTCCACGTTTCCGAAGGCCAACATTGCAAGTGTGTCTGCCGGTGCGCCTCCAGCCGTGCCTTCTGCGAAGCCTCGAACACCGCACGGTCGCTCGCCTGGCGGGCACAAGGGTTGCGCCTCTTCACCATCCTTTTTGTACTCACCGTGCATGTGGGCTCACACTCGCTCCATCAGGCATTCCTCTCAGCGCAGACAACGTTTCCAGCAATATATTTGGAGGTACTCCTATACTGGGCGAGTCTTACTTTCCGTATCCAAACAAGGCGGTATGTATCACGCGCGGCCTTGCATATTATATCGCACACCCTTACCCCACCGCTGCAGATGATGAAAACCGACATCCTATTTAGTTCGCAAGAACTGAGATTCTCTCGTGCCCAAAAACAAGCCATCCTATCGTGGGGTCGTGACCTTGGTGCCGAGAACGTCCCGTCGCTCTACAAGATCGAGAAATTCCAGGCCGACGCTTTGGAGGCTTGCGGCAATCCCTCCAAACGTATGCAAACGTCTACAGGTCAGGTCTTTTATCAAAACTCAATGCATCATCATGTCGCGCAGGTAAATTTGAATACACACCGGTCTCATCTGCTCGTAACGTTGATAGCGCATGTCTGCAGCAATACGCGCACCCGAACGTCCGGGGCTACATCAAAGCCTACCCCGTCTTTGCGGGCGGGTGTGTCTCAGAGACATATCATAGCTCTAAGTGGCTTGTAGACGCACCTGGAACGCTACTCACACCCATGGTTCGAATTGATGACCGAGACTTCTATGTTGACGAGTTGACGTACTGCAATGATGAAGAATGGTGCATTCCGGTGCGATTTTTTGAGTTTGAGGGCCAGGGAATGTGGGCGGTCTGCCAGAAAGTTGAGATGACAGAGGTGGGTGATTTAGCATAGACCTGCAGGTTTGTATCTGTAACACATGTATATGTGAACCATAGGAGGGGCTGGTGGTGCACAAAGAGCGTCGGTTCATCCCATGTGCAAGATTCCAGAAAAATTGGCCAGAGATAGAAGCAGCGAATCCAGGCCAGAATTTATTCACAGGTGGGTTGTGCTATCAACGTCATGTGTCATCGTGAATACTTACAATGACTTAATTCGATTTCCAGCGGGCTCGGTGCATTATGCTTCAAAAATGCCGAACCCTGATCGCGTCACCGCAGACGGCCTAGAATGGGAATGCCCCCCCCTCATTGTCTTTATTGACGACGTCTCTGGGAATAGCTCCAAACAATGGAATGTACACTACTCGTGCTATATGTCGAATGCCGGATTGCCTCGCGCGCAAATTGAGAAGTCCCGGAATATACAATTCATCTCGACGTCTCCGAGTGCCTCGCCGATGGAAATTATTGAGGCTGTCTGTAATGACATCCGGTACGTTATATTCATTACTGACTTGGTAAACTCATTGACCTGGGTAATTATAGACAGACTTGGGGAACCTCTCCGCTCAAAGTGTGGGACGTCCATAGACGGCGTCATATCCTTGTTCGGCTCTGGCTGCTTTTTTTGCCGGGAGACAACCCTATGCAGGCCGAACTCTGTAGCCATATTGGACTCAAAGGTAACCACTTCTGCCGTTGCTGCCATGTCGGTGGGGATCAGAAATATAAGCAGTCCAATGAAGGGTTCGCTTCGCTGCTCAAGGTTCGTGGCATCAAGTATAGTTGTGTATCGCTGCCCAGCTTTCCTCATTCCCCCCTATTTTGATTCCCCTCATACATAGCTCAGCCGAGAACGCTCTCCAGGAGAGACACGAGGGGCTATTATGGCGCAACTGATTCAGGCGACGCATGCCGCCGCGGAGAAGCCTCTCAAAGAGGCAATCACGTCAAGTGGCGCAAAAGATTCACTCGCTCTTCCCATGATCAATCGACTGATCGCGCTTGGGAAGATCCTCCGAAGGTCGACACCTGAACGCAAGGCACTGACCCCGGAAGACGTCAACCGGGAGCTTTCAGCAGAATTATTGAGACACGAAGGGGTGACACTCATGAATCCCCTACTAGACATGGAAGGTACCGTGTGCCGCGAACACAATTCCAGCAGATGACAATGTATTCTGATCTATAGTTGCTTGCAGGTGTCAATGTACATCGAGACACGCCTGTTGAACCACTGCATACTCACCTCCTCGGTGTCGTGAAGTACTTCTGGGCGCAGACAATGTGGGTGCTTGAGAAACAGGGGAAGCTCGAGGTGTTTCAGGCACGCCTCAATTCTCTGGGGAAGTCAGGGCTTAATATCCCGACTATCCAAGCTGATTACATGTGTCGCTATCGGGGCGCGCTTATAGGGAAGCACTTCAAAACCATCAGTCAGATCATGGTGTTCGCTATTTGCAACTTAGTAGATGAATCACTCCAAAACGCTTGGTTTTCTGTCGGGCGTTTGACTGTGCTTCTATGGGAGACGGAGATCATCATCATGGCGGACTATCTGGTATGATTTTCTCATCTGCACGCCACTCATGTCTGTTGAGTGTCAGGGTGGCCATGATTACTGAAAGATATACTCATAGAAGGACCTTCGTGCGGTGATCAATGACATCCTCGATCATGCAGCATCCCTGAGCCCAGGGCTTCTCACCGAGAAGAATAAACTTCACATCCTTCTCCACATTCCAGACCATATCGAGCGACACGGTCCAGCGCTTCTATTCTCCACTGAGCGTTATGAGTCGTTCAATCATATTTTCCGTCTCTCTTCTATCCATAGCAACCGGCAGGCCCCAAGTCGCGACATTGCCGCTTCGTTCGCCAACCAGGATCGATGTCGCCACATGATGACCGGCGGATACTGGCTTGACAAGACATCCGGTCGGTGGGTTTGTGCCAGTCCTGCCGTGCTCGATCATGTCCGCTCGCATTCCATCGACGCTCGACTACTCGGAGTGGCCCATGTCTCTGCCCCCATCCCTGGTAAAATGATGCTCACTCCACTGCCCTCCCGCACCACTACCACTCCTGCCATTCCAAATACCCTACAAACGCGTCCACTGACCTCTGCGCCATCATCCTCTGCCTCGCGACCTGTTCTAACCTGGATAGACACTCACTCGTCCCAACTGGTGCCAACGCTATGCCCACCTGGTTTCTCTGATGGCCACTGGCACTCCGCCGCAGATGTCCTCGCGCTGAATGGTGACCAGGCCATCATTGGTGCCGAGGTCATCGTGTCACTCCCAACTGACATTCCTACGGTATGTAGCAACTTCTCGTCCTCGGTTCTACACCAGGACAGGCCAGGATCTGGGGACGATTCTCAGTCTCAGACACCTGAGACACGAACACGGCTGGCCTTCGCCTCCATCATCGAGTTACTGAAGACCGCAGACCCCCTCCTACCGGACACGTCGCTAATCACCGTCAGGGAGTCTACGCTCCAGGAATGCCTCCATCCTACGCTACACATGCCGGTGCTCAGTCGAACAGGACAATTTCATGTTATACGCCCCCACGTAAGTCGATGATTCGAACCTGATGTTCGGCAGACTTGCTGATATGACTCATTGTGTGTACACAAGGACATCATCTGCGTCGTGAACGTGCAGCATGATTGCTCTCGCGCCAAGTGTACGGAGACTGGCAAGCAAACTGTTCGTCAAGAGCGCGAGGATACCACTCAAACTCGCGCTGTTGTTACTCATGACTGCAGCCCGCTATATGTCCTCAACACAATCGCCCTTCACAACAATCATCGCATACGCGACATGCTCCCACAACAACTCCGAACGATCCCCCCTTTCTTCACGGATCGGGATGCCCTCCATAAAAGCGCTGCCTCCTCCCTACGTGACACGAAGCTTCAGAAGAAGCTCGCCAAAGAAGCCGCCGTCCGCAAAAGTGCGGAGGATGCACTCCGAACCCTCGATGCCCTCGCGTCCGTCGATCTCATTGGGCTCGAATCCGCCTCAGCCTTGTCACCGGATCGAGCAAACGAAGCTGGCAACCTCAACACAGCAGCTACAGCAGGCGAACTTCTCCCTGCGTCTCGACACGGGGATGATCGCGATATGGTCACCACGTTGCGCATAGAACAGCTCAACGTGGTAGATCGTCCACGAGGCCCACGACAGCGAAGGACTCCGGCCTCTAGATCACCGCAGATTCAAGCTAATGCAAGCACAACATTACGGACACTCACCGGGAGCATATTCGGCGACACACAAGGACGAGGTGCAACCAGAGACGGGGCTGTCATGGCAGGGAAGGAAGCTATATCAGGACAGTCCAGTACAATGGTCGGAGGCATGACACCGCTTGTCAGACAAGCGGACCCGCGATTCCAAGCCGTGCCTGCAGTCCCAGATGAGACCGCCAGTGCCTGCACAGCTGCCGGACCCTCATTAGAACCCCCTGCCCGCAAAAAGCGACGGGTCGCCACTGCGGATCCACTTGCAGCTGCGATTAGAGAGAACAACATTCGAGCTGTATTTGATAAAACTTGATAGCATAAGTGAAATGTATTCACGCAAGCTCTTGAACCGCGAGCACATAACCTTCATGTTGATGTGTTTAGGACCAGACATGTCCGAGCATAATTTGAATTGGGTGTGTCTCTCCATGAATGAAAAGGCGATTGACTGTGGCTATCACATGCAGGTGAATCAAGGGCAGCCTGGGGCATCGAGGGCGATGGCACGTGCGCAAAAATCTCGCAAGTCAACTCCGCGTTGCTGTTGAACCGCCTTGGCGCAGCCAGTCTCTTGCGCTCACCTTCATCACCTCTCTATGCCCACGCCCCACCTGTGCAGCAACCCGTATTATAGATGGACGTCCTTTACCAGACATACGGCATCGACCCAGGAAATGCCGCTGCCTTCTCTGCATCTGTCAATCCGCTTGCCAGCGGGGCACCATCATCGCTCGATACACCCACCAGTATTGGACCACGCCCCCCTCCCGACTTTGCAGAGGAGCAAAACGGACCCATGAGGGATAGCCTGAGTCCCAGCCCGGAATGGGACGCCTCAAGAGCAACGACACCGAGCGCTGCCAATCTGTTATCAGCCAGCCTGCCTCGGGCCAAGCATGGACGTACCAACGGCGACGACGACGACGACTACCTTACTAGACCCCGCATGCCACTTGCTAGTCATATTCTACGTGCAAAGACGACCGACAAGTGTCAAGCAGCAAACCTCAGTGTTGTGCAGACTGAAGAAGCTCTCGCTTTCTGTGATGTAAGCCCCGAAATTATCAATGTCCATCCAAGCACGATACCACCCATGAGACTCACTTACCTCTGTAACTGCAGCTCCCCATTCATGAGAAGCTCATAGACATAAAGATCCACCTGCTCCAAAGCGAAAATGATCTACTGCAGCGTTACTTCAAGCAATATCACCGCCATCCAGATTACCTCGTAAAATCCCTAAATTGCAGAATCACTGAGCTCACCGCTAATTCCATCATATGACAGGCACGTTTGCGCACCTTCCTCGGTGCTGTTCTCTTTGCACACAGCACCCCAGCCTATGTCAATAACATAACAAACTCAATCGCGGCACGTCTTCCGAACCATTATAAGCGGTGGCTTACCTCGCACTAACTGATGTGTAATAATCCTGATAGGAATACCTTGAGCACCATCTGGATGTGGTCGCACTCACCTCACAATGCCGCGATGATCCCGTCGACTGGGGGTTTGTCAAGAGCTCAATTGCAAACGAAACGAGCCAGATGCGATCGGTGATGAAGGCCAAGGTGCGTGAGACACCGTGAAGCTTCGTGACGCCCAGCTAACCGAACCTTCGAACGCTCATTGTTCTCTCATGCGCCTCAAATTCTACATCTAATCTCTAACTCCTCCTCGTCAATTACTCTGCATGCAACACATCAATAGCTGGACGCTTCAATCAAGAACAAGTATGATATATACGCCCTCACAACTGACATCCTGATGTACGACATCCGCCCGAGAGAGGAGCACTGGGCTCGGTTCGCGTTTTTGGTAAGTACTCACCTGGCTGACTCTCAGACCATAATTCCTTGCGCGTCGTAGACGGTATGACGCCTCCCAAACCGAGTGCAGGCGAGGAAAACTGTTTTCAGTGCGGACACGGCGATGCGCGCGCTCCAAAGCAGCTTTTCTCGCCTGTGCTGGTGGGCCACCGAGACCGGCTCTCCACGAGGCCTCAAGATGGATTTTCGCGCGCGATGGCCTGCGCAGTCAAAAACCCTCCACATTGGCAGGACCGACACAGCCTGTCTACTTTCGCTGTCGCGCGTCGAAAGCAGGTTTTGCCGCTGCATGTGAACTTCCGCCGTTTCTCGTCGCCCTTACGAGTATCTCCTGCTGTGCGTCTCAGGCGCGTTCCAGTCGGGTTTTAGTCGTAGCGGCAGTCGCAGGATCTGCTCTATCTCGAATAAGACAGGACGACGCTGCTTGACCAGGCCTCACGGTCGCTGTCGCAGTCAGCACAATCTCCCACTCTCCTCGTTCTCAAGCAAGCTGACTGAAATCATTCACAGCGTCATTGCGTGGAGCAATATCAGGCCTCCGGAAAGAACAGCAAATTTTTCTGGCCATACGTCGACGAGCGACTTCTCGAGATCCGAACAAAGTTGAAGACCGTGGACGCTGCAGAGCGTAAGGAAGCTGAAACCAAGTATGTACCTTTCAGTGCTTGAGAACTCATGGTCGAAACTCAAGGCCGTCGCTAATCCATTCCAGGTTCTTCCTGGACATCCTGCGGGCCGACGTCAAGCGTTATCCGATACGGTCGGATGCCGTGGCCCAGCAAGTGTACACCAACGCGAAGCTCAAGCCCATCCAAGTGGCTATGGAGGCCGCAGTCAGGGGGTTTGTAGTCGACGGAGGTTCTATGGCTGGCGGGACGAACACGGAGTAGCAGTACTAATAGCTGCGAGTGGAATCGGGTCCACAACGCGCTACTATATTAGTGCCATGGGAGCGGTACGTACGGATGTGTCGCGTCGATGTTTCCTTGCACACGATGTATATATGTATGCTGTCATGCAATGTACTAGAATGTGGTCTCTCGTCTCGGGATTCATTGAAAGGGATTTGTATATATACGTATTGCTGGTAGCGAGGGCGCGATCCGAACAGATTACCAGGGCTGGGCGCTACTATGTATATGTTCGGATGGTGTTTAGATGATATCGTTTGAGTATGCTGCGAAAGATTGTTCTGATATGGCATCACTTATGTGGATACAAGAAGGTCTAATGTTATATCTGGCGGACCCTGTCCAACCATATGGTGATCATATGGCGCGCGACATGCATCCGAGCTTGATGGACCACATCTGATGGAGGCTGCGATCGCTCGGCGGTGTACCTGATATGTGGCGCCGCCCCACTTGGTGCCGAACTCATTGAGAAGCTTGCGCGCATCTTGCCGAACTCAGTCATCGGCCAGGGCTATGGTATGTGCCCTTGAGAATCGCTCGCAACAACAGCTGAATACCCATGCGCTGGCCAGGAATGACGGAGCTCGCTACGGGCGCGACATCAATTCCCCTGGACAGACGTGTTGGCGAGCCAGGCAGTGCAGGAGTCCTCCTACCTGGTATAGTCGCTCGAGTTGTTCGGCAAGATGGGACCGTCGCAGGGTTCAACGAGCTTGGAGAGCTGCATCTGAAGACACCATCAATGTCTCTTGGATATCTGAACGATCCGACTGCGTGAGCGTTGCCCATTTCCCGTCATTAAGTTAGTTGCTGATAGCACTAGCACGGCGGAAACATTCCGCGACGGGTATGTCGACATTTTTCGTCAGCTTCTTCTGCCCTTGACTGAATCCAAAACAGCTGGGTTCATACCGGAGATGAGGTCATTATCAACGAGCGAAAGGAAGTTTTCGTGGTCGATCGCATCAAGGAGCTTATCAAAGTGCGAGGCCTCCAAGTGGCCCCATCTGAGCTAGAAAGTCACCTACTCGACCATCCTGACGTCGCCGACGTTTGCGTCGTAGGCATACCGGACGACTTCAGCGGCGAACTCCCCTTCGCTTTCATAGTCCTCAACGACGGTGCCAGGGTGGATATAGAGGCGCACAAGAGGAATCCGTACGCGATCAAAGAGGCGATGATGGCAGTGCGTCTTTATGTTTTCCCTTTTCGTGTATGTGCTGAATTTGTGGTTGTAGCACGTCGCAGAGCACAAAGCGAAGTACAAGCGACTTGCCGGCGTGGAGTTTGCGGATATGATTCCTAAGAATCCAAGCGGAAAGCTGCTTCGGAGGGTTCTACGCGAGAAGGCCAAAGAGATGCTCAGCCAGGGAAAGATGAAGTTGATGCCCAAATCGAAGCTCTAGATACTTGTCTATGCACGCTATACTCGGGCAGGACGGAAACGATGGTATTGGGCGCGCGCTACGGAAGCTGCGCGGGACCACCGAGTCCGTGTCGCCACCGCTCTCTCGCGCGACCGGTGGGCCGAGCTCAAGTCAGCGGAAGGCGAATATACCTGATACATGAGACGTAGCTAAGCGAAACCAAAAATGGGGCAGCGGAAGGGCGGGTGCAAAAACGAAAGCTCGAGGAGCGCGAGCTCCCGAACTTGAAGGGCGAGGGGACGAGGATCCTGGGCTGCGAGCCCTTAACCTATATACTACTAGAGACAAAGCAGATGTAAAGCGGCGAGGGGGTGGCACGATTTACGCTGTCATAGACCCTGGACAATAATCATTGTCCAAAACATATATATGGTCGTCTACCATGAGACACGGTACCCATCACAGGCGCTTGTCTGACGTCGCTTCTACCCACCATGTTGCGATCGCGTTTGTGCGACTCCGAAGGTCGTATGCCGCAGAGCATCTCTAACTTTTGTTTTTTCTCAAAGGAAAGCTACAATGATCGATCACTGATTGAACTTGGGTGATCATGAGCAGACAGATTTACTGTTGCGTGCAGTGGCATCCCTGCATGGATTACAGCCTTTATTCTCCTCCACCTGCATCACCTCCATATCCTCCAGTATCTCCCCAAGCCCCGCCATGGTCTGCCGCATTTGCCATGACCCCTCCGTCATTTCCACCATCGCCGAGGCTGGACTCCTGTCCCGAATCCGCACCGGCACCCCCGCCTCCGTGGGCACCTGCGTCGAAAACTGCACTAGTGCCAACGTTCACGTGGGCCTCCGTTTGCTCAACCACATTCACGTCGGACAGACCAGCATTCGCGACAACCGACGCTTCGAGTCCAGTGTCTGAAGCCACGTGGCCGTTGAAACCGGTGTCCTGGACCAATGGCGGCCCAGCATCCGTCGCCTGTTGATCAATATCGCGTCGCTCGTCCTCACATATGAGAAACGCAAGAAGAACAGCGTCGAGGAACGGTACAAGCTCTGCTCCGATGTTGATACTGATGTGGGGTTTGCGCGATCGAGTACCTGCGCTTGTATAGCGTGTCTCTGCTACCGCCGCTTGCGTTGCGGCATCGAAAAGCTGTGCGTAAGACCCAACAAATCAGTGAGCTTCGTCCTTCTATGACGAATGAGGGGCTCCAAACAATGACTAACACTCACCTTGAAAGTGCCTCCACTAGCCAGTGTCCACGTGTACACTTTTTGATTAGGTGCGACGAACGTCCTCGAGCTGTGGCAAGGCGAACATGTCACATTTCTCCTCAGAATCCAGCAAATGCTTGAATAACCTTGACATTGGGCTCTCCTTCGGTAGCCATTCCGCCACCTTCCTCGTCTCACCCAAGTATGCAACTCTATTGTGGCCCCAGCTTCGCTCGTAAAGGCCGACTACCTTCTTTCGTGCCGTCCAGATGGTCGTCGTACGCTTCCGCAAGAGTTTGAAGGGCGTCTCGATGTCATACAGCAAGTTCCCCGTGGCGCTATCAATGACCTCGGTGTTGAAGGGGTCTGTGGAGACGAAGCTGATGTCCATGTGGAGTTGTGAACGGATTCAGACTTCGACAAGAGGTGTGTTTGCACTACGTGTCTGTGCGCTCGACGCGGTTGTTTTGACAATTGACAGATCATCGCCTTAGTGCGATGCACGTTGCTAGGTAGCAGCATATCATTGGTGCGTTCCAGCCAGAGTCCGAGCAGGAGGGCTGACGGCATCCTGCTGTACCATACCACTTTGGATGTACATAGCGGGCAGAAGTTCCTACGGCGAGCCGGACCTGAAGGTACGCATCAAGCGACGACACAGCTCAAAACCCATTTGAGACAATCATGATACTTCCTGTTGAAGACACTCATGACTATCCATCCTCCTGGACCTCCTCTGTAACATCGTTGAGGAGTCAGATACGTCTTGATATTTGGACTGTCGGACAAATTATCAACGCCGTACTCCTTGAGACCGTCGCTCCTCTTGAAAACCGAGCAAGGAAAGCACTACAGCAACCAGATGAGGGACCAACTCCCATTGTACGGCTATGCTCCACTTCCTCCTGGGTCCACAGCACGGTAATAAAAGGCCCTCAAAATACACCTCTACTGCCGTTTCCGGGCTTACCGCATGGACGAGCTATGCGGGAAGGAAAGTGGGAGCCTACTATGGTTAGCACGTTCAAGACTAAACGAATAGAAGATACGCGTACCTTGTACGACGGCCTCAACGCCATCCTCACCGTCCACACATATTTCTTTTGCCTTCGGAACATATGAGCGCGCAGTGAATATGCGCGTATTTTCGATGCTAGACACCAACTTCCGGGTTACGCAGTCGATGAGTCTGCTGTCCAATAGGTCTGTGTTGACAAAGTGAACTTCACGCTCATAACGGACTTGTCCTGCTCGGAGAGTCTTACGAGGCCAAGTCCGCGAACCACAGGATACTGTATGACCCCTTGGTTGGAGCGGACAACACTGTGACGGCTTCATCGCCGGCAAGCGAAGATTCATTCATAGCTCGATAATCTTCAATACGACCGCGGTACGCACCTTATATCAATACCTGGGCCCACACTTGTAGATACTCAACCTCGCTGGCTTGAGCGACTCAATACGGTGATCCGAGAACGAAACATTCACGCCAACGTGTCAACCCAAAATGAAAGCTGGAGACGAAATTTTCATCAGCAGGCAAGGATACCCGACTACATGAGTAGGCCTGCAATGACACCGTCAGACAAAGCCTGGAGCGGAACGATACAAAGAGGTATCATGGACAGCGCAGCGACAGTCAATGGTCCAGATCGGATGCAGTCAGTAAATATGCGACGTGGGCGGGCGTATACATGGGCTGGGATATGGAATATGCGTGCATGAAGGTATGATGTAGGTGTCCGGACGAAGGCAGACGAGACTATATATCGAAAATGAGCGTGGGGGATGGGGTAGTCAGATGACAAGGTCGATGCTAACCGCCACGTACTAATGGAAGGTACTGAGTGGGATACGTATGGAGCGAACGACTCAGCTTAAGATAAGAATTAAAGACGGGATCGAAAATGAATGCCGCAGCAATAAATATGCGTTAAATCATGCACGACTGTCTAGCAGTCATGTGCGACGTCAGCTCTGCATATCCAGAGCATCTAACTGGAGTGAAGGACACCAGGCGCACTTTGGCGTCGCCCACCAGCTTGAAATGTACAGTACTTAGACACTACCGAGGGGGTGCGCGGCAGCTAGATCTCTTTCGACATCATCTTGAACGACTTCTGGTGGTTCGGCGTGACAATTTCTGAATTGCGTCGTGTCGGTGCCGCGGATGCAGGACTCCGTGGTACAGGAATTGCGGACATGGACTGTCGCCGCGATGGCCCGTGGCCGACCTTGATGTCATCCATCGAGATGCCCAACATCTCGCACAACTCCTTCTGCGCCTGGATCATTGCGCGGACGTCCGACGACGGCGAATCAGCTACAGGGAAAAGAACACCTGCGTCAGCAGGGCGTCTGATGAAGACAAAACCCAGAAACTGCACATACCCATCGAACTCCGCGTAGGCAAGTCTCCAGACGGGAAGTATATGCTGCGGCGCAACGGAATAGGCGGCACAGGCGGGATGTCCTCCCCACCACCCTGGACAGACCACACACCCGGCGACGCAGCACCGCTGTACCGATGGTTGCTGCTCGTCGACGACCGTTGGCTCCGCCTGTTCATCGAGCGCAGGCCCGCCTTCGATGCGCGCTGGCTGTTCTTGCGCGCGACCATGACGCGACTCGAGCGGCGGCTGGGGGTGAGGCTCTCCTTGTCCTTGTCCTTGCCATTCGCGCCCCCGGGCGTGGGGATGGTGTCAGACATGATGCGGTCCGTGAAGTCGTCGAACTCCTGCGCGACCTCCTGCGCCTCGCGCCACGCCTCATCGCGCTCCGCCTCGAGCGTGGCGACCTGCTCGCGCAAGCGCTGCACCTCGCCGACCTGCTTCAGGAAGCTCGTGTTCAGTTTGCGGAGCGCCATCGCGAGCGCGCTCCGCTGGTGCACGTCCCGCAGGTGCTCGAGCTGGGCAAGCTGGTCGGTAACCGTGTAGAGGTCCTCCGCCGTCTGGTCCAGGCCCTCCGTCACGTCGCCCAGCTCGTCCATCGTCCTGCCCACCGCGGCAGCGGACTCCGCCGACTCCGTGCTCTCCGCGATGCGGCTCACGTTCGCGAGCAGCGTGTTCCGCTTGCGCACGCTCAGCTTGTACTTGAGCTTCAGCTCCGCCGCCAGCGCCTCCAGCCGCTCGATCTCCTCCGGCAGGCCGCGCTCGAGCGTGTCCTCGGGCAATATCCGGATCGCCGACGCGTCTGCGCTCTGCCGGATGGCCGTCGAGACGATGTGCTGCAGCTGCTGCGACGTGAGCGTCCACTGCGCGGCCTCCATCGTCAGCCCGCGGAACTGCACCCGGCTCGGCTGGAACCTGGGTGCGGCGTGCGACATCATCGATGCGATCCGGGAGTTGCTGCTGCTGCCACTGGGGCCTCCGTGGTGGAGCGATGAAACCGAGCCCGCACGCATGCGTGCCGCGGCGGCAGAAGAGGGATAGCTCGGCTTGCGCGGCCCCTGCGGGAGTGGCGGCCGCGTGCGAGTGTAGCGCTTGTTGGGGGTGACTTCGGGGGTGCCATAGGCTGATCGCGGCGTGCCGGGAGGTGGGTGAAGATCGGGCGTAGACGTACGTGCGGGAGGGGCGGGACCGATGAGGGGTGGAGGGGGGACGGGCGGCACGGGTATGGGCGGGGTCGCACCTCTGGTCTCCTCGACGTATGGAGGCGGTGGATTTTCGACGCTGATAGACGACGCATGGGCGTCGATGCGCGAGCGGCCGGGAGAGGGAGACGACGGCGCCGAGGAGTTCGGAGGGGACGGGAAGGGCGACAGGGACCGCTTCTGCGGGATCGAGCTCTGCGAAGATGATGCGGCTTGCAGGTGCCCGCTTGACTGCAAACTCGACCGGCGAGAAGGCACGGACGAGTCCGCCGTGTTCGCGCGCGAATAGAGGAGAGGAGTGGGGGGCGCAGCGTCAAACGTGGGCACGTACGACGGCGGAGGCGACGCAAGGGGCTCGTCGGGGTTTGCGACGGAGCGCATGCGCCGGTGGGAGGACGCCTCCGCCGCCTTGGCCTGCTCAGCAGCAGACGAGGTGGTGATGGTGCTCGGTGCCGTCGTCGTGGGATTCGTAGACTGCGCTTGGTTCTGTGCCTGATCCTGAGTCTGCGACACACTCCCTTTGCGCGGGCGACCAGCAGCGTTTGACCCCGACCGCGCACGCGTCTGCAGCGGAAGCGGCGGCGCCGACTGCTGCGCCTTGGCCTGCGCCTGCTGGATCGAGAACATCTCCTCGAACTGCGCCCCGCTCGTCGGCGGCTCCGGCACCGTCGAGTACGTCGACACGCTCCTCGACGCGACCTGCTCCTCGATCGCCGTCAGCCTCTTCAGCGCGGGCGACGATGGCTGTTGTTGCTGCTCCTTCTGCGACTGCGACTGCGCCGACCCCATCGGGCTGCCCGGCTGCGACGCCCCGCCGCTCTCGCCCGTAAGGGGCGGCGTCGGGGGCACGCCTCTCGACGAGCGCGCACCGCCCGGCTTCGCAAAGACGCTCCCAGACATGCGCGACGCCGGGGCCGGCCCGCGCCCCATGCGCAGGATGTCGAGCACCCCCGGGGCGCGCGACGCGCCCGTCCCGCCGCGCGCAGTCGTGCGGTCCAGCGACGCGCGCGAGCCCGCATTCGGGTTCGGGTTCGGGCTCGCCGCCACGGGGGGCGACTGGAAGCTCGCGGACCACAGCGGCGAGAACGCGTTCGGTGTCTCGGGAAACGTCTGGCGGTCCGTGAGCGCGGTCGAGAGCATCGACTCCCCGCTCGAGCTGTGCATCGGCGTCGGCGCCGCGCTCGAGCCGTTGCTCTCCTCCGACCGCCGCCCGAGCGGCAGCGGCGGCGGGGGCCCCGCCGGGCGCTGCGGTGCGATCTGGAGCGGGAAGTTGTCCAGCAGATCGGGCGAATCCACGGGTGTGTCAGAGCTCGAGTTCGCGTTGGAGACGGAGTTGGAGCTGGAGTTGTTCGGCGCGGAGCCGAACCGCGCAGACGTGGGCGTCGGGTTCGCGCCGGCGGCGGTCGCGTTCGACAGTAGGGACGGCTGCGGCGAGGCCGGGACGAGCACGGACGCGGGGCGCTCGCCGATGGGGAGGAGGACGGACGGACGGGTGGGCTGGCCTGCGCGGGAGACGCCCGTCTCGGAGACGGTGCGGGAGATCGCGAGCCGGCCGTTGTTCATCGCGTACGCGCCGGACGAGCGCATCGTCCCGGGCATCGCGCCGTTGGGCGCGAGTGCGGCGCCCTTGCTGCGCGATGCGGAGTTGCCGGTGCCTGTACGCCCCGTCGATGAGGGCTCGGTAGCGGTACGCGCGTGGCCCGCGGTCCCGTCGCCGGTGCTCAGAGAGGACGAACTGACGTTGCCGTCGAGGGAGCGCTGCGGGAGGGAGCGGTTCGACGCGTTCGAGGTGAGCTGGCCGACGATGACGGGGCTGGTCGGCAGCGATGGCGCCGACGACGCCTCCGAGATGGGTGAGATGGGCGGCATGCTCAACGTGCGCTCTCTCCGTAGCCTGCCCGTGCTCTTCGGCCGCCGCAGCTGAGGGAGCGGGTCGAACAACTCCTTGTCTCCGTTCTCAAGTATAAGGCTCACAGAATTGCGCCTGCTGTCCATGCCGGAGGGAAGGCGCGGTACGGGCGGCACGGACGACGACCGCGGTGTGCCGAGCGAGCCGCCGCTGACCCGCCGCTCGTGCAAGTACGGCGAGTCGTTGAGGGGGTGCTCGCCGCGCGGCAGGGTGGCCGAGTCCTGCTGGCCTCCGCCGGACTTGTACTTGGACGCGCGCGGCTCGCTGGAGAGGATGAAGGAGTTCACGACGAGCGCGCGGGCGAGGCTCGTCCCCGAGATCGCGGAGGACATGTCGTCGGTGATGGCAGACGGGGGCGTGTGCGGCCGGCTGGACTTGGACGGGAGCGGGGGCGGGACGTCGTCCGAGTTGATGTCGACCGCCTCCTCGGTGGAAGATCGCTGCACCCTGATCTTGGCACTGGTGAGGTTGTTGGGTATCTTGATCGGCGAAGGGGTCGGCTTCCTCGTAGAAGGCAGCGCGCTCTGAAACGGACGTCAAGCTGCAGAAGCCAGGAACGCGGCGCGTATGTGCTCACCGGTTCGTTCGTGTCCTCGGGACCCTGAGAGTAGTGCATGGAAGTGTCGACGAATAAGCGGTTCGGCTACGCACGGCGTGAGCTATAAGACAGGAGGAATGGACACGGACAGAGGAACGCACCTCACGCGGCTCGGGCTCCTCTTTGATCGCTGCCTCAGGACTGCCGCGCCCTCGCGAACTGGACGATGGCTCGGGCAGGGGTCGTACGCCGCTAGGGAGGGAGACATTGCGTCTGGGCGGTGTCCGATTCTCGGGAGGCGGCGCGATGGTAGGGGATAGCCAGTCGGTGAAGGATTCAGTGGGGTCAAATTCCAGCTGGATCTGCGGCGAGGCGAGAGAACGGTCGATGCTCGTCGAAGGCCCGCGATGTTCGGGGTACGACGCGCTAAAGGGATCCTTCTCGAGTATCTCCACGATCTCCGGCGAAACGAAGGAGGCAGGTGAGGGGGGCGACTGTGGCCTCTGTCGGATCCCACTGGCTATGGTAGAGAACTTCTTCTGTGCTTTGGCAACAGTCCCGCGCTTTGATTGGAAGACAGAGAACATGAGGGGGCAGAGGACGGGGAGGACGTGCGGGCCGGTAGGGAAATACAAGACATAAGCCGGGGGACGACGAGGAAGAAGGAAAGGCCGCCGGAGCCTGGTCGACGAGGGGAACGACGAGGAGCGAGGGGAGGAAGGGTGAGAAGCAGGAAAGGGACGGGTGGTATATTGACCGTGGCCATCAGCGACTCTGACGCCGCGCTCCAGCGACCATCATCCCCGGCGTCTGTCCCGCCTGCCCTTACGGCATCCCGTACTTCTCTCCAACCACCCTCGCACGCTGTCTTCCGCAGCGATACGGACGCCATGTACGTATCTCACCCAGATTCCACATTAACAACATCCTCTTCGTACATGTCCAGCAGCAGCAGCAGCTCTGCACCTCACTCGACCGTGCGCCGCTCGTCGCGTCTCAGCACCCCACCATCAAATTAAGCGTCCCGCGCGTGCACGGCCTGGGTGGCCACCGCCAACCGAGCTACCGTCTCCGTAGCGCGCCCCATGTGCTCCTCGCAGCCACTATTCTCTGCTCCCAGACCCTACTGTACATTCCAATAGACTAGAGACAAATTCAGTTGTCCAGTTGCCGTCTCCTCCAAGCTCATCCCGCGCCCTCACCCTACTACGTACCTCTGTGCAAACCTTGGCTGTGCTCGTCGCTCCGACACCGCTTGCGCTTGCTGTGCGGCGCGACGCTACTTCAGAGACAGTCACCTCCGGCACTCGGCTCCCTCCCAACCCCCCCGGCCGTCTCGGCGCACGTCGTCTTGCAAAGTACGTACATGGCCTCCACCCTGCCAACACACCATCATCGTCCTCTCCTCGGGACCTCAGCCTTCCATTCTCCAGCGCCGTCACCTTGATTGGTCTGTCACCGCCAGCCATGATTTTACCACGGGGATCTGCAACTGGTCCCGGCTAACGCCAATCCGGGACTCCCTCGAGTGCGAAACATCTGCGTGATGCTGGCTATCCTCTGGGCGAATCATTAGTCAGGATGTCGCAGTTGTCCGGAGCGATGAACAGTCAACCAGACGCCTCAGCGAAGCAAGACCGCCGCACGCAATGTCTTCCGTCTGCTAAGTTTACATTCGTGCTTCAGAGGGAGGCTCTCTCCCAAACTGCGCCTTTGCTCGGCCTCCGTCTGAGACCGTGCATCACCTATCTCCCCCGAAGAGCCGCCTGTTTCCCGCCTTCGTCTTTTCGACTGGGTACACCACTAGAAAACTGTCGCAGGTACAGTGTTGGTCTTCCATTGCGCCAATGTTATTTGCCATCGATGCTGTATTGCACAGCCACCCGACCCGAGGTCAGAACGTTAGCCCGTGAGTGTTTTGAGGCACACCCGACGTGCCGTACACGATAGTGGCACAAGGTGCGTGCGCAACTCGACTCGAACCGTCAAACGATTGAGACATATTATTGATGGTGCTGTACATACACGCCTTCCCGCCCAGCTTCCGACCATTGATTGCATCAATAGTATCAATATTAGTGGTGCACGCGCGCACTGGTACAGACACAGAACGCTGGGGCGGATCTGCCACTCTCGTGCGCTCACCGCATTGCTGATTCCACCGCACCTGCAACCTCATTATATCCGATGCTCGCAAGTGCTCGTCCTTTGACACTCGCAACACGCTCGAGGAGGGGATGTTAGCCAAGAGCATGCGTGCTGTTCGATCGCCGTCCATGATGCAGGATATTGTAGCCACCTCGGCACGTCCGCCACCAAATTCTACGCTCGACGTTTGATGAATCGAAGAGCCCGATCTCGACACCTCGCCGTCACTTGCCATTCCGCAGCGTCCAAAATATCGAGACTGTTGAGTCCGGCGAGTCTGCCGGAGTCTGGCGGACTCCGGGGATCACATGACGTTCTCGGGAAGCACCCTTGGCGCCCAGACACCTAGACCTCATCTCGGTAATCTATGACTACCTCATCGACTCGCCCCCGCCTATTGCCTGCCCATACGTAATATATCATATTGCATAGCGTAGAAGTCGATTCTTATGCTATCTTCGATCTACATGCATGGTTACCTGGAGGTCGCTCCCGCAAGTCTGGGGTATTGAGGTTTTCGACGCTGTTTATTCATTGACACCACCTTGCATGGGGACGGATTATAGTCGGAAGGCAATTTTTGTAGAGGCCCTCTTCGGAGAGCTAGTGCTAGCACCCATCAGAGGGAAGATCACCCGACACCCTGCCGCAAGGATTGGCTACTTCACACAACATCATGTCATTGAGCTCCACCAGTACCCTGTTGAGATCTCTGCTCTGCTCTCTCCTTCATAAAGGAGAGGAATTCGGAGTGTGCAGAGCAAGCATGTCGTGCGCACCTGGGCGTGTACAGGATCAGAGCCAATGCTCTCCAGGCCTTGCGCTCCTTAGCGGGAGCCAGATGGTTTGCGTCGTGTTCGCTTTTGGCGACATTCGGATCA